GTGGTAGACCTGCTGAGGCTACAATAGAGCGGCTAGACCAACCTTGCTACTGTTATGGTTGGTTTAGATTTCAGGCTAGAATATTAAGCAACGATTTGATTCAGTAGTGGCATTTCATGTGAATGCGTAAAGATTACAAAAAAGCTAGTGTTTTTTATGTCTTTACCAGAATTAATAAAACTCCATAACTTCTTAGCTGAAAAGTATCATAGTTTCAAAGTCTGGAACTAGAGACTGGTGGTAATAAATATTCCTTCAAAGGAAATAACTTGCTGTATAATTACCCTAATCTCCTTTGATACACTTCAAAACTCAAAAAATGCACCAAAAATTGGCTCGGAATCAGCAAATTAATCCGAAAAATTGTCTTGGTCTGTTCTCGGCTAGTCTGAGACTCAAAGAGCTGAAATTAAAAGAATACTAACATTTGTCCAGGTCCATGAACTAACCATCGCTAAGTGATAATTCACTCCAGCAAGAACAGATCTTTCATGTGGGGATTTTTCTTCTTCCAGAATCATAATTTTCAAGTGAATCAAAAACAATTTTCTTTTCTAGTATTCTGTTTTGCTCTCTGAGATATGGCTAAAATTGGTGTCAGCAGATCAGAACTGTACAAAAATCAGAAATCAGTATCAGCTTTCAAGATCAGAATTGGTGCACTTCTACTTCTGATCTTGATTTAGTCCTAATCCAAATTAAAATGCTGTAAGAAATCATTTTACAGAATAACACACTGTGAAAGGAGCTCTTTTATCATATATGTTGTTCTGTTTCCTCTTTCCATCTTTAAGAGTCAGTCTGATGTTTACAATTGTCTTCTCTTTTGCTCGTCTACTTCCCATTCACGTTGTTTTCTCAAATAGCGCCATCTGTTAGCTAGTTGTTGACATGTGACGAGATACCTCAAAGCAAATATGCAGAACTCCGAGATATTGCAGAGCTTAAAACCAAAGTTGTAAAGTGTAATTGAGGGGCTGCTGTCAACATTCAGGGCCGGTAATGATTGTAAGTCTGAAACGTGGAGCTTTTAGGTTCTGGTGCCTCTATTGCCTTGTTTAGTTTTAAAGGTGCATTATGTAGGAATGAAATTGAATCAACATCCTATATTAAAATTGCTTCATGCAATCAATCTCACTTCTGTTTTAAAAGTTAAAAAAAGTTAAAGTCCCATTAGTTGTCACACACACACTGGTGTGTGTGCGAAGTTTGTTCTCCGCATTTGACCCATCCCCTGGGGGAGCGGTGAGCTGCAGACACAGCCGCGCTCGGGAACCATTTGGTGGTTTAACCCCCCAATCCAACCCTTAATGCTGAGTGTCAAGCAGGGAGGCATTGGGTCCCATTTTTTCAAAGTCTTATGACCCGACCAGGAATTGAACCCTGATCTCCCAGTCTCAGGGCGGACACTCTACCACTAGGTCACTGAGCTGGTATGTGAGTTTGCTAGAATTTGTGAGTTTCATGGTTGTTGCCAGTCACAGATCAGCACCAGAACATTCTAGAGAGCACTTACTACACTTATTACAGTAATACGCCTCCAGCATAGAGGAAGTGTTGTTAACCGTCATGCTGTTAGCTTGCTGTTATTGCTATTAACAACTTATTCAAGGACGTAAAATGCCATGTTTGACTCATAATTCACTTCACATACATTTCACTGAAATTGATTCCATTAATGAAAAAGTACCTTGAGATTTTATTAGAGCCAATTCTTTGCTTCTAATTCACCGTTAGCAATGTTATCTCAACATTAGCCTTTTTTATCCAATTTTGGAGTAAAACAAAACAATGTCGTGGCTACTTAAGGGTGCAAGAAATAACTTCTGGGTGCTTCTGGTTACTGGCTTTGATTCTTTAAACAACTCTGGAGCATTTTGCCAGAACTTAAATTACAAATGTTGGTGCTGCAGTGTTAGCTCACAGGAGACATGGCAACCTCACATTCACTGATATTAAACAGTAGCTACGTCCCTCTTTCCTTTATTGTGAAATGAGAAAAACCGGCTACCCGGGGGGATTTAGACTTTTTGGGGATTATTTCACTGTAGAATTTTTTTTTATTCTTACATATTGCACCTTTAATGAAACAGAAAGTGCTTGGTCTAAATGAAAACGGCATCAAATGAATTGACAGCATGTGAGTGTTAAAGGCAAAGTGGATGATTTAAATGTGTGAAACAGTGGCCATGTATGAAAATTTGTTGCAGAGACCAAGTGAAATTGTTCTTTGACATTCAGCCATCTTTTTCTTCTCTTTGGAATCTTCTGACCATTTAGGTCCGATCGCTTTAGGCTTAGAGTCACAAAAAGTCTTCATTGTGCTTGTGTGTACATTAAGCCTTAATTTTTTGGGGGTGGGGTTTCTATCTGTGTGAAGTTTGCTTGTCGTGTTTGTGGATTCTGTTTATCTCGAGTTACTCAATTGTCCTTGAGGGAAATGGGAGGATGGAAGGAGCACACGAAGAGCTCAGAATAGAAAGAGACAGAAACAAAGAGCAGGATAGTTAGACAAAAGAGGAGAAGACAAACAGGAAACAAAACGCTCTAAGGGAATGGATTATACTGTCAGACCAGCTGTACTGAGCGTCCTCACTCACCATTTGGGCAGTGAAGAAGCGGGGGAGCCTGGTGAGCAGGCATAACATGTACCTGTCAAATCAGCTGTGCTAGCGCTCACTCTCCGCCACGCTGGAAATTTGCTCCATAGCTCATTAATTTCTAATATATGTAGAGATGGAGAGCAGCCCTGAGAGGGTGATGATAAATGACCGAGGCTAGAAGAGGATGCACGTGGCACATGTTGCTGGTGAGCTCAGTCTACTGGTCATTTAGCTCTTTCAGTGAGGATAGTGCTCCACACATGTTGTTTTCACATAAAACCAGGTTTAAAAACATGTTTCCTGTTTTACTTAACCTGCAGCTTAAATCTTTAGATTTAAGGATGGCTTTAAATGTACTGGTAGAGACAAAATCTTGTGATTTTAGAGGGTTAGTGACTTTATAAAGTGCCTGCACTTATCAAAATGTAAAATAAAGTTTTCTGACAATTATAATTTTTTACTTATTTTTAAAATATGGTCAATCATTCTGAGTTTTCCATGCAGGCTTATATAGAATGGTCTTCTACCCCTATTTCCTGCATTCGCCATCAATAAAAACTAGACAGGGACTCACCTATCTTGGCTCGCAACAGGGAAGACTGTTGTTAAATTAGCGTCCAGGAAAGATAGAGCACTTCTCAGCTAGTAGAAGCTAACTGTTAGCATTAGCAACATGGCAGCATTCTGTCAGGCTTGTGTTATTTGTGGAGATAAAACAACAACGTTGCAAAACAAACGATGGCAGTGGAAGTCACATTGTCGTTAGCCAATCAGAGATGAGATGTCCCAATATCATGAATAATAATGAGTAAGACTCCAAATCCCGCCATTTTCTGCCCTCCTCTCCTCCAGCTAAATGCTACTTTTGGAAACAGGAGCGCCGGAGCTTTTTTTTTCACATAGAACAACTAAATAAGAATAAAAAAGTTTATTATTGTGTAATTAAAATGTATAATTGTAATAAAGTGCAATTGGGTAAAGCAATATTTACTGGGAATGATTCATAAAAATAAAAGCTAGAATTTACCCTGAGTTGCATGTAATAACTGTTTAAGAACTCAAACAGTATCGCACTTTAACTTATGTAATAACCATGTAAGTACTTAGTAACTAGGGGACTGTAAAAGGAAGTGTTACCAAAAAATGTTTGAAATGTTTGAAAAAATAAGGTCAGACTGAAATCCCATCTTCTTTTGTCTTTGTCAGCGAAGAGCACTGTGAGCAGCTTCCAGATCAGATCTAAAACTGGACTTGTGATTTTGATTTAATCTGTCAGCATTGGAATGACATTACGCGTTTCAGAGACGCTCTGGTGTGATTGGTTGTCGGGGAGCAGAGGCTTCCTAAAATTAACTGCTCTATTTTTGTTATTTGTTTCTTTGTCTCTAAACCCACAGGCGCTGTTTTCTTTTGATTTAATTGCAGCAGCATGTTGTGGGTTTGATCTCAGTTGTTTCCTCCCAGCCTCAGAAAGCTGGAGTCGCTGGTGGCACATGGCGTTGGACCACTGGGACCGCAGGCGGAGGATTCATTTGTTTTGAAGGGATTCTGTATGGAGAAATAACCCTCTTTGCATCGACTCAATATTCTTTTATACAGAGAAGGAAGAAAGCTCAGTCTGTGCAATGAGGACTTGATGTTTCCTCAAACAGTTTAGAAAATCTTCATAGCTTCATTTTGTGAATTACTGTGGTTTTCTGCTAAATATTTTACATTTCTGAATGCATTTGTATTAAGATGTCCTCTTCTTGACGGCTTCAATTACAATGTTTTTTTATATAATTAAAAACTCATTTCAGATTCATGAGGAAATATTATTTGCCTCATTGCATCACAAGTAATGCTAAAACTGAGCCGGATATTTCTGCTCGTTATTTTTATAGGAAATCTTGTGTTTCTCAGTGATAACTCACATCGTAGCAGACCATTAGGGACCTCTGCCATCACAGATGGTGTCTCTGTCTCGCTTATTTATTTTCACTAACTGAGTCATGAGTTTGAAGCAACACATGGGCTCGCTGAATGTCTTTCCCAATAGCACATGAAAAATAAAGCCACTGTTGATGTGAAAGCTTTTCAGAAAAATCCAATCTTTAAACAGAAAGACACAAACACACTTCTTTATTATTAGTTGTTTTTTTATCCTCTCTCTCCTGTTTAACTCCTACCTGCTGTCCTCACCTGTCCTGTCCAGCCCCGCCCTGTCTCCCATGCCTTTGGCTGCCTTTGGCCTGTCTGAGACAGCTGCACAGAGAACTGTCTTACAGAGGTCCTCCTGAGAGCTAGAGGGTGCCGTCCACTCCGCCCGTCAGTCTCTGTGTGCCTCTGTTCCCTGTTCAGTCCTGCTTTGGCTCTGTTAAACCTCTCTTCTTCTTCCCTCCTCTTTCACAACACCAGGCGCGGCTCCCCTCCTGTTCATCCACCCTAAGCATTGCTGAGGTACTCCTGCATGTGTTGGGAAGCATAGTTACTGCCGTCACCATGGAAACACATCCCTGTTTTCCTGCCTGGCATGACAGCTTCATGTCGCCCTATACTGTCTGTGGCGTGCCCGTGTGTGGGGGTGTGGTCCTCCCTACATCACTCCTGCTTCTTTTTTTTTTAACATTTGTTGTCGTTTCATACTAATGGTGTCTGGATGTTGTCTCGTTTTGGTGAACGGACCGTATCTAACTATCACCTCGTCTCCATGCTAACACCCAAACTCTCATCACTGCGTTTCAACCTCAGAGCTGAAGTTGAAAGTTGCTTATATTGTGTGTTTTTTTTTTGCATTTCTCTGCCTCAGTGTGCACCTCGCGTCCTCTTAAAATGACCTCATTGATACACAAACATCAGTTGTAAAACAGAGGCGGTTTTCTAAAAGCCTTCAGAGCTCCGCTGTGCTTCTACTCTGGTTTTGGTCCAATGGCTGATGCGCTGCTTTAATAGTAACGTTGCGATCTGGGCGTATGTTAGACCTGCAGACCTGTAGACCACAGGTTTTTTCAACATTTATGCTGCTTTTTCTGCAATCTGCCATATTGCTCCTGTTCCTTCAGCAGCCTGTAAACCTTTAATCATAACAGTCTCTGCTTCTCAGTGGATAATTTTGGAGGATTTTTCCACACTGAATAATGCCATGCAATGTTGTAAATGACACCACAGAGTTATAAGTAAAATATGACTCATGTAGGTCCTCTGGAAAAAGAAAATGACAAAAGTTTGAGTTTGGAAAAATGGAAAATCTGTTATTTAGGGTTAAGGATAGACATTACTGCCTGTTTTATATGATCTGGGAAAACTGAAAACCTTTTTCCTACTTGAGCAGGTTTAGATGATTCTCTCCAGATTACAAATGGTAAATATACTGCATTTGTATAGTGCCTTCTTAGGGTTCTACAACCCCCCAAGGCACTTCACAACACAATCCGTCATACACCCATTCACACGTTGATGGGGATGAGCTACAGTGTAGCCACAGCTTTCCGGGGACAGGCCTGCCAAACACAGGCCCTACCGGTCCCTCCGACCACCACCAGCAGCAGGCAAGGCAGGTTGAGTGTCTTTCCCAAGGGCACAACAGCAGCATTCTCTGTTCAGAGCCAGGATCCAACCTGCAACCTTCCGATTGCTGGACCACCCACTCTACCTCCTGAGCTATGCTGTCCCGTACAAACCTGATATTTATCAGAATCCGGACTAATTTGATGCTGGTATCAGTTCAACATACTGAGCAGATCTAGTCTAGCCTTGGTTTAGACCAGAGAAGAAGCACAAACCTTCTGTGTTAACATATGTATGCACACACGCGCGCGCACACACACACACACACACACACACACACACACACACACACACACACACACACACTTTACTGTAACTGTTATCACTAAACCATTTCTGTTCTACATCTATCTCTGGCCCTGTGGGGTTGGTGTTTACCAGCAACATGTTTCCCGTTTTGTAAACTTTAAAATTTCCTTTGATCTGATTGGAGAGTGTGTGAGAGGCTGTTAGTGGTTTGTGTGTGTGTGTGTGCGTGCGTGCGTGCGTGTGTGCGTGCGTGTGTGTGTGCGTGCGTGCGTGCGTGCGTGTGTGTGTGTGTGTGTGTGTGTGCACGTGCAAAATAACCAGATTGTGGGTGTAATTAAATCTAAAGGCACTATTAATTTGTACTTTACAGAGTGGATGTGCATGCCCATGTGTGTGTGTGTGTGTGTGTGTGTGTGTGTGTGTGTGTGTGTGTGTGTGTGTGTGTGTGTGTGTGTGTGTGTGTGTGTGTGTGTGTGTGTGTGTGTGGTATGAAGGTGAGTGACTGTCCTATGGCTCCCCCCAGGCCTCACGGAGAGAATTCAGGGCTCACCTGGATGAGGTCATCACGCTCAAGTCAAGGTACTCTACCTTGGACCAGGTAAACCCGCTAACCTTCTAGCAACTTCTTACCTACTGGCATGCAGGCTTCCCACCTAGCACCTCCACGTACACACACACACACACACACACACACCATTCTTGCACACAGGCACAGAGGCAGCGAGAGATATGTTAACATTTCAGTTCATGTTGGGCAGCACTTTAAAAGGATTTGGTTGTTTTAGTTGTTTGTCCATTTTCTATTTTACCTGTTGTAGATGGCTTTCTGAACAGCCTCTGTTTGGAGAAACAACATTTACATCCTGCAGGAACGAACATGTATTTTCTGCAGAGGTTGACCCATGGGTCACCACTTTTTACTTTTTCAATAATGACCAACATCCCAACTCTTCAATGCCTCTGTCTCCAGATTTGCACCAGAACTCCTTCATCCGTCTCACTTCTGCTCGTTTGCTTTGGTCTGATTTGTGTCTGGGGCTGTGTTGTTTCTGCAGAGAACGTGTGTGTGTATTCGTGTCTATGTGCCTGAATGTCTGTAGTTGTGCAAACGTTTTACTCGCTCCCAACTCCTTTGTTACTTTGCTTTCGAGGAGCCAGCTCTTTTTGCGATCTGAACTCCTGGAAAACAAAAACTCAAGACAACCTTGGGATAGATTGAGAACATCTGGCTTCTTGGAGGCAAAATATGAAGAAAATGGGCTGACTCGAGGCTTTTACACAATGCAGTACAAAATGCTAAATTAGCGAGGGATCGGGTGGGAGTCCTTAAACCAGGAAACAACCAGAAACTTGACTCTGGATTTTACTTTGGCCTCTAACATTTTGACCCCAGAAGCATTTTGATTTGTTCCAATGGGTGACGACTAAAACGAGCATCTCTTCTCTGCCACAACCTTCTCCTCTTCACTCTGATTGTATAAATCCTCCCTTTTCTTTGCATAATTTGTCTGACAGCTTCTTTGTTTTGTGCTGAGCTCAGCACCGCAGCAGTTGCATCCCATCATTTCCTCGAGCATCTCCTCAGCCGGCTGCTTATTGGCTTCATCGATTTTCTTCTTTTGTTTTTCCTCTCATCACGGCTGGCTCACGGGCTCTGAGCCACGTGTCTCATGAGCCCGGCCACACTCGCTGCTCCGTGTCTGTATTCACTCCTTCCCTCCCGGCGCATTGATCTTCCTGGCACGTCTCCATGACAACCCCTCGTCAGCCTGTTTCCGCGGCGACGATGGGCTCTGGCATGTGGAGTGATTAGTGTTTCTGGCCCTAAAGCAGGTTTTTGTTTATTTATATTCTTTAAAATGCGTTTCCTTTTCCCACATACCGCCTCTTAGTGAAGGGGTCAGATTTAAACCTTCATATAAGGTTCGAGTTAACTTTGCTCCACGAGGAAACATTTTCAGTTACTGTCCTTGTGATTGTGTGTGTGAGGAGTGTGTTTGCATATCTCTCACCAGCCCATCGTCATCCCTCACATGGCCAGTCTCTCACAAATAATTAGGGGTTACAGCTGAGGATTAGAAACAATAGAAGGAAGGTGTGATTGCCTGTTTCACCCCTCGTAAACATCACAAACATACCAATCTGCTTCCCCAACACATTTCCCTTCAGCTCCTCCCGTCTTTATCTCCATAAGCAAACTTTCTCTCCTCACTGAAGGTATGATCTTCTGTACTAAACTTTGTTTTGTCTGTTTTGTTATCATTCTGAGATCATTTTTACCACTTGTGTCACCTGCCACCACTGCGTTCAGGTTTTCAGTTGTTTTCCAGCTCATGGCGACTGAATATTTACTGATTTATTCAAAGCAACAGGTCAGACAATGATCCATTACCATAAAGTTGATGTAAAACTGGATTAAGAAGTAGGAAGTGTGTGATTATTGTGGCGTGCATTTAACGAGACTTGCGAAATCACTTTTTTTATTCTAGATGTTTGCTGCTTTTAAGCAAGACTCTCCTTGTACAAAAATGTCCTGATTGTTGTTTTGTTTGTGCTTTTCTGTGTGCGCAAGTTTGATCTGTGTCTTAAGCAGTTTTTAGCTCACTTTTGTTTATTTTGTGGGTTTTTTGCTTTTATCCCAACATACGTCGCTCTTTCTGTGCACCTGAAGGTTGTGTATCCATGTGCGTTTGCAGGAATTTAAACAAACTCAAGAACTGAGCTAAATTAGGACATTTTTAAATTGCATTTTTCTAAATTAAAGCAATAATTAAAAAGACAACAAAAAGGGAAAATTGTGGGATATGCAGAAAACCTTTTATTCCAGCTGCTTAACTTTATTTTGTGACGGTAACTTAATCTCGGGAGAACATATTGAAATCTAGTAAAACACTAAACTCTGGAATTTTTATGAAATTATGCAATAAAGCAACTATAGCTAGTTTTCTCAGAGTTTGATCACTATGGTGGAAATTTTCGTAAAATCTTTGAATGAAAGCACACATGACCACCGTAAGAGGGATGGCTTCCTTCTTTCCTACATTTGCATGTTTAATTATTTCCGCTCACTTCCCAAAATTGCCAATATTAACACAGAAACAGACATAATTGTGAACCACAAGGAAATGGAAATGTTTACATTATGTACACTAAAAAAACAGTCAGTGAAATCAATTCTAGGTTAAATTAAAGTAGAAATCTGAACATTTTTTCTCAGAGGACACCATCTAGAGGTGGGAAAATGTATTGCACCTTAAACCCCCACGACTTCCATGATTACAGCTGGAAGCGACGCCTCTCGTTCGTTAACACACACCTCAAAGATGAAACACACCGTTTTAAATTATTAGTCTCTCGTTATCCTGAGCTGCATTTTCTTTTGTATTAAAAGTGCTATACAAATAAAGTTTGATTGATTGACTGAGCACTGCTGTAGCCAATAGCGTTAGACATGTTCTTGTGTAAAGATGTCAATCAAAGAGCTTGTGCGCGTTTGAGGAAGTACCTAAGTCTTCAAAACATATTTATGTTTATATATCAATGCTTTATCTCCAATATACACTCACTCACACACACACACACACACACACACACACACACACACACACACACACACACACACAAGAAACTGGAGAAATGCCAGGACCTCAAAGAAGAACTTAGCAAAAAAAATGACATAATGCCTCCATTTTATCACAGTACAGGGTAAGACCATCACTTTTACTAATTTCTATATAATCATACATAATTCCTGAAAAGGAGGTAACTCTGCATTTCTGCTTTAAGTAGACTGGAAGTTTCACATAAAGTATAAATCAATCCTGAGTGTTAAGTGTCATTTTTTATGAGTTGCTCTTACAAGTACGGTGCTGTTTTGCAGATTTCAGAACCAATTCTCTGAACATCCTGTATTATTCAGGAATAAAATAAAGACAAAATCGATAAAGTAAACAAACATCCCCAAGGAAACAAAAAAACATGAAGGGGAATATTTAAGTTAATTACAAGGAGACTTTTGGTGATCACCAGGCGACAAGCCTTGATTGCAGAAATTGCAGAAAAATTGCATTGCTGTTGAAATCTCGCTGCTTTTCTGACGTTGAGCTGGTGTTTATCTCCAAAGGTCATTGGGAAAGAGGTGAGGGACGGCTTGGACAGGTCTCCATCACAAGAACAGAGAGAGACAACCACCCCCACCATTTTAAAGTCGCCAGTCAACCCAACCCACACACACTGCTGCACAGGGAGAACATGCAAACTCAGCCACAGTTGGGATTCAGACCTGCAACCATCCATGTTAATAGCAAATCTCACTGTGACTGGTGAAAAATGTTCTGGAGAAGGATTGTGGTTTCACACAAGTTTCTCACTCACAGCAGCACATGGGGGGGGGGGGGGGGGGGGGGCACATCAAAATAAACCAGCAAACCTAGAGACAGGAGACTCTTTTCAAGATGAAACCTTCATAAGCCTGAATGAAGCCTGAGGGAATATTCCCATTAGAGATACTGAAGGATCTGCCTACATTCTTCCTTTTTGGCGCTGGTTCTACGATCTCCCCGCTGCTACTTCTGCTAGGGTTGCTTGTTGTTGTGGATGCCTGTTTGTTCGTGTGCCCTCCTGTCTGTCCGTCCGTCCGTCTGTCTGTGGTCCTGTGGTTGCTGGGACAGATGCACTGATGCCTGTGATTCAATGCTTTATCTCCACTAGCTCCAGTGTAGGTTGGAGGGGCTTAAAGATGATCGCAGGAGGACCTTCAGCTCTCGAGTAACTATCCCCCACCCCCCTCCTCCTCCCTCACCCTCCTGAGAGGATTGCACTAAACAAATGCCCTCTCCCCCTCTTCTTGCTTGCCTATGTCTCTGGCTTTCTCTCACCTGTCTCTCCTTCCGTCTACAGTCACTTGTCTGTTTCTCGTTCTACTGTCCTTTCTACACTCGTCGCTTTTTGTCTTGATATCTCTGTCGGGATTCTTTCTCTCCTCATCTCAGCCTCCTTCCTCCATCTGCCTTCTGTCTTTCTGGTTAACATTCTCTGCTTTCAGTAGCTGTCTGGTGTGCTGGATGTCTGTTGAGTAAATGCCATTGAGACTGGTCTTTGATGTTTTTTTTAATTTCCTCTCGTTTCTCTTCTCTCTGCCGTGTCTCAGCTCTGTAGTTTAGTGGTCTGTCTAGTCCGTGCTTCCCGTTTTTGTTCCTTTTCTTTGTCTCTGGGCTGGAGGACCACGTTATGCTGATACTCATTGTTCTACATATTTAGCTATCTCTCCACCCCTTCCCCTCCACCATCCCATGCAGCCACATCCACCCCCTTACATCAACCTTCTCACCTTGGCTGTTTGGTGCCCAGTGGTGTTGCGCTGTTAGCATTTTAGGCTGTGAGGGATGGGAGGAGAGAGAAAGGGGTGGGTGGGTGGGTGAGAAGGGAGAGCCCTTCACCTTCACCACGGGGGTTTTGGTTCTCCGTGCCACATGCACCACCCACACCCAACCTGGTCAATAACTTTAGGAAGGGAGGACCTGGAAATCGCAGAGGGAGTGAAGAGCAAGTTCAGTTCACACATCTGAAAAGTGAGGTCCATAAGAAGAGCGATTGTGGCAAACATTCACACTTATATACACACATATATATATATTTACAAATTCTGTACTAAACATCAAGCCCAACATGCTGTATTGTTATTCTCCTTCCTCTATCCAAGACTGAGCTTCCCAAAATCACAAGAGAGTAGCTTCCTAACGAGGGCCTACAAACACCTGTGTTGCAACAACATGCCATTAGATCAGCTTGTTGTTTTGCTTTTAGTAAATTAACTTTTAACAACATAATGAGGCAGAATGGTCCATTTCTGTTTGCCTCAGCAGATTGATGTCACACTTCCTGCAGCTAGATGGATTTCAGTCTACATTCTAGGGCCGTATCCAAATTCTACGCATCATGTTTTCACTCATAATTTATTTGTACTGAAACATGGTTACTTGGAATAAAGTCCCAAAAATTTTTAGGATGATTTTTCTTTTGATAATTGATAAAAAAAATAGTCTAGCAAACCGTCCTATCAATGTAAATAAACTGTCTTGCCACAAGCCATTGGAACAACCCAGTTGTGGGGCAGAATCCGCGGTCGTCTTTCAAACTCTCTCTGCATGCAAATGGACAGTGTTGAGACCAATCAGAGGTCAGTCAACAGGGCAGTCCACCAAAACCATTGATGAAGACGCAAATAAATCCTTTTTTCAAAAACTAATTACTTACGTAAGTACCTCTGTCTGATCATATATCGACGAAAATCTCAAGTCTAAATCAGCCAAAGTTGATGCCAAAGCTGTTTTAAATGAGCGCCATTTCTGAGCCGACGCCATCTTTGTAGATTTTCCCCATCGTAGCTCTAGCGTTAATTCTACCTATCAAACAGATCGCTGTGATTGGCAAGACACAAAACTGTTTGGGCCAATGGTAGACCTGCTGAGGCTACAATGAAGCGTGGCCAGATCAACCTGCACAGCTAAATCTTTTGCTGTTGCTATGGTTGGTCTCGATGTCTAGGCTAGACAAAAATAGATTTTTAGAAAATATGCAAGCAACAATAGTACCAAAACCACTTCAAGCATTTCAGTTTTGTATCACCTCTGCAAATCTGCTCTTGCTTTGACCACCATTATTACAAAAAAACTAAAATATCCTGTTCAACCCGCATTGGATCTTGGGTATTGGGTGGGCCGTAAAGGATACAAAAGACCCACCCATCAAATTCAGAAATAAGAAGGATGTATTTCTGGGCCACTTTTGGAGGAGCCTTCAAATTTGGACAGCTTTTGTTGCATCGCTGTGACGTCGAATGCAACCTTCAAAGGAAGCAGCCCCTAGTTGGATGAGTCAAGTTGATCTTAATTCTCATACTGAATATTACTGCTGTACTTATTTGTCAACAGCTGTCTGAAACTTTGTTTCAACCTTTTTATTTTGTCCGGCTTTCTTCATCCAAAGGCCAAGACTTACCCTAACCTAACCCTGGTCACATACGTGGGCAGAGGTCATGACCGTTGTTCCCTTTGTAAACACAACTGTAACACTGAAAAGGAAGCATTTGACCTGTTGTCTTGGGAAGCTCAGCCCAGCCTTAAACCAGCCCCCCACCCCCACCCCCACTCTGACATAGATCATGAGAAGCTAGCTCACAGAATCAGCGATTTCCAGCGATACCTTTCCATCCTGCACCATATCTGAACAGCCGCTATCTAGACTCAGCACAACATGTCCACCACATTCAGTGTTAAACTTTGACTCCGTTAGAACATTGTTTACGACATTGTGATGCAATATTGTCACTCTGTATGTTGTTGCCTTTGTCCGTAAAGCCTGTTTCTAAAGGTTTTTGATAGTGTTGTGCAATGTCGGTGCATTTTTCAGCATCACTACCGCCTGTTATGCAACGTGATGTAATGTAAGTGATCATACCGTAGAGCAGGAGATGCAGCCATCTCTCATCCGCAGGACAAAGTGCACGGTGTAGTGTGACACAGCTCTTGCTAGTGCTTCTGAATGTTGTATAAACAGGTTGCCATCTCCACCATGTCACAAGTGCAGCTTTGTTTATCTCAAATTATCACTATTTTTGTTCTGTCTTCCCTCTCTTTTTGCCCTTTCTCTCTCTCATACCCTACCAATCGCTCTCTCGTCTCCAGGTGCAGTCACGATGCAGCAGCAAAGAGAATATCCTAAGATCAAGTAAGTGTCACAGGGTGTGCCCCTAAACTCGTAATTAGATGTTAAGCATGCATGTGATGCGTGATGCAAACGTTTTCACGTGTGCAGTTGTTGTCTTGTATTTGTTAAGCATTACATCAAGCATCAGAATATGGGTTTAAAGGCATGAAACTGGGTCAAGGCAAATCAAAGCGTGGAAGATATTATTTAATGTGAGGGAGAGGAGGTAGGAAAAGATAAAGAGAGGAGAACTGAACAGATTTCATATTAGTTGCACCCTGGAATTAGTAGAGAATTTAGATGATGTTGTTGTGCATTTATACCTGCAGTCAGCAGAGGAAATAGTCCTAATCCAGTTCTGTATATGAGTGCGAATAATGTTGTTTGGTTTCATTTACGATGACTTTTACTGCTACAGGTGCGAAATTTGTTGCACAGATTAGGGACGTTGTCAGGAAAAAGTAAAAGTACACTCTAATATCATATTGTGGAAGAGAATCCCAACAGAGAAGTCTCTTAAATTCTAAATCTCACTGGCTGCTATGATTTGAGATTACACAACTTGGAAAGGAGTTTCCAAGATGTCTCAAAACATTTGCGAGGGTTCTCGATTTCCTCACGTGAGCCACAAGGCCCTACTGTTATGGTGTTTTAGTTTTGGACATTTGCAAGACAGAATTGTTGAGAGTCTGGAAGTCAAACAGTGTGGGACAACTTTGAGGTGTTGGGAACAAATTGTTGATCAACTGAAGATAAATAGCAGATGGAAAAAGTTGCACAAATGTTGTAGTTCTTGTTCCGTCACTCCACATTTGCCGCATACCCCAAACATATTAGAAAAGATCTTGTTTTTTTTTACTTATTTTTTAAAGATGACTGGTCACTCTGAGCTAAACACCTGTTTCTACCCCTAATTCCTGAATCAGCCACTGTAAGACAACAGTAATAGACAATGTCACTTGATTTTTGGGATTCATGGACTCACCCATCTTGGCTCGCAAGGGAACGCTGCTGTTGCTTTAGCATCCGGGAGAGAGCAGAGCACGTCTCGGCTAACAGATGCTATCTATTAGCCTTAGCATAACATGGCAGAACTCCTTCAGACTTGTGTTATTTATGGCGAGAACACATCTGCATTGCAGAGCGAACGGAGTTAGTGGAAGAGTCGTGTTGCTGTTATCCAATCAGAGTCAAGATGTTTGAATATCGTGAATAATGCCGCCTTCAGCTCCCCCTTCTTCAACTAATTTCTTGAAAATTGAGCCCCAGAGCTTTGTTTCAACCGAGAACTCACAAGGCATTCATTTATACTAGAGAGCACAGAGTGGGAGCTTTAAGTAAGCTCTTTTTTTTTTCCACTAAGCAGCATTTTCGTTGTAGAACTTTTGGGTGTATCAGAATATTTCATAACATGAAACAAATTTTGGTCTTTTTTCCAAGCATCTTCTCCATCCACGCAGGTCACAGTGCAGTCGACATCACAAAGGTGGCCCGAAGACACCGCATGTCCCCGTTCCCTCTTACCTCTATGGACAAGGCCTTCATCACTGTGCTGGAGATGACCGCCGTCCTGGGCACTGAAATCATCAACTACAGAGGTGTGTGTGTGGGGGGGTCATTATTTCCCCTTGAAATTCAGAGAGATATGCTTTGTGGCACCAGCCTCTAAGGATGCTGGGTAATTACGCTGTTAACGCTTTCGTGGTATTGTGGCGGCTTCATTCATTCAGCAGTGAGAAAGCGTTGGTCGCCCTGACATAAACTCTCCAGGCTGCACAAAGATGCACGTAACGAACAGGCTTTACCTAAAAATAGCTGCAGGAAGCAGCAAGGGAGACGAGCATCTCAGAAGGATGCAGTCACCATGACAACTCTGCCAATACATAAAATATAAGATGACATCATCATCATGGCAGCTTGCAATGAAATGTGAAAAATACTTCTGCTGCTTAAGGCTTTGTCCTAAATGCTGCTTTATCTGCATGCACGTTCGGTTTTCATCCCTGGAAATCAAAGCGTTTAAATTAACATTATCAAAGCACAAAGAGGACTCAAATGCAGAGCTCACACAGTTTAATCAGCAGAAGGGATTCCTGGAGTACAACACAACTGAAAAGTCCAAATCGAACTGAATACACTTTTACCAAGTGTTTCTGAGAGCAGGTTCACATCACACAACAGGAGAAGACAAACTGGCAAAGGAAAATGTTGCAAAGATGCTTAAATGGAGAAGCCAGGACCCAGGTGCAAGACATGAGGCAGATTAGTGAGGAGCCTCATGTCGTGAAGCTGCCTGCCTGTAATGAGACAGGAAGTGAATGCACAAAATAAAACAGGAATTACCAGAAATACAATAAAACCAGAGACAAAACTGCAAAGCACTCAACCTGCAGAATCACCCATGACAAACATTCAGAACCTCGAAGTTAAGAGATGGGTTTTTTTATTCCTCCCACTCTTCCATTGTGCTTTTTCTTATTTTTTTTAGCTGTTAAAGAGTTTACTTTGATTCTTCCACATCAATGAAAGTTTATTTGTTTCATTCCAAATGTTTTCTTGTGACACGTGTTCTTATATAAATCCTCCTATGTCTGCTTTGGTTTCCCCTCGTTTTCCAGCATTTATTCCTGATCCCACTTCTCTGCCTCACTTTTCTACCAACACAGATGGAATGGGTCGAGTTCTGGCTCAGGACGTTTATGCCAAAGACAACCTTCCACCTTTTCCTGCTTCGGTTAAGGATGGATATGCTGTGAGAGGTGAGAGTTTCGTTTATCCCTTTTGAGACATTTGATGAAGACATTCTTACTTTTTCATTGGTTTGTTTCAGCGGCCGACGGCCCAGGTGACCGCTTTATTATAGGAGAATCCCAAGCTGGAGAGCAGGTTTGTTACCCTCACCGTCTACATTTAAAAACAGATATTTGAGCTTTTGTTTTTCGTGACATCTTTGACGTTTCACTTTGTCTTGAACGGATCCGGTTGGAAAAACGTATAAATTTCTCGTCAGATGAGAGTCTGTGATTTCCAGCTACGCTTCAGATCACTTAAACTAGCTCAGATGATGGAGAAGAAATTGCAAGGAGCTGCAGCCAATTTTTGTGAATAAATATGATGATTTTGGACAAGGATGTTATTTATCTACCAGTTTGTGTTTTTTTTTTTTTTTGGGGGCAATCCATTGGAATCCTTTCAGCAGCTGAATAGAGGCCAAATGAACCCACTGCTTCTGTGTTTGTTAGATTTTGCGACTGCACCACCTCAGGCCATTGCTGAAGGTGATGGAGGTTTCCCAGTTCAAGATGGCCACCATATGTTCTTCACCTTTGCAGAATTTAAGCTAAAACTTGCCGTCATTTGAGTTTGAGCTCTCTGCATTGTGCACCATCTTTGGCACAGATTACAGGTACTTTCCAGCGAAGCTAGGATCGTGCTTTTAATTGCACCCCCCCCCTTCTCTGTATGTGAAGCCCACCCACACAGTGATGCCTGGCCAGGTGATGAGAGTGACGACGGGTGCACCCATACCCTGCGGGGCCGACGCCGTGGTCCAGGTGGAAGACACGGAGCTCCTCCGTGAATCTGAAGATGTAAGTTTGGTGTCTCCTTCACAATAAAGGCAGATTTGGTGAGAAAAAAGTAAAGAGCAGTAAAACCTGCAACTGAGACACAATCTTTTTTTTTTTTAAAACAACTGTTGTGTGCTTTAGGGAACAGAGGAGCTGGAGGTACGAATTCTCGTGCAAGCTCGCCCAGGGCAGGATATCAGGTTAGGTTTGTTAATTATATCAGGGAAACATTCAAAAAGGTCTTCCTAACTTGAACCCACGAGCTATGTTTAAAGCTACAATACCCATTATGAATGGAAGCCAAAGGAAGGCTTAAAATGCTGCCTTTTTTAAAGCATTCAGGGTTTTTCTTTAATTAAATGAAGTGTTTTAATCTCCACAGGCCTATCGGGCATGACATCAAGCGTGGGGAGTGTGTGCTGGCAAAGGGCACCCATATGGGCCCCTCAGAGATCGGCCTCTTGGCCACTGTGGGAGTCACAGAGGTTGAAGTCCAGAAGTTCCCTGTGGTGGCTGTCATGTCCACGGGAAATGAGGTGAAACTTGTCAAATTTGTGTTTAATACGGACAAAAATGCAACAAACGGGTCTGATTTTGTCTCCTTTTGTGCATTTGTGTTACTACTACTGTCTAGACTAAATCTGTGTTTATATCACACCTTGTTTAAAGTTCATGCAAGTCAGCCAATTCTGTGTTGATTCAGGCAATCAGTTGGTACGTAGCCCTGAACGGACTCAAAAGCTTGAATTTCATGTTATTCCCCAGCACTCACACAAAAAAGATTTTAAATGAAATAATTAACATTCATACATAATAAATCTCTTTTTGAATTTAAAGCAGAAATGCTGAAGAAACGCTGTCAATAACTTTTTTTTAGTTTAGTTTATTTCAAACAAAGAAAACATACATCTTTTTTTTTAAATACCACAAACAGAAAAAATACATATCATCATCCCTTTTTGTCTTCTTCTCTGTCTGAAAAGGAGTAGGCTGAAGTCGAAACTTATATGTCCCTACCCCTTTATACAAGTAATTTTTACTTGTTTACTAAATGTAACACAAAACCTACATTAAAACAAACAAAATGGTACAAGTCACCAAAAACCACCAAACCATATGGAAAAAAAACACATCTTTTTACAATTGATGCTCATATTTACTTTTCCTTAGAATAAAGGACAACCACATAAATCATCTATTTTCCTCTATATACTTGTTCAGAATATATTTTTTATAATTCATTTTAAACACATTTATATTTGCACTTACTTTGATTTCTTCTTCTAAATTATTCCATAATTTAACCCCTATTATTGTGATACACATCTGTTTTAATGTTGTTCTAAACTTATGTATCTTTAAGTTTAGTGTCCCTCTCAGGTTATATCCTCCTTCTCTCTCTGTGAACAGTTTCTGTATTTTATCAGGCATTAATTTATTTCTTACTTTATACATTATTTGTGCTGTTTTGTATTTAACCAAGTCCTGGAACTTCATTGTCCGCGTTTTAATAAAAAGTTCATTTGTGTGATCCAAATATCCTGCATTTGTTATTAATCTGATCGCCCTTTTCTGCATTGTCGTTATTGTTTGTAAATTACTTTTGTACGTATTTCCCCAGACCTCTACACAATAGCTCAAATATGGCAGTAGCATCGTATTGTATAACATATAAAGTGCTTTCTGATTAAAAATATAATAAAAAATATACTGGAACTTTTATTTGAGCCAGTGCATGAGAGATTCACAGCATCATATAAAAATTCTGTTAGTTTAGATGAAAAAGCTTTTGAACACAATAAAAAATGGGTATCTTCGTTATCTGCATCAGTAACAAAATAAAAGTATCTGTCGCAGCATCTCCTTTCAACTTTATCTGCGCTGTTCAGACTTAGGCTCCGCCCTCAGCAGGGGTGGGCACAAGGGGGTTCCAAGCTTGCTGTCAGGGTGTATCTGGCCCACCCTGGGCCCTCTCTAGAACCGCCCCTGAGCTTAGACTTTTCACACGTACTGTAGCAGCTAACAGATTACGCTCGATTCATGACAATATTTTCCAGAATTTGATCAAAGCAGCTTTTTAACATGAGATCAACTGAATAAAAACAGGAAAGTCGGTGGGTGGTGCCCATTCTTCAGCTGTTCCCCTGCTCCAACACTCACTTATTGATTCCCACCAGGTGGGCCGGTGCAGGAAAATAGAAAACTTGCAGGTAGAGGTCCTCGAGGAGTTTTTTTTAAAGACAGTGACCCAACTGAATTATTTCTTTCCTCACACAGTTGCTAATCAAGTGAACTTGGATTAAAAACACGCAAATCTCTCTGTTTTGTGTATTTTTTAAAGAGCACCACAAACATTTGTTTCCTCTTGTGTCTTGTTAGCTGCTGAACCCAGAGGACGACCTCCATCCTGGGAAGATCAGAGACAGCAATCGCTCCACCCTCCTGGCCACAATCCAGGAACATGGCTACCCTACTATTAACCTGGGCATCGTTGGAGACAAGTACGCCTTTGGATTAAGTCTCTAGACAAATTATCACCCTAATATTAGCTTTTACGGCATAGTGTCTCCTTTTTTGTGAGTTGGTAGCTGAGTGTGTGTGTGTGTGTGTGTGTGTGTGTGTGTGTGTGTGTGTGTGTGTGTGTGTGTGTGTGTGTGTGTGTGTGTGTGTGTGTGTGTGTGTGTGTGTGCGCGTGCGCACGTGTTGTCTTGCAGCCCCGATGACCTTCTCAACGCTCTGAATGAAGGCATCAGCCGTGCTGATGTCATCATCACCTCAGGAGGAGTGTCCATGGGAGAGAAGGTAAGAAAGAAATAAAACGTTTTTACTGACAACTAGTGGTAGATTTAAGGATGACAGACTTTTTAAAGGAAGTGTCACAGTGAAGTCTTTATTAAACTCATTTACATTTTGTAATTTTTGTCTTTTTTGTTGTTTGTTTGTTTTTGTTTCTATCTGCAGGATTATCTTAAACAGGTGCTGGATATCGACCTTCATGCTCAGATCCATTTTGGTCGTGTTTTCATGAAACCAGGGTGAGGAAAACGTTTTTTTCTCACGTTTATTTTACGTTTAACTGGAGAAATAAAATGAAAAACATATAAATATAATTCAATCTTATTTTAATAGATTTTTTGTAGTTATTTGTGTGTGTTTTTTTTTACAGGCTCCCAACCACATTTGCCACCTTGGACATAGACGGTGCTCGTAAACTAATCTTTGCCCTTCCAGGTAGTGTGTGAAGTTGAGAGTAAGAGTGATTCAGCCGGCTGCACGCTCAAAGACGTTACTCAGATATTGTTCTTTCTGCTCTCTCCCCCTCTGTGCGTGCTTCTGTCCTAGGAAACCCCGTATCCGCTGTCGTCACCTGTAATCTTTTTGTCATCCCTGCTCTGAGGAAGATGCAGGGCATTTTGGACCCCAGGCCCACAATCATCAAAGCGAGGGTAGGATGCTCAGAGATGTCAGGGCGTTCTGATTTCTCTGCATCGTGATTTGACGCAACAAACTGTAAAACAGGAGAACATCAATTTGTTTCATTTTCATGGGTTGCATCGCAACTAAAGAAGTCACAGCCAGGAATATTCATAATTGTGGAGCAAAAACAAAACACACACAAAGCTTATGTCCTCAGCTATTAGGATCAAGTAAAGGATCTGCTCTCCAACTACTAGGGGGGCATCCAGAGTGCAGTGCTGCATCATCTGCTGTTATAAAGTATAGGGAGCCTAAGATTCCTCCCTTTCCGGTCAGCTCACGGTTCCTCGAAAGAACGAAAAAATGAATGCAAGTCAACGGAGCTAAAAGGGCTTTTTTTCTAATCCGCTTTGCCTTGGACCCTGGATCCCACATGTGTTGTCCTGAAATTTAGATGAAAAGTAAGGATGGATGTTTCGAGCATGCCAGTACATTGAGTTTTATCAGCTTGTAAAAGTTCATAATTAGCATGACTAAATCGGCACGTCGCATATACGACGTCACCACATAATCTCCTCTCCCCTAGCGTAGCTGCTACTTTCCAAGGGGCCACCTTTATGGTGGTTTTTTTCTGCTGTGGGAAGGGTTTGAAGTTTGCTGAACTTACAGCCCTTTTCTCTCTGTTTTCCCCGTGTCTGGTTCGATGACGTCACTTTCGTGAAGCGCATTTTTAGTCCTGGACTTATTTTCACTCAAAACCTAAAATTGTGTTTCCCCCCGTTTGAAAACAAGCACTTTCTTGGTATCAAAATGCTTCTTTAAAATTCACGGACATCATATGTGAAATCCATGGAACATAACATGACTTAGGCTCCCCATTAGATCTTGAAGTTGTGTGTGTGTGTGTGTGTGTGTGTGTGTGTGTGTGTGTGTGTGTGTGTGTGTGTGTGTGTGTGTGCGTGCGTGCGTGCGTGCGTGCGTGCGCGCGCGCGCGCGTGTGTGGTTTAGTTTTTTTCCTATTCACACGTTTCAATCACTACGAATGTCTCCGCGTGTATTGGATGACATGTCTGTTTGACTAGAAGTTGCAAAGTTGTGCTAGTCAGATTATGTAACTATTTATATTTTCTTATTATCTAAATGCATTAAGAGAAAAATCCCAAAATCTACGGTGGATATAAATTCGTCCTGCTGCCACCAGAGGGCGTACTATGATGTTCCTGCTGCAGCTAGCTGATGATAGTTCCTGCGTTAGCTTTAACACATTTAACATTTATTTTGATTAATTTTGAGTTGTAGTAGTTAGATAGTTTGTATGAGTGAAGACACCCTGGCCTTCCCATTATCTAGGCTATGCTGTTGGTGCTAATTTAAAAAACATAGGAAGTTAAAGGTGCATGTTTTATTTTGAAAGAACATACAGGAAGTAATCAGTTGTGTGTTTAGCTTTATGTGGACGCTGCAGCTACCGCTTTTATCCACTAGAGGGCGAAAAAGCCCGAAACTAAAGGAAAAAGTTTTCACGTTTTCATCAAGTTGCCATAAATAATCCTTCATAACATAATCCCTTATAGACAGAGTATGTTGCCACCAACAAGTCAAATGACTGATTACCAGTAAGGTTTATTTAGACCAAAAAAAATGTTTTAAAAAAGCTGCATTTCAATTAGTTAAACATTATTTGTTGTGTAACTTTAAAAGAATTATTGCTATGTCTGGATACATTTCTGTGTGTGTGTGAGTGTGTGTGTGTGTGTGTGTGTGTGTGTGTGTGTGTATGTGTGTGTGTGTGCGTGCGTGCGTGCGTGCGTGCGTGCGTGCGTGCGTGTGTGCATGTGTGTGTGTGTGCCATTATGTAGAGATGTTATGTTGGGTGTTTAATTATGACCAATAAGATGTGATGATTCTATATAAATATAGAATATCAACCTGATTGATCTTTGAATGTTTAACCAGAAAAATTTAGGCTTCTTTGCTTATTCAGTGACCATAAACACACTTCGTATTAATTCAGACAGAGCCAAGTTCATAATTAAAAATTAACATTATTTTCTAGACTAATTGACAAGCTATGAATAATGATATGTGATGGGATGTGATGTGTGATGCTGGTGTAAAGTAGATGTATATCAGAACCTTTGTATCTGGAAGAAACTGAGTTCTGGGTGTAAATGAATTTGGTCTGCTTTAAACTAGAGAGTTGATTATTAATAAAACAACATCAGATACAATCTGTCGTGTCCTACAAACCCTGATCGAAGACCCCCGGTGTGATCCGGAATGTCAGGAAGTCCGGTGGACCCCAAGGCACCGAAGTTCGTGGAAAAAACCGCAGTACGACCAGTCCGTTCTCGGGTTGTCTCCAAGTCACAACAGGCAGGAAGGTTGTTGTGTCAAAGACGGATGGACTCTTAAGGAGTCTAGCTGTGACAGCTTTGCAGCGTGCAAAACACGTTTTGACTGTATGTCAAAGGAGATGTTTCAAAAGAGGCTGGTTCTGGATTGGCCACTCCGGAGTGTCATCTGGAAACAAAACTTGCTCAACTCCACTCAACTGACCTCAACAAAAGATTTTATATCTGACATGTTAGAAGTTGCAAACTTCTGCTAGACCTAACCTATGACCTGAGAGACACCACCCCACCCCCAGTCTCCCATATTTCCAAACCCAAAACCTGACAGGTATGGACCAAACGGTGCTCTGATAAATCCACACCTGCAAGGAGATAGGGGAAAAAATGCTTTGGAATGCATTTTGCAGGATTATGGAAGAATTTACTTTGTAGCCTAATCTACATTAACCAAACTTTTGTTTCCAGTTGTCATGTGACGTGAAGTTGGACCCTCGCCCTGAATACCACCGCTGCATTTTGACATGGCATCACCAGGAGCCTCTGCCATGGGCACAGAGCACAGGTACGACACACCAGCAGGAACATTGCTGTTCTATAACCGGGAATATCTGGGGGAATATCTGGTTTATCAATCTCCGTTAGTTGAGATTTTATATCCGAAAGAACTTCTTTGTTTAGAATGAAGCTGAAACTTGACATCATCAAGGCTCTGGATGCTATTGTGTTTATTATTATGACTTTATGGCGGATGTGGACAGATGGAAAACAGTTTTTAGTTTTTTAAAAACATTAATTATAAACGTTTTATGCAAAATCACTTGTTTAATAATAATAAAAGTCCCTAAATTAGGAAACATACCACCTTATTTATTTGAGCCCTTTTAACACGACATTACAACTAACTGAAGTGCTGCATGTTACTATAACAACACAGGCAGAAATATGTCACAGAAACGGTTAAAAAGAACAACAAAGTAAAGCCAAACAAGAAACTAATCCACAGATTTTAAATTGAACATCCAATGTGGAAAGAAGGATGACAAATTATGTCTTAATGCTTTATGGTTCAGGAGTTAAAGAAATAGTGTGTTTTCAGGCGTGATTTTAAAAAGGCAAAACAGGGCGCTTGCCTATTCTGGAGAGGTAGACAGTTCTAAAGTTTTGGGGCACAGATGGAAAAAGCCCTTTTCCCGACGGTGAGGAGGAGCTGATCTGCAGAATTAAGAGCACAAGGAGGGTGGTAGAAACGGAGGAGTTCCCTCAGATAGGGAGGGGCCTGACTGCTCAACGATTTAAATGCAGGAAACTGAATTTTGTAATTGATCCTGAACTGAACGGGCAACCAGTGGAGTGATTTAAGAATTGGTGTAATGTGCTTTCTTCTGTCAGCTCCAGTCAGGAACCTTGCTGCTGAATTCTGGACAAGTTGGTCTGAGCAGAGCAGCTTTACATCACCAGAAAGTTCAGATTAACCGTTTTTAACAGTCTGACACAAAAGTTTAATAATTGGTCAAAGTCATAAAACACGAAGACCACAGATGCACAAATGTGTTTGAAATACTAAAGGCTAGACCCACTGTGGCTGCTGTAACATCAGTGTTAAAGCAACGCTAAGTTCCTCCATTTCTCTCTCCTACTGGTTGAAAGTGGAATTACAACTGTCGTAAACAACCCCGCTGCAGCCTGCTGTAGCTAGCGCTGACACAAGCCAACTAATACTAAAATAATTCACGAAGTAAAAAGATCCACACGGCAAGGGCGCCCCAAGGGGTAGCCAGGGGTGGCCATGGCCACCCCTAGAAAATTGCTGCCCCCCCTAGGAAAAGTCTGTGTTAACAAATCATATTAATGTTCAGTCAAACCATATATTGATCTTGTTTATTCAAGACATAATTGTAAAACAAAATAAAATATTACAGTTAATGAGTAAAGAAATAATCTGAATTTTAATAAATACATGTTTCTGCTGCTCACCATTAAAAAATGTATCTCCATAGTTTTTTTAACACAACAACAGATGAATTAACCTAAAAATATATTTTTAAATTAAATTTGGGATTACATTTTAAATAACAAATGTATTTTTCTGAAATGTTTCTGTTTGTAAAATGTAAGTTAAATGTACTGTTATTTTAATAAAAACAAATTAAGGCACAATGTAGTACATTGCAGGCTAAATTCAGAATTCAGGCTAAATTCTCCAAGAGTTACCACAAGGACCAATTTGGTGTGCCACTCCAAAAATTTCTTTGGCCCCATCTGGCCACCCCTATCAAAATTTTCTGGAGGCGCCCCTGTCACACGGTCCAGTGGGAATAAAACCACGTCGCTGTCAGTCCGTGAGTCCATAGCCTCCTTCCTATGAGTGCAAAGCAGGTAGAGAGCTCCCACTAGTTTTCCCATCCATACCACACAACTGTGAAGTGTGGTTTCTGGTCAGCAGAGTGCTGCAGAGTGAAGTTGGTAAAGTTTCTACCTCAAGAATCACTGAAACCACTTTCAAAGCAATAGTGTTAAAAACTCTTGAGTGTTGCTTTAAGGAGCAAGAAAACAAATCGATCCAGGTAATTACCTAAATATTTCAAATCTGTGAACAAAGATGTTCCTAACGTCTTCAAAAATGTCTCCTGATGTGGGTTTGAAGCTAAATGTTGACAGTAGAGTATTTTATTGGTGAGCTAGGCGCTAGAGACCAAGACAATTAAACACCGTTTTTTGATGTTGTAAATCTTGCGCGTCATGTCCCTCTGCTACAGGAAACCAGGTGAGCAGCAGGTTGATGAGTATGCGCAGTGCTAACGGGCTCCTGATGCTACCTCCAAAAACAGAGCAATACGTGGAGCTGCACAAGGGGGAAGTGGTCGATGTCATGGTCATCGGACGGCTATGATGTCATCAGAGAGGGACGGCAAGACGGCGTCGTATAGCGAGGGTTGGAATGGGTGGTTCACGGTGCATGTCCACATATCATTGACTATTCTGTAATATGCAACGGCACAGCTAGTTTTTATTGATTTGGATAACGTTGAGGTATAGTCAACATCTTGATCACAACCTAGAGACATATGAAAAAAAAAACTATTTAAAAAAATTCTAGTATTTCAAAGAAAATATAACTTTTAATGAAAAAAATCTAATTATAAAGAGATTTATTCTGTAATATATTATTATGATTATTATTCTTATTATTATCATTATTCTTATTATTATCATTATTATATTAAGGCAACTTTGTTCCTTTCATTGCAATTGCTTTGTGTGTTCAATGCTAGACCTTATCTATAGCAGTAGCATTTTAATAGACAGCAGTAGGTGCCTGCCAGGACAAAAAAAAGAAAAGTTTTATTTTCTCATCTTTAGTGAATAAAAAAACTGCTTTTTGAAAGTGAAGAAAACATTAAGGACGGCTGCAGATTTACTGGTGCTCAGTTAAGATGAGAAGGCGCACATCAGGGCCACCTCCTCTTCTGAGTGCCTACCAAGGTGACACTTCTGATTTTCTCTCATTAGTATGCATCATAATGGCTTCACAAAGAGCTTTGCTTGTTGTTTATCTTGTGAGTCTTGTTTATGTGCGCAGTGCCAAATGCCTGGGCAGGATGGAGGTGTTGTTGGGACTTGGGAGGGAGGGAGGGGCCCAGACCCTGAAGCTTCCTTATATTCACGGTAACCGGGCGCTAAACTCAGCCCCAAACCCCACCGAGGGTGGCTTAGGGAGTGAGCTGAGCCTGGGAGAAGTAATCTTTTATTTGATCAACTATTTAAGAAAATATTAAAGAAAAGAAACAGCTTCTTTAAGTGCTGACAGCCTTTTTAACCAACTTCACACAAAATGTACAGAAAAAAATAACCATATTGTACAGATATATGTGACCAGCACTCCTAAGGAAATTATTAAGCAATGAGGAGACATTGAACAACGCTGTACTATAACATTTTCTGTAATGATATGAAACTGATGAAAGAGACTAAGATAATAAAAATCCTTGATCATTATGTAAGAAAATATCTTGTTTGGTTTCCTTTTTTAATAAACGCTGTCAATGGGAAAAAGTTGGGTTTTTTGTCATTGGTGATAATGGGATGGAAGCTCACTCCGATTTAAAGGCAAAAAATAACCAAAAACATTAACAAATATAAAAACGAGACATGTCTTGGTATAATGCTGGGGGGGGGGAGAATACAGGTATACAGCAGCAGCAATGACACGCTGGGTAAAAACTGGTGATCTAGTGCTCTACGCATTGATATGACTTGTTTTGCTTAAACATTGTTTTAAATACCAGAAATTAACCATTAGGTTGTTTCCAGTCTAGCTAGTCACGAGTATTGCTCAAGTCAGAGGACTACTTGTTTCTCAAGACTCGACTCTTTAGTTGTCACCTGGCAAGAATTGAGAACTCCAGTCCTGGACCTGGTCTGAAATTCTGTTTTGAGTCACGTTAAAGGGACTTGACTCGAAGAGCATGCCAATGAATTTCACTTGGACTCGGACTTGCAAAGTTAGGATGTAAACTTGGACACGGACTCTGATGTACAAATGTGACTCACCTCCCTTCGACATTTTCAACATGTCCAGTGAGCATCCACACGTATTGCGCATTGTGCCATTTGCTTTTGCAGATGTTTCATCAAAGTCAGGGAGAAGCAGTGCCAGATGTGCAGAATATGCAAGAGGACAACAGAAGACGAGGCTGGGACAAGTCTCTGCCGCCACGCTGTGGCCAAGCTAACACGGTAGCATGTGGCAAAGCAATAAAAAGCATGCTCCAAATAAATTTGAAAACAATAGTCTACTTGTTACCTGTACACGAAAGAAGATTGTGTGAAGTTGTGGTTAATATAATTGTGCAGTAATCTGACCTATACAACAAGCCAGCATTAGCATTAGCTACATGCTAATTCCAACAATAGCTATTTCACTTAGGCCTAGTTTTCTGGGTGCAAATGTGACAAGTGGTGTTTGAAAGTGGACGTTGGACTGGAAGACGGTGACTTGACTCAGACTCATAGGACTAATCCTATGTGACTTGGACTCAAACACTAGGGATTTGAGAGTGACTTGAACTCAATAGATGGTGACTTGACTAAAACACTGACTGCTGCTTGGGTAAATTCTATGTTTTTTCTGTTTTACTTGTTACATTTTATTCTATTCACAGATTAACAATTGATAAAAACTTCACTTAAAATTTCCTAAATCAACGTTTATGTCAGTATAATGTTCTGTTTGTTAGTGAGGGTGTGGGGCTAAGTGGGAGGCTTGTCCTGTTTTGTCTTTAAAGGGATACTTTGCAACTTTTTCATATTTTTAAATCATTTTCTTGAGCCATGTGCTAAAATGTCCCTTTGCATGGTTAATGAAACGCCCATGCCCCCTGTGGCCGGAATATTCCACTTGCAACTTAAGACTGGCAGGTCGCTCTGTTGGGACCATGGACATGTAAAAAGGATGGACATACCCTGCCTGTTGCTCTGTGGGGGGCAGGTTTGGTTCCCACTACCGCCACTTTAGCTGTGTCACAGGTCTAATCACGTCCACACAATCCAAAAATGGGAAAAGAGGTGGAGCTGAGGGTGGGGCTGTTATGGTTGGAATAGGATTAGAACCAAATAAACTAATGTAGCCACAAGCTAACTTGGCTAACCCAAGAAGCTAAGGATGAGCTCCGGGGTGGCCCACCTGTGCGGCCACCTGGCTTCCGTGTGAGGTCAAGTTGGTAGCTTGTGGAGCTTTAATGTGGACTGTTAAAATACAAGCAGAGCCTCGGTAAAGCGACTCCAAAAACAACTCAAAGAGCAGCAGTGTTTTGTAAACTCCCTCAGAGCTCCACAGTTGAGCAGCACAACTAAAACCTAGCATGGAAGACAGGCGGATGCGCGACACTTCTCAGACTCCTCAGAAGACAGGACCTTGTGGCCGCCTGCAAGTTGTTCCTGGCTGAGAGATGGGAGGGGCTGGGTGCCCGCCTTGCTGGGCTTCCTCCGCAAGCTTAGACATAGATTTGGGGGAGGATAAGGGGGGCATGTCCCTCCCACAGAGCCTCGTTCTTAATCCAGACAAATGTGTGATCAGTAGCATAAAGTACAATTTTAAAGAAATTTGGATACATTTTTTTCTGTTTTCTGCTAGAATCCTCTTCAAAAGTCACAAGAATTCATCCTTTGAAGATAAATAGAAGGTATTTCTTGACAGTAATCAAGCCCTGTATTTACAAAAATGGGTCATGAAAAAAATGTAAAAAGTTTTGGCATTAGGATATTTTTTACGTTATGTTTCATTCCTTGTTTTCTGGAAATACTTGGTTTGAAGCCTGAATTACCTACAAATGTGTTGTTTTTCTACTATTGTACATCTGTGTGTGTTTTTCATTGCTGCTTCTCTGAGCAACAAAAATCTAATGCATTTGAACAAATCCTAGAGAAATGTAAGTATTTAAGATTCAGGGACTAAAAGGAGACTCACAAGGAAAAGAGGTCAAATGCAGAGGTGTAAGGAAGTAATAAGTTAATAGGAAAAAGCCAGCTGTGGGATTTAGTGAAGGTTTTAAGGGAGGCATCACGAAATTAGACTGTTTCTGTTCTTCTCTGCAACAGCAGATGACAGCAGATCCCATTAGCTGGAGATGATTAATAGTGCCATGCCACGAAAGTAGACCTGCATCTATGTGAAAGTGTGTTAAAGTGTGAAGGTGACTGTAGAAAATAATGGCAAATTCCTCATCCCCTCAAGTGTGTTTGTTTCTTCAAGGATAAATGTTTGATTTTTATGAATATATTGAACCAGTTAACGCAATTGTGATTTTTGTTAATGGTTATTTGGATAAGCCTCCCTAATTTGTCATTTACATATTTGTTGTTTGTAAGCAAAACTTAAAGTAACAGAGAAAAGGAAAACAGTAGGTTCTAAATTTAGTTATTTGACCTGTTTTTTCAGCAATACAGATTGTCAAAAAATGTCAAATTGCACTTATTCTATGTTTTATAAGTGAAAATCGTTTTTCAAATAAAACGTAACCTCTATTTTTTGATTATCAGTATTATGGGGAATTAAACTGTCACATTGTGTAAAAGATGGGTTTTTTTTAAATAAAATTTCTAGATTTTGTATTTTCTCAGATGGTTTTTCAGGAGAGAGAAAAACCGAAGTTACTGTCCATGTTTTAGTTTTGACTTGTGTAATGAGTGTTAATTAAGGACTCAACACATTCTCACTCCCAACGCGTCAAAAACAAACGCTTGGTCAGCCACCCTCCACGTCAGACCCCTGACGCCAAAAGTGCCCTTTTTCGTTACTTATGTGCGAAAAGGGGTTTTTCCCTTTCTAACTACAGATCCCAATGCAGCGTAAAACTGACGTGATGAGATATCCGCCGATGCGGCACCGAACCAGCTCATTTAACCGCACCTAAACCTTAACGTTTCACTATTTATGACCTTCCCCTCTCCCTCATCCTAACCTTAACCCTCTTGCTACCTAAAACGTTACTCTCACTGTGATCAAGCGTTTGTTTCCCATGCATTCTGACCAAGGGCGTCAGTTTGTTTCCAGAATTGCTGGGGACAATAACCATACACTTGAGTGGGGTTTAAAAATTGCTGGGGACAATAAAGTAGGCTAGCACAGGGGTCGGCGGCTCTGGAGCCGCATGCGGCTCTTCCATCCATCTGATGCGGCTCTGTGTTTGTAAAATAATGAATGGATATTTAAATAAAAAGCTTTATATTTTACTGCATTAATTTTACATCTGTATGCCAATTCTAAATGTAAAGATTGTCTGCGTAAACCTGAACAGGTCCAACCCGGTCTTACTGTGAGACCGGGTTGACGCGTCACGCTTGTGCGTAATCATAGGCGCTTTATTAGCTGAAGACGATGTGAGATTCTGGGATTCTCCTCAGACGGCTCCTGGATGTGTCGCCACATTGGAGACGGGAACAAGCGCTATTCAGCCAAAGTTTCATCATCAGGGAACATTTTCTAAGTGACAAGTCTCTCTGAGAGACCGGGTTTGGAAAACACTCGCTTCAGTGGGAGGAACCTTCCCACATGCGCTCTGGGTGGCTCTGGGGTTAATCAAGTTTAATTGTTTCTCTTTGCAACAATCTTCACAAGAAGGCAAAACAGTTAAACGGCAGGTTACAGATATTTCCATTTGACTGTTTATTTTGACAGATGAACTCAAGGATGTTGCTTGGTTTGAAAGAATTACCCCCACGCACACTGATGCACATGGATGAGCTGACATTTTAATCGTTAACGCACATTGCGGAGGTAAAATATTCCCATCAGAACATCAGAGCTTTATACTGGACACTGTGTTCAGCGCGGCTCGGAGCGCCCACGGTGGACAGTGAGCTGAAGATCTGAGGGGTTCGCAGCGCAGCGCAGAACCATGGTATATGCAATGATTTCCTCCCACTGAAGCGGTCTGGAAACCCGGTCTCTCTGAGGGATGTGTCACTTGGAAAAATGTTCTTTTTATGAAATTATGAAACTAGCTGAACAGCGCTTGTTCCCGTCTCTAATATGGAGACGCATGATGCGTAGAGATATTTGATCACGCACAAAGTTCGTGTGGAGCAGAAGCGGTCGGGCCACGGCAGGTGAAACGTTCCTAGCCTACATGAAGGGAAACTGTTTAATTGTAACATTAATGTGTTACTGGACACGCTGGTCTGGTTGGTTAGACCAGTGTTTGAAGTGGAAAACACACACACACACACACACCAATTAAAATATATGCTGATAGCATGGACTAGAAGACAGGTGATGGTTTACGTATTTAAATGATGATCAGGCTGCTGTAAAATGTAATCTCCATCCACATCCAGACAGAATCATCCTCTATTCTGTCTCTATTTGCTCTGCTCTTGTCTGGGCTGATCAGCTGATGGTGCGCCTAACTAGCGGCTGATGCACATTTTACGCATTTGGAGAGGTGGGCTGGATGCTGTGCGTTTACTGGAAGATGGTTAACGCACGGGTGTAGACTACATATTAATGACAAATGAATGAAAATTAAATTGTGAGTTTTTACTTCATATTTTATAAATAAAAATGACGGGGGAAAACATTTATGACGTCTTTTTAAACTAAATTTTCTAGCGCGACCTGCCTGCTTCACTTAAGTCACTGCTTATTAAGGTCCGTCCAGAATTACTGTGGGAAACGGATAATAATGGCTCTTTGATGGGAATAGGTTGCCGACCCCTGGATAAGATCTGAGCTGGTAAAACAAAAATCCTCATCAGCAGGCGTTTTTGAAAGTGGGGGGGACACAGCTGCCAATCACAAATTTTGCCGGGGACATGTCCCCGGCGTCCCCGGTTAAAATGACGCCTATGATTCTGACTCTGACAGTCAGAGTCTGACTGTCAATTTTCGTATTTGCCGCCCAAGGGGGAACAGTAGAACATACCATCTGGTGAGGGGGAGGTTACAAATACCCTCTACTTTTAACCTCCACCGTGGTAGTTGAAACATCCCCCTCGCGTTGGCTCGGTCCAAACTCGACCAATGACGAGGCGGCTCCCGCCGTTCACTTCATAGAGCCGGCTTTTAGAGCGATCGACACATCACTAACGTGTTCGCTAGCAAGATGGTTAAGGTTAGGATAGGGGTGAGGGGAAGGTTAAATAAGAGGATAAGGTTAAGGTGAGGTACAATGAGCTTGTTTGGTGCCCTGGCTGCGGACATCCCATTGCGTCAGTGTAACGCTGCATTGGGATGCAATGGTAGCGGACGTCCCATCACGTCAGTTTTACGCTGCATTGGGATCTGCAGTCAAATAAGGGAAAAACCCCTTTTCGCACATAAGTAACGAAAAAGGGCACTTTTGGCATCAGGGGTCTGACGTGGAGGGTGGCTGACCAAGCGTTTGTTTTTGACGCGCTGGGAGTGAGAATGGACCATAAGATATTAAAAATTCATATCGAGTATGAATTCCATCTTATGGACACTGGGTAATTTAAATCAGAAGATTGGATCTTTTTATTGCAGGGATTTTGATAACACTTTGTATTAACTGAGAAACAAGAGAAGAGAGATGCCAGGTCCACGACCCTCCTCTGGTACTGGAGCCGATGAAACAGCGTCGACAGTACGACAAACCAGTCTTTGGATAGTCTCCAGGTAAAAAGTGACAGGTGTTTCACAGCGTCAAAAGGGGACCCTCCTTGGGTCAGCGAGTTCAGCTTTTATTCTGAAAGGTACCGTTGCTTGGTTCACAAAACAACAGATTTTTCCCAGCTTGATGGGTTTCAGCTTAAAAAGAGAAGTGCAGAATGGCCTGTCCATACTTCACTTAACATGCGGTGAACTTCATGGGATCTTGAGAACTGAGATCTTGAGGCTGTTTCATGCACTCTGGCGCTGTGTCAAAGGGAACTGTGGAAAAGGTTAAATAACCTTGGAGGAATAGCTCCTTCATCAAGTTACACTTGATTAGTTTTTAGGTTATAACAATTTGCAAGTTCTATAAAAATCCAAATTATTTTGAAACTAAGACAAAATCTAAAAAACACATTAAATAATCAAATAACGTTTTTAATCAAAACACAAAAACTAAACATATCAAGTTTTACTCAAGAAAATAATACATTTAAAATATATTTCTCTGAAAGAAATTAGTGAAGTTAAACGTAAATGCAAAAAGCTTAAATTTCCCTTATCCAGACTTGTTTGTGATAATTAAATGCTCTGCTACTCTCAGACTTGTAACCTCTGAGGTCAACCTTTTGCTCTGAAAGTTTAGATTTCATGTGATGTCAGATTAAATATTGGGCTTGGACATTTAGGGTTTTGAACATAATTCTAAAAAGACTTTAGAATCTGCAAAAAATGACCTATAGACACAACAAATGCATAATTCTGGTGAACCTGTCCCTAAATTTCAGACCTCTCTGGCTTCTCCTGGTGATCATCATGTGATCTGCAAGGTCCCTCATATAATCTCTTTATTAAGTCAAATTAGACATTTTTCTGCTCTACAGGGCTTGCGCTGTCATTTTAATGTGTGAAACAGTAAAGACTTGCAATAAAACTGTGTACCATTCATAGAACAGTGCCATAAATATAGTTTAGAGTAGCCTTTCTCAAATGGGGGTACGCGTACCCCTGGGGGTACGTAAAGAAACTCCAGGGGGTACATGAGAAAATGTAAATTCATTAAAAAAAAATATCCATGGAAAATCTTTTAAAAATAATTTAATCAATATTTTAGGAAAATAAAAGTAAAAGTTCATAAAATGTGTTTTATATTCAGTAGAAGTAAGCTAAATTCATTATCCCAAAATCCCAGAGTCTGCCCCCATACCAGGATGGTTAACTCCAACCTGTCATATAACGCCTGGCATCACCAGTCATCTATTCACACTTGGATCAGCGATGGACACGTGGCTGAAGCGCAGCAGCAATTCTTTAGAAAACACGGAGGGACAAGTGGCCATGAAGGCCAAACCAGAGCCGGCAAAATTCTGGCTGTATATTGAAGATTATGTTTTATTTGGATTTACTTCCAAGTTGCAACCCACCCAAGGCACTGTGTTTTTTCTGTGGGGAGAAATTAGCTAACGACACTGATCACAGAAGCAGATTGTGTCTAGAAAAGAGCTTGATCACAGCAGTTGCCTCCCTGCCACCAAGGATGAAAAAGATCTGTGTGAAGCACAAGCCCAAGTGTCTCACTAAAAAGTCTGTAAAAACACTCCGTTCAGTGCAGTAATGTTAAGAATTCTTTTTGATTTTTAAAAATATATTTGGAGATTTGCATTTCTTTTTAGCAATTGTTATTAAAAATGACGATAATGATTTCTTTTAGAGAACAGATATACTATGATCACAAAAGAGAACACTTTATGTTGATATGTTTGTTTATGAGCACAAATATTTAATTATAATTAGCTTAATCATTTATTTGGCCTGTATTTGATATATAGTTTTTAAGTATTTCTAGTTATATATATATATTTTTCCAAATAGTTCAAGAGATACTGCAAAAAATGTGCAGTGTTTTTCACATTTATGGATTTTTCAATGGGTAATCTTATGGTTTTAAATAGTTTTATGGTGACTGTTTTCAATTAATTAATTAGAATCACATTTTAGTGATGAAAAATATTTCCAACACATTTAGTTATGGAGTATTAATATTTAAAATATTCGAAATAGTTTTTTTTGTTCAAATGGTTGAATTTTGTACTTGTTTATCAGTTCCAAAGTTTAATAAATCAGTCACTGAAGGCACCGTGCTCTATTTAAGGTCTTTTGTTTTTTACAACCAAATATGCTTTTGCGCTTATTAGGGGTACTTGGCTGAAAAAAAAATTTCACCGGGGTACATCAGTGAAAAAAGGTTGAGTACCACTGGTTTAGAGGATATAATGTATAATTTATCATTGAGTTGGGGTCACTGTTGATGCAATGAGGCACTTTGTGATAGCTCCAGGATTTCTTCATGGAGAGATGACGTCTCAGCTGGACTGGAAGCTCCTTCTGTGCCTGCGGGAAAAGTAGAAATGCACAGAGCAAAGGTGGGAAGATGTGAACTAAGATGAATCCAGTAGACACTCCAGTCCTTTCTCAAACCCTTTTCAAACTTGTCAAGTTGTGTGATGTTGCCTAAGAATGTTTTTTTAATGCAATGGCCTAAGTGTGGCAGACACACTTTTGAATAAATATTACGCTAATTTTCTTTTTAGTGGCTTTTATCTGCAAATGGAGTGATATTTGCAGTTCTATTACAAAAGCTATTCTAAACTATTTTGATTTCATGTGTTGAAATATGCTTCATCAAGAAAAATATACCTTAGCTAGAATGTTAAAAAATGCAAACATGTAAGTCTCATCACTGTTGGAATTATGATTTGGTGTAGTGCTGATTTGGGTACTTATAATTTAATTTATCTGATTATGCTTGCCGAATGTTCTTAATGGTTTTTTTTAGTTAATTGTGACCTTATGGCACCGTTGAATAATTACAATGGAGTTTACAGTAAATAAAATAACGAAATTAATCATTATAATTAATTGTTCTACAGGTATATATTTAAAATTGATTTTTTTGGTAAACGTCTAAATTCATAAACTCTGAGTGTCTATTTTAATCCGCCTTATTCAATGTTTTACATAGTATTGTTATTTACGACATTGTCGTTACGTGTCTGTCGGAAAGATGGCGCTGTAGAGCTGCAGTGTTGCCAAGGAAACGATTGAAAACAACCGGTGGCGCAGTTCAGAAGTGTCCCGACTGCGCTTGGACAAAACTCAACAACCGCTGAACGCGTTCCTAGGGAGAAGACGGCAAGTTTCTCATTCACGAGCTGCTCGGATGTTCTCCGGAGATTTTATTTTAAAAGAGCCGCTTCCTGCTCCCGAAACTCGGACTCTTCGCTGGTTTTGAAGTGGTGAGTAGAGGCTCTCTGTAACGGGACGGCTATGCTGTTAGCTTAGCAGCGATGTGCCGCTAGTCTCTGAGCTAAATTGGGCGCTTCGGTTGGTGTTAAACACCGACGATAAAACCAGAAACTTTGTTTTTAAGTGAAAAACTTTTGTTATTCTACAGAGTTGGTTTGTATGAAAGTTTAACTTACTTTGCAAAACTATTCGAACACGTTTTTATGTCACTGCTGTCTTTAGTGTTTCCTTGAATCGACTTAAAATAGTTTACCCCAACTAGCCTCTAGCTGTTTGGGCACTATTTCTAATAAAGGAAGCATTCAAGTTTATTAAACATGTGATTAGCGTTGCTTGATAATTTCAATATAACTTGAACGTTCAAACGTGGGGAAAACTTAAAAAAATAATGTATTTGTGTCACCACACGGGTTGAGCAATGTCCAAGTCGGGAAAAAAAACTATTTTTCTAGTGTTTATAGTCATATTTTATGTTTTATTTCACTAAACAAATATCTGTGGACGTAATAATCTGCTCTACTGTTTAAAAATATGTTTTTGACACAATATGACTTTATGCACATTGTCAAACACGAGAGGATGGTGAGAGTAAGACAAGTATCTCAATTTATGTAAGAAAATGTGCTTTACTGATTTGTTTGGTCATATATAATATATAATATGCAGAGGGCTGAATTTGAGGCCACAAAGCGGAGCCAGTTTCTTTGTATCACCTTGTTTGGTTTGTGCACTTCCTCTCATCCTCACTTCTGTTCCCAGGCGCCACTCTCTACCCTGCATCCTTCTCAGAACTGCTTCAACCAGTTAGCAGCAGCAGAGCATGAGATCTCAAGCTTAATTAAGCCCACGGGAACAGATGGTCTGCTGGCAGTCTCTGCTGCTCCTCAGCAGTACCCTGCTACACTAAACACAACTAAATGGTTCTGGAGGGGAGGGTTTAGGAGGAGTGGACCTGCCAGCCGTGATTAGCTGTGGAGAGTTGCTGCCAGTTAATTGTAGGGGACACGACTGACTTTGACACAGGAATGTCAAACGTGGCTTTCAAGGACAATGTGCATGTGTTTGATTCTCATTTTCAATCTGTGGCAATTTGATTTGCAAAGAAGGGCAAAAAATTTTTAAATAAGAGCGATACAATCATTAATGACACAAATATCAAAAATTTTACTTTAATAATGTGCAAAAACAACTCGGCTTTTAATCCTTTTACTGTTTTCGAACAGGATTTTCTATTAGAAAATTTCCACTTTGAGGCACGTCATACCATCAAATCCAGATTATAACATCAACAGAATAGATCTTAATCTACAACATTCACAACATTACCCAGGTGGTAATGCATATCTATGTGCCATTTTCAGTTTTAATTTTTTTAATTCACCTAATATACTCAAGTCGAGTCAGTTTATTTTTGTTTCACAAGGTACAAAATGTAAAATTATTCAGAAATCCATATCAATTAGCAAATACAGTAAACAAAACATTAAGTAGAATCAAATTATTTAAAATTATGAAGGTGAACTCCGCTTCCAAGATATGCTGAACAGATTTGTGCTTTATTTGAGTATCAACACAAGCAACAAGCTATATTTTGGCTGAGGTGTTCTGGTGGACAGGTGAGCCTGGATGAGGCTGTGTAGAAGGGATTTAAGGTGACCGAATCCTGAAAGCTCTCCATGTTAGAAATTAGATTAGTGGAGAGACGGACGAGAGTGGAAAGGAGTAAAAGTTTGTCCTGATCGACACGCAGCCAGATTATGTGTTTTAGCGAAGCCCCAGGTAGTTTGTGAGTTTGACATTGATGTTGTGTGAGACTATGAACAAAGTCTGCTGAGTGAGCAGAAGGATAGCACGCCCAAACAAATCCCTTAACCTTTTTTCAATAGTTGTTGATACAGTCTGAGATTTTTGCTGAAGTTCAAGTTTTAAAAACTAAAAAAAAAATACATTGAATGATTTTAAGTTAAAACATTTCTAAAACAAATTATTTTTATTTGTGTTTTTGTATCAGGAGGAGCGATGACTGAACCGGCACAGAGGACTCCATCCTCCAATGGCGTGCCTTGACCCTTGAGCTGATAGTTTCCAGCAGCAGCTTCTCGTGACGCTCTGGCAGACCTCAGGAAACCCTGGGGTGGTTTGAACTGTACGCCGCAGCAACAGGGATGATAACATCCCATATGAACGGTTATGTGCAAGAGGCCTCTGGTCAGGCCATGAGCCACAGAGAGAGGGCTGTGGACTGTCCGGGGCAGGAAAGCAGCCTTGTCAAATCCCCTCACTGCAGTGCCCACATGGAGAGGATCCAATATTACCAAGAGGAGCTGAGGAGGAGGAGAGAGGAGGACAACAAGGGGAAACATGACATTGATCCAAACGCCTCTCTGAGGCTCAAAAAGCTGTCGCAGAACCAAAAAGTTGGCATTGACAATCCCACCTTTGAGAGGAAGGAAAAGGCTTCCGAAGATGCGGCCTGTCTGGGTCCTGTTGTTGGTGAGTTCAGTGGAGGAAGTGGGTGCTGGCAAAGGCTCAAGGAGGTTAAACGGAAGAAGAGAAGGAGCAACGCAGCCCTCAGGGAGGAATAGACTTGTGAGGTTTTTTAAAGAGCAAGTCGCGCCCTACCAGAGTTTTACTCCACTCCCACTTCATGTTTGAAAAATGCAACAAATGTTGTTGCCTGGCAGACCAAGAGGGCGGAGCCACCAACAAATACACACACAGGCTCACAACAACATTGTGACGTCATAATGTACCAGCTAACGTCATAGTGTACCTCTTAGCCAATAACGATGGCAGATTTAAAGATAATGCAGTGCAGAGTTTTTACCTGACGAGGACGCAACACTGACAGTTTTAGACAGAATATTTAAATTTGAACTAAGATGCACTAAAGTACTAGCCTGGCCTGCCAGACTCGTCCTCTGTTTAATTCTGCACAGAGGAGTCTGGTAACACAGGCAGAGAGGCACTTGAGGGGCGGGACTAGGCAGCTCAAAAATGACCAATCAGAAAAAAGACGGAAATCCCGACTGTACCGCACGATGCTGTAGTTTTCTAGTTGTAAAAAAAATTGCATCTGACAACGGCGCAAACATCTTCTAATTTTTAGAAGAAACGCTTTTAGTGATTCTACTTGTGGTTTTAAAGACATTTGAGTCATTTGGAACAGAGGAAAGAGTCGCAGCAAACTCCGCCGCTGTCTTCATTGTTTATGAGAAACTGAGCGTCGCTGTGTGTGACGTCTGCGACACTGTAGTTTTTTTAGCTGTAGTAAAAATGGAGTCTGGCGACAGAGCAAACATCTTTGTTTAGAAGAAATGCTTTTAGCGCTCCTACTTGTTGTGGTTTTAAAGACATCCAAATCATTTAGAAAAAAGGAAAGAGCCGCAGTGAGCTCCGCTTCAGTCACCATGTTTATGACAAACTCGGCGTTGTGGTGTGTGACGTACGCTACTCAGCGCTGATTGGCTCGGTTAGAATTCTCAGGGGGTGGGGTTATTTGAATAGGAGAGTTGCCAGACTCTTTCTCTGTGCAGAATTAAACAGAGGAGGAGTCTGGCAGGCCAGGCTACTAAAGTGCCAAATTATTGACTACATGTGTCTGCAGCACAAGTAGACGCTCATTTATGTAGTTTATCAGCACAAAAAGTTGATTTGGGGGTGACTTGCTCTTTAAATAAATAAATGAAAGAAAAAGGTGCTAAAACTAAAGCTACTGAAGGACCAGAGCATAGGGGGGTTTTGGTTGAACACATCTTGTGATTTACAGTTGTTTGGTATTAAAAAAGAAACTATCTGTAACAATTAGATAACTGATGCATCGAACTGGATGCATTTCTCCTTGATCCATGATGATAAATTCTGGTTTTCCCAATTGTTTACCTTTTTTTTTATCTTCCTGTGCTTGTTTGTCAGAGCTGGTGGAGCTGTTGCAGGTTCTGAAGTGGGCGCAGAGCTGCTTGAGTGATGCTCAGAGCCAGCAGGATGTGGAGCTGATCATGCAGCTCCTGACCAAGGAGGAATTCAGGACCGCCTATAGCATCTACACCGCTGTGTCCCAGCAGATGAACCGAGCCAGTCCCACGTCGCCGCTCACGTCCCAAGCACAGGACCTCTGCCAGGAGGTAGGCACGGCTCGCATTACAGATGATTTTTAATCCACTGGTTTATATGTACTTGGTGAGAAGAAGCCAACATGAGGAGTGATGCATTATTTCTGATCACAGATGAGGTCCATAGTGGCTGATGTTTTGGGGGCATTTCTAAAACCCAGATTTCTTGCAGACCTGCCAGATTGTCTTTGCTGAGGCAAACAGAAACTTGGTTTGTAAAGTGTGCTGCTTCATGTTAAATATCACAAACGAAACCTGAAACTGTGGAAATACCCTCTACAAGTAATGCAGACCCTTGTTTCTGTGAGCAGCTAGGCTGTACTTTAGGCTTAGTGTCAACCTCAGCTGAATATTGGGACTTTTCAGTGCGACTTTAAGCTGCTGGCTAGATGTGGAGATCCAGCATGAACCGTTCTTGTCATGACAGGATTGATTTGCAGATAAAGAGGTTGAATCTCCCTCTATCACACCCAAAAACAAAGCCTTCTTAAAGTGGTGGAGCTTAAACTAGCTCACGCTGGCTATTGTGTCAGCTAATCTCCCAGCAGCCCTCTGTGTTGGCCGAGCAGCGCAGCAGGCCGGGATCTGCAGCCAGAAAAGGAAACTGCAGGAGCTTACTGCAGTGTGGACGGGGGTGCAGGGGGAAGGGAAAGTGCGTCACCTTGTTAGTGAGAGCTTTGATATGTTTAATGGACAAACTAAGCTCTAAACAAGGTATGAAGACGAAAGAAAGAGAAAAGAAAAGCCAAAAAGGCCTGCTGCGTCAGATTATTTAAAATAGTCGTACATCATTGTGGAGAGAGGAAAACACATCAGAGTGGACACGTCTCTAAAGCTTTTGGACCAGAGATTTAATTCAGGATTGCCCAGAGAGTCTTTCTGCTTTGTTCTTGGAGAAATGCAACATTTGTGTGTGAAGATGTCTTATTTTTAATGTACATTTGGAGCCAAAAGCAGCTGGAATGTGGAAATCCTCTGAATAACTTGAGGGTTTACACACACACACACACACACACCTGTTGAAGGTAACGCTGATGTAACATCACACAAGGTCTTAGGCCTAGTCCACACGTAGCCGGGTTTTTTTAAAAACAAATATCCGCCCCTCCAAAAACTTGCATCCACACCACCTCGTTTTAAAACTCTGTCCACACGTACTCGGATAAATACGTTGTTAAGGACATGCCAGACCTGTAGGCGGCAGTACTTCCCCCGTTCTTAACCTCTTCCTTCGTCTGTGGTCTTCCACAAGGAGCAGTAATTCCGCTTGCAAAAACAAACAAGCAGAAAGCGCTTGGACAATTGATAAAGCGAGCGCAGCTCTGAGGGCATCCATGCTGTCGGCTAGTGTAAACACAGGTCGCACACGTGATGTCAGCATTTTTTTGTCGCGGAAAGTGACGTTGCGGACCTTAAAACTCCGGTTTTGTCTGTCCACACGCAGACACCCAAAACGGAGAAAACACAGATCTTCACTTTGGCCGGAGTTTTTAAAAAGATCCGTTTTCGTGTGAAAAAACTCAGTTTTCGTGTAGATGACAGGCCAAAACGTAGAAAAATATCTACATTTTGGCAGATCCCCGGCTACGTGTGGACAGGGCCTTAAGGAGGTTTCCCAGAGCCAAACAATCACAACAAGCTACATTAAGTTCATTACTGGGAACAGAATGTGTGTGGGGGTGGCGTTACACACAAGTCCCACATATTCTCATTCACTCATTTTTTCATCAAACCTGCAGATGTCTCCAGTGTGAATGAAGGCCTTGGTAGTGGTCTGGGGTAAAAAGCTCTGGCTCTTCTGTTCTGTTGACCAGCTTAGCAGCCTAGTGGTAGAGCGTCTGCCCTGGGATTGATCAGAGTTCAAATCCCGGTTGGGTCATAAGAATTGGACCCATGCCTCCCTGCTTGGTTGGACTGGGGGGGTTAAAGCACCAAATAGTTCCTGAGCACAGCTGCAGCTCACCGCTCCCCACGGCGAAGGGTCAAATGCGGTGGACAATCTTCACCACACCAGTGTGTGTGACAACTATGGGACCTTAATCTTTCTCCAGAGGGTAGAATTTTGAGTCTTTACTCATTAATATTCATGATATACAAACATCTCCCCTCTGATTGGCCAAAAGCAGCGTGACTCTTCCGCTTCCATCGTTCACTCTTCTTTCTTGGCTAAAATGTTTTATCGCCTCTAATAGCTCTGCCATGTTGCGGAGTTGCTAATGCTAACGTTTAGCTTCTACTTGCCGAGACACGCTCTGCTCTCGGACACGGTCCGAGACGGTCGCTAGCCGTGGTGGACGAGGCCACGAATGCTAATTTTAATTTCTCTGTGGCGTAAAAGAGTCTAGCCTTTTCTGATTCCATGGTGTTCCTGTCTATTCCCTTTCTTCAGCTAATGCAGGAAGTAGAAGCTGAATGAAGCACGCATGTGCAACTCAGCGTGACCGATCCTAGCAAGTATTACACGGTTTCTCAGTGAACAAGATCTTTAGGGTCATTTTCTTATAATTACAATATTATATCTGTGAGAAAAACTGTAATTGTAATCTAAAAAAACACAAACTTCCTTTGTGCCCACGAGCTATTCCTGGAAAGACTGAAATCTGAAACCTGCCTAAGCTCCAACCAGAATTCAGAGCCAGGGCTGGAATAAGACAAGTCTGAGGTGATTTAAGTTACTTCTTCCCCAGAGACGGATTATCTCACCACCGTGTTTCTCTGTTCAGGTTCAGAGGATTCTCCAGTCCAGCCAACATAAGGAGGGTCTGGAGCTCCGTGTGCTGCTCACCAATCCCCACCTCCAGGTCAGAGATCAGCCCTGCTGCTGCGACCTCTTCCTGATTTACCATCTGGTTAAAGGCAACCCCCGCAGAGCCTCACACACCAGCTCATTTATTTAATAATTATTATAATTGCTCTACTAGAAATATGATTCATTTTAAACACAACTCTCTCTCCAAAAGGTTAATTGTTTTTCTTACGCCTTCCACTGGGAGGTCAGAGGTCAAGGGGGTTGCGTATTAACAGCTTGATGGACAGTTTCACTTCTGTCGCCCTCATGTGTACTTGATAAGAACATTTGAGTCATTCATCCTGATTTAGGCAGATTTAATGGCTTTGCTCAAGGACCCTTAGGCAGAACATATCATTACTCTGCAAATAAACATTGATGTTTATGTTAATTATGAGAACATTTGAGATAATTGTTCCTTTTACTAATAAATTAATGTAGTTGGTCTCAGAAAAGTGAGGATTTCTAAACAACATGTCAGCTGGCCTTGTGCAGCAACTCAGTGTCATGTAGAATCATTTTACAAAGGGTTGGTAGTTTTAATGTAATCTCTTGAATTTCATCTAAATTATCATCTTTAGATGGCTTTGGTTAGTTAGTTAGTTAGTTAGTTAGTTAGTTAGTTAGTTAGTTAGTTAGTTAGTTAGTTAGTTGTTTAAGCAACTTTACACTGCACTCAGGACTGTCAGGACAAGATGGTGTGTGTGTGTGTGTGTGTGTGTGTGTGTGTGTGTGTGTGTGTGTGTGTGTGTGTGTGTGTGTGTGTGTGTGTGTGTGTGTGTGTGTGTGTGTGTGTGTGTGTGTGTGTGTGTGTGTGTGTGTGTGTGTGTGTGTGTGTGTGATCTACTGATGTTCTGTTTGCTGATCAGCTGACTGCAATGTAGCTTTGTTTTTTTTGCTCGTGTGTGTGTGTGTGTTCATCAGAACGTGCCTATACTGTTAAGTTTCTTGGCTGCAGCTTGATAAGAAATGAGGGAAATTTCTATGTGGTTGACAAAATAAAATCATTCAATTCAAAAATACTTTATTAATCCCAGAGGGAAATAATTATTTTTTATTCTTCTTGCTCAATCTTCGTTTAAACCGTTGAGCCTTTGCTGGTAAGTGCAAGTGTAAATGTCAATTTTTTAATGACTATTTCTGATTATTATTGGTCACTCTGAGTGTTTCAGGCAGGCTGAACATGAAATAGTCTCCTACACCTATCTCCTGCATTAGCTTCTGATAGAAAACACGATGAAACTCTAGGATTAGAAAAGCCTGACAGATCTACTTAACTAGGGTTGGGCATCGATTAGAAGCAGGACTGTCATTTTTTTCCTGTAATCGTTCAAATCGTTTTTTTATTTTGATTCCCAGCATGCCGACCAGAGGAAGAATCTGCGGCCAATCTCCGTGGAAAAAAACGTGATCTGCAAATTCTGATCAACGCCTGTCAGAGCTGATCACACCAGCTGTCTGTCGCTCCTCTCTGCAGCCCAGGCACCCTGAGAGCAGCGTCGCGTCCCCCCTCCCTTCCCTCACACTGTTGCACGACAGCAAAAATAGAAACAAACGCGTTCGCCGAACTTTTGCCCCTTTTTGATGTAAACTTAAATTCCTGCAGCAAAACATACGGTGCGGAGAAAGCTCATTAAAATGCGTCAACATGGTGGATTTATGAGTTTTAAACAACAAACTCTTGACGGTGTGAGAGGAGTTTGGCTCACTGCAGGAATAAAAACACTCACGGAGCCACTCACCAACACTCGTGTGAGTGTGTGTGTGTGTGTGCGTGTGTGTGTGCGTGCGTGCGTGTGTGCGTGCGTGTGTGTGTGTGTGTGTGTGTGCGTGTGTGTGTGCGTGTGTGTGTGCGTGTGTGTGTGTGTGTGTGTTTGCGTTAGCTTCAGAAGGCAATAACCTGTAAGATAATTAGTCATCGTGCTAGAGCAGCTTTCTCTGGAGGACAACACCAGCTTCTGCCACTAGGAGCCGATAACGGTAATAAATAATCGTCACATAAAAAAATCTCACATCACAGATTGTTACTGACAGCAGCTACATTTAAAGAGCAAGTCACCCCTTACAAGAAGCGTACTTCATTCCCACTTCATGTTTGAAAAATGCAACAAATGCTGTTGACTAGCAGACCGAGAGGGTGGAGCCACTAACAAATACACACACTCATGACATTGTGACATCATAATGTACCAGTTTACATCATAGCATACCTCTTAGCCAATAGCGGTGGCAGATTTAAATTCAAATGCAGTGAGGAGTTTTTACCTGACAACGGCACAACACTGACAGTTTCAGGCAGAAAATTTAAATTTTAACTAAAATGCACTAAAGTGCAAAACTATTGACTACACGTGTCTACTGCACGATTAGACACGCATTTATATAGTTTATCAGGAAAAAATAATTGATTTGAGGGTGACTTGCTCTTTAAGTTTCAGGTTCTCTCCTCATTGAATCACTGCTGCAGCGTGTAGGTGTAGACTCTCAATCATCCTGGGAGTTTCAGAAGAAGACAGCTGGACTTCTTGCCTCATCCTTGAGGTTTCTTTAGTTCCATACTTTGGTTGTGAGTTGTGGTGAGAAACAAACACGCTGATTGTGCTGCAGGTCTTTTTCTTTCCGTTTCTATTCTACATGAAGGAGATGTTATTGTTAAGAGTTAAATTTCATTGTTGAAATTCAGATGAATTAATCAGGTGAGACCTGTGGTTAGCTGGCTCATTTAAAACGTAATGTTTCTGGATCCTGCCAATTGAAAGAATCGGAATTGGGAATCGATAGGAACCGGAATCAAGCGAGGAATTGGAATCGTTGAATTCAAACGATGCCCAACCCTACACTTAACATGCATGGACTCACCCATCTTGACTCACGACGGGGAAGGCTGTTGTTGGTTTAGCGTCCAGAAAACAGCAGAGAGCATCTCATCTCTGATGTGGCTCACTTCTACAACAGGTGCACCAGAGCTCATTTTCCCCACAGTACGACTTGTAAGGCATTCAATCATACTAGAGACTGCTGCAAATGTACAAAAATATGAGTGAAGGTTATCTTTAATCATTATCAGACAGGCATTTAGGTGATAAATCTCTCTGCTGTTGGTCTGATTCTGTTACCATGGGAACCACCCAGCCGGTTAACCTCTGATGAGATGTGAGGCTGGAACTGATGAGTCCTCCTCCATGCAGTCCACCTGTGTCCCTTTGATTGTTTGAAAGACGACGGTGTCCTCTAAACTGATGGTTACACAGAACGTTCCTGCAGATAAAGATGTTTACTCAACGTTGCTCGTCACGCACTAAATGAGACAAAGCAGCAGTCTCTCCTGTCCCTGCCTTCAAAGTGAGCATCCTCTGTTGAAAAAAAGACGAGTTTGTCCTTGAAGGAAAACTTTTCTCATTCTTTTCAAACTGTTGTTACCATGATGCCTCCTCATCCCTGCTTCTGCTCATTTATCCACATGAGCTGTATTCTCTCTGTGTTTGTGTGACAGGCGCTGATGCAGGCCCATGACGATGTGGCCGTGCAGGAAATAGCAGAGGAAAACGTGAGCCGGTACCTCGGAGAGACGGTTAAATTAGTGCGTCTGGAGAAGGCCAAAGACACTCCTCTGGTGAGACAGCATGTGTTTCTGAGTCACTGCTGCCACTTCCTCACATTATACATGTTGTGTATGCTCCGTATGCCATTTTGAATGATTTAAACTCGCATCCAGGTCACTGCTGGAGACAAAATGTATTTTTTTAACTGTTCTGTGTCTAGATGAGTCTGACTTGTTCAGTGAGATCATTCTTTCATGTGTATAAGCCCCATGCTCCGTTTGTGTTTTCACCAGGGTGCAACAGTACGCAATGACAATGACAGTGTGGTGGTGAGTCGTGTGGTGAAAGGCGGAGCGGCGGAGAGGAGCGGCCTGCTGAGCGAAGGCGACGAGATCCTGGAGATCAACGGGATTTCTATTCGTGGAAAACACATCAACGAAGTCCATGACCTACTGGTGGGTGATTGTGGCACTTTCATCATTGACAGTCATGAACAGCCTCATTCCTCATTAAAGTCAACGAAAAGGTTTTACCGTATTTTCCGGACTATGAGTTGCACTTTTTTTCATAGTCTGGCTGGTCCTGCGACTTATTTACCAAATTATGTAAACCGCGCTGCCGCGGACCGGCTTCGGACCAGGAATAAGCTCCTCTGCCCCGCCATCACCTGCTGGAGCCTGTGGCAAGCTGCTGCGGGCCGGGTGGCTCTGACCCAGGAATGAGCTCCCCTGTCCTGCTGGGAGGGTTTGAAACACCGCCATCCTCTGCTGGAGACCGTGGCGCGCTGCTGCGCCCTGGTTGTTTATTCTGTTATTGTTACCGGTACTTGTCTTGCAATGTGAAATGCTTAGTCTCAGATTTTGTGAGAAAAATATTAAAATTTCCTCCCAAAATGCGACTTATATCTGTTTTTTTTCTTCTTCATCAAACATTTTATGGCTTGTGCGACTTATATTCCGGAAAATACGGTAATTTGAAATAAGATGTTTATTTTGTTCGTTTTCGTCATTTTTCACAGCAAGTAATGCACGGAACTCTGACCTTCCTCCTCATCCCGAGCTCTCAGGTCAAACCCACCCCTCACAGACAGACTGTGGTGAGTCTTATAGTGTGTGTGTGTGTGTGTGTGTGTGTGTGTGTGTGTGTGTGTGTGTGTGTGTGTGTGTGTAACTGTGAAACTCTTGTTCTCCTCAGATGCATGTTCGCGCTTACTTCGACTATGACCCCTCTGACGACCCGTTAGTGCCGTGTCGGGAGCTGGGTTTGTCCTTCCAGAGAGGAGACATACTCCATGTCATCAGCCAGGACGATCCCAGCTGGTGGCAGGCCTACAGGGACGGGGACGAGGACAACCAGCCTCTGGCTGGACTCATTCCAGGTACGATCAGTTACGGTCAGCCAGCTACTACAGGGAATCGAGCTCAGCTTTGTAAGATTTCATTTTTAGAATAATATTATTGTGTTTGTTGTTGTTCTGTCTGAAATACACAAATAATGAAGTCATACCTGCTTATAAGATCGATGTCTCACAGGTGGCTGGCAGTGGACTTAATAGGATCTGTGAAATCTCACTGACTGTAGGCGCGTTAAGACCATCACCAGCACCTCGTGCACCAGCGAGCTCTGGGCTGTGCCGTAGTATGGATTACTTTCATATTACTCAGTTTATGAAGAGCAACAACGTTTGGATAATTTAGATGCTCTAAAGTAAATGTTTTATATACCCAAGCCTAAATAATGCTTTTACAGCTTAACTCTTAACGGACATTGAGGAAAAAAATGATGAGAAGCTTAATAATTGAGCTAAAAGGCAGATATTACTGTAATCACCTAATGAAGCATAAAGTCACAGGTATGAAAGAAGCATATAAATAACCCGATAAGAGACTCCACCCATCTGGCATGTATAGCAGATTAAAAGAAATGCCCAAGAATTATTTGTGATTGCCCTTTGACCCCTAGAGTCTACGGGGGTGTAAATAAACAACGCTGAGCTCTGAAAATGGAAGTTTAGCAGCCTTTTTTATTTATTTATGCAGAATAGAATAATCCTTTATTGTCGTTAAGGAAGAGCAAATAATAAAAATAATACACTTGCAAATATTTTGTACTCATCTACTAATCCAGTGCAGGTATCGTTCAGACTAGATTATAATCTGTTTCTTTATCAACAATCAGATGATTTACTGAAGCTGTTTCTTAGGTAAAAGTTTCCAACAACAGAGAGAGAGCCTTAAGAAGACTATAACCGACAAGAGCCAAGAGCAGCAAGGTAAGAGTCATTTACACACACACACACACACACACACACACACATTATCTCTGCTTTTTAATATAAAACACTAAAGTAAAACAGTTTCTTTGTCACATTTTTTTTTTCAGGGAAACTTTGGAGTTCAAAGAAAATCAAGAAGCATAAGAAGAAGATTTCTTCAAACTTGAGCAAAGGTGAGGTGTCAGAGCGGCTCCATCTGCACGCCTCACCGTCGTGAAAGCCCGCCTCGGTGCTGGGCCGCTGCCAAACGTCCACCGCTGTCAGCTTTACGCATAAGCTGAAGTTGACACGCCTCGTCTTTCTCACAGCGGCTTGTCCAGACTTGTTGTGTCACAAGTCAGATTAGACTCGTCTTCACAGACGGGATCAGCGAGTGCTTAAACGGCTCAAAGGGACGCGCGGTTTTAGGGTCGACACAAAGCAACACATTTACTATTTTAGAAGAATGACACGTAGACTGGGTCGAGCTGACCGTTAGATGCTGGTTGTGGATGTTTTGAAGCAGATGAAAACATGACAAAGTTACAGATCAGCAGCTGAGGAGTGTTTTGACAGACAGGTCTGTGATGTTTCAGAGAGCGACGACATCCTGACCTACGAGGAGACGTCCCTCTACCACCAGCCGGCTAATCGCAAGCGCCCCGTAGCTCTGATTGGTCCCGCAAACAGCGGCCACGATGAGCTGCGTCGGAGGCTTCTGTCCACAGATCCGGAGAAGTTTGCTGTCGCCGTCCCACGTAAGTCCATGCCTCCTCCTCAGCACGTGGAAAAATGGTTCCTGGTTTCTGGAAGAGTTCAAAACGTTTTACGGTCAAAATAACAGTAGTGATTACACATTTATTGATGACTGATCTGTTTCCGTGGCTCAGACACGACCAGGAACCCCAGGATACACGAGCGAAACGGACGGGAGTACCATTTCGTGAGCCGCTCCGCCTTTGAGACGGACCTGGCGGCAGGGAAGTTCATAGAGTCCGGGGAATATGAGAAAAACCTGTACGGCACCAGCACCGACTCCGTCCGACACATCATCAACTCCGGTCACATCTGCTTGCTCTGTCTGCACACGCGAGTAGGAGACCAGGAAGGAGATTATTTCTGTCTGAGTGATGATTCCAGCCGTTAGTGAATCGTTTATGTCCATCTTTGTTTCTCTGTCAGTCTCTGCAGGTGCTGAGGTCCTCCAACCTCAAGCCCTATGTCATCTTCATCTCTCCTTCTCAAGAGCGACTGCGCACCCTGCTGGCTGCAGAAGGGAAAACACCAAAGGTGCAACGTTGTTCAGGAACTTGGAAAAAAAAACATGAATGTACATTTTGAAACAAGTTTTTTTATTTCTGAGAACTTCAGAGCAGAAAGGGTAAAAACCTGATAGAATGGAGTTGGGTTACGTTTTAACCATAAAGTCTTGTTTTCTGCACACAGCCGGAGGAGCTGAAGGAGGTCATCGAAAAGGCCCGCGAGATGGAGCTCAACTTCGGCCACATTTTCGATGCCACCATCGTCAACGTGGATGTGGGCCAGGCTTTCCTGGAGCTCTGCAGGTTAATCGATAAGCTGGACACCGAGCCTCAGTGGGTGCCCACATCCTGGCTGTGCTAGACGCGGTTTTCTCTTTACTAAAAGGAGTCTCAGGGAAGGAGGAGGTAGAAAAACTGAACGAGGAGGACTTTCACTTCCACAGGGTCCTTATTCGTGCTGCAGGGATGGTTCTTTGATGTTCCTTTGTTGGTGTGTGTCTTCCGTGAATGTTCTGTTGTGTGAAAATGTGTGTTGATCTCAGTTTATACAAAATCATTTATGTGTTGTTAGTTATTTATAATTGTAAATACATATATATTTGTAGATGATGTGTTGTTGAACCAAATTTGGTACATTCAGTTTCAAAAAGGCTTTGTTTAAGAAAAACATGGAACCAAAACCTCATGAGAGAAAAGGATAGAAGTAGATTTTATGCAATGAGAACAGTTTTAAAATCCGCTGTAGTGTTCTTAAACCAGCATCAGTATTTGTTCTCCTTTACAAGACCTCAGGCTGGTTTTCAGTACTATGTTCTAATGCTGCACAATACAGCTGAGGTCGTTTTATACGCACTAGAGTCTAAAAGCCACTAATTCCTGCACTTTCCAAGGAAGTCTCTGCTAAAGTGTTAATAAAAACAGAATGTGACCAAGCTGATTCATACCGTTCCTGGTAGTTGTGTGAAGTCTTAAAGCCGAAACAAAGGCGTGATGTTCTATGAAGCAGGATGAGCTTACAGAGTAAACGTGGCTCATTTGTGTTCAAACCATAAGCATAAAAAAAAGAGCGTTTGCTTTATATTTAGAGCATCTTTATTTTGTTGACAATATTTTACAGGGTCAGAGATTTACCCTTCACAGGTTTCCACAACACAGACTTCAGCTTTACAGCATGCGATGCTCCAAACGACGTCTACAGGTGAGCCGTTCACACAGAGGGCTTCTTTCATTTTACTCACAAACAACACGTTTATTATTCATAATTACTTTTTTTTTCTTAAGACTTGTCTGTACAGCGACACGAGAAGACGTTCAGACTTTTCCAGCACAGAAACACAATCACAGATCTGGAGGGGAAAAATAACTTTATAGGGAGGTGTGAACGTGGCCGGAGGCACGGAATAAATAAGACGTTGAGTGTTGAACCACGGGGGGAGGGAGGGGTTCACTCAAACAGCAGGTCCTCGTCCGTCTCCTCCGTCAGCATGTTAGCCGGCTCAGCGATGGGACCGAGTGCAGCCAGCCGGGCGGCGATCTCCCGTTCTGTCCTTTCCCTGAGCTGCTTCTTTTTCTCCTGGATTTTCTTCAGCCTGGCACAGCGGAAAATAACAGGTACTGTAAATGTGAAGCTTCAGAATGGCCAAACTAAAGAGTAAGTCACCCCCCTACCAGAGCCTTACTCCACCCACACTTCTGGTTTCAAAAATGCACCAAAAGGAGGCGTTGCCTGATGGGGTGAGAGGGCGGGACTGCAGCCTGAACTGACTGGTTTTTTGGAGGAGGTGAGCAGCCCTGAGGCATCGGCTTGTGAGTTGCCAAGGCAACCGGTGCAGAGCCTGCTGGCGGCATAGCTTACCCAGAAATTCGGCTGGTATTAGACCCCACAGTGGTACCCTTTAACCAATAGCGATGGCTAACTAATTCAAATGGAATGCAGACTATTAACCTGAAGAGGGCGCTACACCAACAGTTTTAGGTTGAATATTTAAATAAGATGCACCAAAAACCAAAAATAATGATTACACATGACTCTTACAGTAGTTGACTTCCTAACCCATCAGATCCTTTTACTAATGGTTAAGGAATCCGATGCAGCTGCTCTCACCTGTAGAACTCCTCACGCTCCCTCTCATCCAGCTCTGTGATGATGTAGGTGAGAGTGCGATCAATCCTGGGAATAATCACTGCAACGGAGAGTAAAGATGGTTAAAAACACAAGCATCTGTAGATCTTTGAACAACTCGTTTGTTTACCGTGCTCAATGGCATTCACGCGGCGGTTAGTGATCTTAATGGCTTCGTCCAAGGTGACAAATGATGTCTGTTAAAAAAATATTAATTTTTATTCAAAATTAAATATATATCTATATATATATAGAGATAGATATTTTGCAAATATGGCAGAAAAATACGCCTTAAAAGCCATAACAGCACCTGTAAGGAGGCCAACTCCACAAGCAGCTCAACAGCTCTAGCATAATTCCTCTTCAGCCGGGAGAGCTGTTCACCTCCTCGGGCTAGACCGGTGAGTTCATAACCTGACACACACACACACACAAACATGCTGAGCTTTCTGAGGTTCACAGACACTAATCCAAATATGATGCATGTCTGAAAAGTACAATTACACTACTTACTGTCTCCACCTTCTTGGTAGTGTTCAAACACTGGAAGGGTGACACCTGAAAAGACAAATTCAGCATGAATAGTTGTTTCCCATCAATTACAGTGATGATGATGATGATGATGATGGGAAGATTTTTCTGACCCGCCACATTATCCTTCTTGGCTCGAACCTTGACCTGGGCTTTGTTCACATTCTGGATTACAGTTGTGCTGAAAGAAGATGAAAAGTTGCTGCGCACGTCTAACAGACTCGATAAAACACGGCTGTAACATTGTCATTACTCTTACCTAAAGTCACCAGCTGCAAATTTGGCTTCAGCCAATGAGAAAGCTGCTTCTCTCATCACCTCTCCCATCTTAGTTTTAGTCTAAAAGAACAGAGAATAAAAGAAAATTCCATTATTAGGTGTTTTTCTATTATGTGAGAAATAATGCAAGATTTAAATAGTTGCTCTAGTTATTTTAGTGTCAAATTGGCTGGAGTGAAGAAAGAGAAGCAGCAATCATTAAATGTTCTGACTGACTTCAATAATTTTACGAAGGATCTGACGGAAGCGCATCGAGAGAGCGTCAGATTTCTTCTTGAGCAAACTGCGGCCAGTTTGAGCCCCTTTCAGTCGAGCCTTCATGATGGTCTGGGCCCTGCAAACACACAGATGACATTTATTTATAGATTCAGACCTGATGTGACTACACAACCACCTATTGTACATTTTTTAAAGTATTTGGCTAATTATTTTTCTCTGCATGGTTGGCCATCCTGAAAGACAGATACCCACTTTTCTTTTTTTACACATGAATATCTGAGTGAGTTTTTCCACATAAACAAACAGGTGACGTGCAGTCAGTTTGGCTTTAAAATTAGAACTAGACCTTCCTTGTGGCTTTCATGTAGCAGGTACAGACTCTGTTCACACTCAGATGTTAGAAACATCACATGACACAAAAATAGCGCTTCCTCTTTTAAACAGCAGACTCAAACTATGAATAAAATGTATCCGCAGTGCAGACGCGGTCCAATTAAGGTAAATAAATGCAGAAAATTAATTATCACGGCATCTGGAAAGCTAGAAAAATAATGTGACATTTAATGGGGGGGGGGGGGGGGGGGCTAATTTGTTAGCCAAGAGAAAAGACGATACGATAAGAAAAGACGATACTTACATTCTAGACGGGAATATGTCGATCCTGTCCTTTCCAGACATGTTTTCGTCTTTATGTTGACCGATCTACTTCTACGCTTTAAACTTAAATATTTAACTTTACTTGTAACTATAACGAATCGTTTGAGGTTAATATAATATCTCAAAAAAGCTATAATTCGAGCAGGATTAGGTGAACATAGCTAGCTAATGGTCGTGATCTTGTCCGTCCGTAATGATCAGCTGACCCCAAGTCATGTGACACAGCCGTGAATTTACACATGCGCAGAGAGGTACTCTCTATTAATTCTTTCCGGGGCAAAAAAAAATTGCACACCCATGAATGTGAGCTAACGGGTCTGAGAATTTCATCTAAAAGCAGCCGAAAGAAAACATAGAGAAGCATTTAAACACGCCCATCATAAAATTCCAACTTTATCATTCTGTAACTCCATGACACAGGTGAGTTTTCGCTGACAGAGAAGATATTTGAAGCGACGAAGAGACTGCTAGCTAAACGTGTAGCATTGGCAGCCGCATGTGATTTGGAAACCTTAGCCAGGAAGCTAACACCTTAAAATGTCTTTTTCTGCTTGTAATGAAACCGTATGTTATCTCTTAGCGTTTTATTCATTATCTATGTGCTATAATGTGCCTTACTACTAGTACTAATGTGCTGTAATATTTTATTGTCTGTTTTTAATTCCATATGTTCAAGCCAGTTTTTTGCTCTTAAAAAAGTTGTGGACGTTGCATCATCCCATTCATTCCTAGACTAAAATTTTGAGGGGGGAAAAGCCTAAAACTACGAATCTTTTGAAGAACTGTTCTGAATTTTATTTATTTCAAACGGGTCAAATATTAATGCTGAAATGTGAATACTTGAAATGCTTGTTCTATGCAATAATCCCAACATTTTGCTTTCTGCACAGGGTTTTCTGCTAATGAGGGTGCTGATTGTATCAAGAGCCGTGCATTATTTATTCTTGATGACTTGTGCAAATATCAGTATTACATATTAAGTCTTTTTCTGTTTCTCTGAAGCCGCAGATTGTTAAGTTCAGATAAGGTGCTGTTGGCTGTTAACACCTTATTCTTCCTAATAACCCCCTCAAAGGGTTATTAACAAGTCTCCTGTAGAAGTGAATTGTGCTTATTAATATTGGAATGTTTTACTGGTGACATAATATTTCACACACTGTCAACAGATTAATACCAATAGAATAAAATCATCAAACATTCTCCATTAAACAAAGAACAACATAGAAAGGTCCATTGCAATTGAGGGAAATAATTTTGTTACAGATTAGTGGTGATAAAAAGTCAAATGTTCTTTGAAAGCTGAATCTCCAGTTTGGATTAAAGTGAATAAACCAGTAGCATCAATATGTGTTGGCGTTTAAATGAAAGTAAACTTGATCTCTTCAAACTGCTGCAAGTAAAATGTTGATCTTTGATGAAAGGTTTTTGGAGTAGATTTAGTTTTGTGGCTGCTCTGCCCATCCATGAACTCAAAAAACTTTATTAAAGTCAAATTTACAACAGCACTACAAAATATTACATATTTACATATTTTTTCTGCTTTCACTCTTGAGAGGCTAGCGTTTTATGTATTATCAGAGTGACATCCAAATAGTTTGTTTAATGCTTATTTTTCAAACTAAATATGTACCCCCTTATTCTGTTCACATCTTCACAGCAATGCCGGGGCTTAGTTGTCGGTTCTATCAGCATCGCTTCCCTGAGGTGGAGGATGTGGTGATGGTGAACGTGAGGTCCATCGCTGAGATGGGAGCCTATGTCAGCCTTCTGGAGTACAACAACATCGAGGGCATGATCCTCCTGAGTGAGCTGTCCCGCAGACGTATTCGCTCCATCAACAAGCTCATCCGCATCGGTCGCAACGAATGTGTCGTCGTCATTCGAGTTGACAAAGAGAAAGGTGAGAGCTGCAACTTGAAACGTAACATTAACAGATAAAATTATCCATAAGATATTCTTGTTTTAAACACACTATAGAAGGGGTTTTCAATTATTTTCTGTCATATAAAATTATTTTATTTTTTTGCATAAGGGCTGCAGCTATCAAATATTTTCGTATTCGAGTATTCTATCGAATCATGCATCGATTAATGGAGTATTCTATTTGACGGCGTTTCAAGTGAAACGAGATTGTGGTCTGCTGCCAAAATAAAAACGCAAAATTATAAGAGGCTCAACAAAATATATTAAATTGGTGTTCCCTATTTCCCAGCTGATTTTTATAGTTAAATATTTTATGGAACAATTTTTTTTAGGTTTCTATTAATATCAGTAAAATATTCACAGTAGAATTATTAATTTCATTTACATGTTCAGTAGTAAGTTACTGGAAATGCTAATAACATTTCATTTGTACTTGTGGCGTGTGTCTCTTTATATATATATATTATTATTTATTTATTTTTTACAGGTTGGCAACGTAATCTAGTCTACATTGTGTTCAAATATGTAAGCGTTTGTGAATTACATGCTACAACGGCTTGCCATTGCGCTGCTGCAGTGTATGGAGCAGACTCGTAGCAACAACCAGACTCCAGGGAGCTGCAGCAGTTCTGCACCACACCGCTCTAGACATCCACACATAAACAGGATGGTGGAGGTTTTTCTTCCACTTGTGGAGTTTAGTCGCTCACAACCATCATGTTTTTTTCTGGACCACACTTGCTCGTGAGAATGCTACCCGCTAGCTTAGCATTAGCAATTCTGCTCGTAGTTTATTCTTGACCCCAAACTTAGGACTGTTTCTGCCTTTTACAATGGTTTGTCTTTGCTGGTTTCTCTATTTTTCCTCCACAGCACCTAGATCACCACGTAGTGCACCAGTAAAATGTGTTCAGACCAGGGACATGCAGAGACCTTTGAAGGGGTGGGTGCTCAAATTCAAAAAGGGGGCACATAATAGGGATGCAACGATACCACTTTTTTCCAAACCGATACAATACCGATACTTGGATCAGAGTACTCGTCGATACCGATTACCAATACCGATACTTCTACCACACAAAAAAATGCAATGATTTGGAATACAGATTTTACTTTCTTCTCTGCTTTCAACAGGAAAAGACTGAGGTAGGTAAAAAGTAAAATATATGAATGGAAATATCACAAAACTAAAATATTAGGTGAACAGAAATGACAAGTTACAGTGAAGCCATTTTCAAGCAACTGCATTGGTATCTGTTAACTTTTACCGATACTGGTATTGGTATCTGTATCGATGCCGATACCGATACCAGTATTGTATCGGTGCTAGGGTTGTCACGATACTAAAATTTCAAACTCGATTCGATACTTGAAAATATTCGATGCTATTTAAAAACACCAATTTATTGAACAAGTTTATTCAAAAAATAACATTCCTCAATTTATATTGCAAAAATTAAATGTTAAGAATTAAGTGTGTAAAGTGCTTAAACCTTTCAAGTATCAGCATTTTTTAAAACGTGCATACAAAAACTGGCGAAAGTTACTTTAAATCATGAATTGCCTCACTATATATACACTATTTGCAGAGTGATGTTTTGCTGCTTAAACTCTGTTTAAGGTGCATTTTTGTCATAAGATGTAATGCCATATGTTTTGTTCTGTACTTTTGAACAACTCTGTTGGTCAATAAAGGGAGAAAACGAATTTCTCCACAGTAGGACAAAGGTACATCTACCGGTAATCTTAATTAAAAACAGATTGGCGCACGGCAGAGACGTCATTAAAAGCGCCGGTTAATTAGCCGCGGCTAGTCTGTTTACGCCTAGAAATCCCAGACCCGCTCCAAACGAACAGGGGAATCATGTCAATGATTCCTAACAAAACCTTTCGACATTGAGATGTTTTGGTGCAGATAATGTCTTATTTCAAGGCTGCACCATAGGTGCCCGTCCGCACCCGTTATATGGATATACGCTGACGGCGATTCGCCGATGGATCTAAATACCCCGGGGAATCCAAGTAGCACCAAAGTTGTCAGCGTGAGTAAACAAACGTACTGCATGCTAGAAATTAAGTCCGGGTTGCAATAAACGGGAGTTTCCTTTAAGCACATAAGCGTGAATATACAGCTATGTGTCGGACTTGGTATGCTAATTAAGTTGGGCTGTGAAGCGCCTCCCAAATTTGCTGTTTATGTTTTTGTTTATTTATTTGGCAGACAAAACTTGGATCGGAGACAACTCACGTGGGAAATTACAATGTAGCCATGTGGCGTCTTCTTCTTCTGTTTGTCTGGGAGGCGGAGGCTGCTTTACGGCGTCTGGCTGTCGTGCGTGTCGGTGTACTTGAAGAAGGTTGTGTATAATAGTCCATAATATCGATACCACAGGGATGGAATATCTAATTTAGATACCACTTTTAGTATCGATTTATATCTAGGTATTGATTTTTTTGACAACACTAATCGGTGCATCCCTAGCACATATAGAGCAAAGTTTTTAAACAGGTTCACGATCCAACAAGTTAAAAAAATTCAGATATTGAGACCCTTGGTTTCAAACAATATAAACTAGGAAAAATATGTCGTTTATTAAGGTAATGTTACTTCATAAATAATTGTTTTTGATTTTAAAGCTGACTGATGTTACAACCATATTTGTTCCCCTGACCTGAATCCAAGTTTATGTTTATGTATTTAGCAGACGCTTTTGTCCAAAGCGACTTACAAGTGATAATCGGCATGTTGCCCTTGAGGCGAACATTAACAATAACAACAACTTGACATCAATCATGGAGAGGAGGGAACAAGGAGTGGACAGTAGAGAGGGGGGACGGGTGCAGGGAGGGTGCTTGTTAAGAAGATGCTCTCTGTAGAGCAGGGTCTTCAGGAGTTTCTTGAAATTTGAAAAGGAAGCCGCAGTTCTGTTAGATTTTTGATTATCTTCCAATACTGAGTCCTGTTGATAGCACGTGGTGATGCAATGCAATAAAAATGAAGTAAAAATGGAGAAAGTCCCATAGTCATCATCACATACTGGTGATCTTATTGGACGGCAGCGGTGAGATGCAGCAATGGCCGCCTCGTCTCGTCTCTCGTCTCGTCTTCCTCCGCTTATCCGGGTCCGGGTCGCGGGGGCAGCATCCCAACTAGGGAGCTCCAGGCCGTCCTCTCCCCGGCCTTGTCCACCAGCTCCTCCGGCAGGACCCCAAGGCGTTCCCGGACCAGATTGGAGATGTAACCTCTCCAACGTGTCCTGGGTCGACCCGGGGGCCTTCTGCCGGCAGGACATGCCCAAAACACCTCCCCGGGGAGGCGTCCAGGAGGCATCCTGACCAGATGCCCAAACCACCTCAACTGGCTCCTTTCGATCCGGAGGAGCAGCGGTTCTACTCCGAGTCCCTCCCAAATGTCCGAGCTCCTCACCCTATCTCTAAGGCTGAGCCCGGCCACCCTACGGAGGAAACTAATTTCGGCCGCTTGTATCCGCGATCTCGTTCTTTCGGTCATTACCCAAAGCTCATGACCATAGGTGAGGATTGGGACGTAGATCGACCGGTAAATCGAGAGCCTGGCTTTCTGGCTCAGCTCCCTCTTCCCCACGACAGATCGGCTCAGCGTCCGCATCACTGCAGACGCCGAACCAATCCGCCTGTCGATCTCCCGATCCCTCCTACCCTCACTCGTGAACAAGACCCCGAGATACTTAAACTCCTCCATTTGAGGTAGGACCTCTCCCCCGACCCGGAGGTGGCAAGCCACCCTTTTCCGGTCGAGAACCATGGTCTCAGATTTGGAGGTGCTGATCCTCATCCCAGCCGCTTCACATTCGGCCGCGAACCTACCCAGCAAGAGCTGAAGGTCAGAGCTGGATGAAGCTAGGAGGACCACATCATCCGCAAAAAGCAGAGACGAGATTCTCCTGCCACCAAACTCGACACACTCCACACCACGGCTGCGTCTAGAAATTCTGTCCATAAAAGTGATGAACAGAACCGGTGACAAAGGGCAGCCCTGGCGGAGTCCAACCCTCACTGGGAACAGGTCCGACTTACTACCGGCTATGCGGACCAAACTCACGCTCCTCTGGTAAAGGGACTGAATGGCCCTTAACAGAAAGCCACCCACCCCATACTCCTGGAGCGTCCCCCACAGGGTGCCCCTGGGGACACGGTCATAAGCCTTCTCCAAATCCACAAAGCACATGTGGATTGGTTGGGCAAACTCCCATGCCCCCTCCATCACCCTTGCAAGGGTATAGAGCTGGTCCACAGTTCCACGGCCAGGACGAAAACCACATTGCTCCTCCTCTATCTGAGATTCAACTATCGATCGGACCCTCCTCTCCAGTACCTTGGAGTAGACCTTTCCAGGGAGGCTGAGGAGTGTGATCCCCCTATAGTTGGAACACACCCTCAGGTCACCCTTCTTAAAGATGGGGACCACCACCCCGGTCTGCCACTCCCTAGGAACTGCCCCCGATGACCACGCAATGTTGTAGAGACGTGTCAACCATGACAGCCCTACAACATCCATTGCCTTGAGATATCCAGGACGAACCTCATCCGCCCCCGGGGCTCCGCCGCTGTGTAGTTGTTTGACTACCTCAGCAACTTCTGATCTCGGGAGCAATGGCCGCGCTCAGGAATTATTTGGTGGTTTAACCCCCCAATCCAACCACTTAAATCTGAGTGCCAAGCAGGGAAGCATTGGGTCCCATTTTTAAAGTCTTTGGTATGACCTAGGGCTGGTCGATATATCGGTATTTTTAGAATATCAATATAACTTTAAAACAAGATATAAGATGGCTTTATATCGATATAACTGGTCAAACTGCTATGCTAGCGATTAGCAGCTATGCTAGTGACATGTTGCTCCGTCTCTAAGCGGTTATGACGTGTATTCTCACAAGTTTGCTCAATCTGAGAGCCTCTGGGTAAATGTGCTGCTCTAAACTTTGCATTTGATATCCTGGTTTTTAATTATTTGGGGACATTTAACACCAACAGAGTTCTGTTTTTCCATCCTGCGTGTGTGGAGCCGGAGAGAGGAGCCAAACCCCTCCCTCCCCTTTGTAATCGGGAAACATCTATGGATAGCCGGAGTGGCCAAATGACCTCAAACATATTGTAAGGGTTTGAAAAGTAAACTATAGGGTTAATGCTTTATTTTGAAGGCGAGCTCAACGGGTTAGAAATGTTGTTGCGATTTTTCCGCTCTGGTTTGCTATGCTAGTAAATACTCTGTTACGAGCAATTCTGTTGAAAAAGTAGTTTATAAGGCGTGGGTTACAGCGACAGTAGCCCGAAAATAATACTCATAAAGGAACAACCAGAGACTCTGTCATTACAGTATAATCGCTGATATGAGCCAATACTGTGGGATTCCAGCCATGTTTGCCCTGATAACTAGTAACTCCACGGTGCGTGACACATGTGGTCTTCAGTAGATGCAGTTACTCCATCATACATTTAGTTTAACATGATAGATTTATTTTCTCTGGACAAGAAATATACCATATGGGCCAAAAAAAATAATTTTACAGTAATTATAAATATATAATTAAAAAGCCCCTGTGGGACATTTGATACACCTCTAGCTTTTGTGTGTGTGTGTGTGTGTGTGTGTATGCGCGCGCACGCTGCACCAGTGTTTCTAAAGCTCAGACTGGTAGAGAGTAGGCACTAAGGTTAGTTTGACAAGAATCAATACATTTTAATGCGTTTAATCTACTGATTTATGTTTATAATTTCTCAAGACAGCTTGAAGTGAGCTAACTTGTAAATATTTTACAAGAGGAAAAATATCGAGATATATATCGCATATCGGAATTCAACCAAAACATATCGATAAGTTTTGGTCCATATCGCCCAGCCCTAGATCACATATTGTATGGTACTTTCTCACATCACATACTATAGTAAGATATTTTTTCAGATCATGTATGATATTTTAGATTGTGTACTATAGTAAGGTACGTATTTAGATCACATATTTTACATAGGCATGTTTAGATCAAATATTCTAGTTTGGTGCTTTTTCAGATCACATACAGTAAGGTATATTTTTCGATCACATAAGATATTTTTTCAGATCACGTATATAGTATGACATTTTAGATTGCATACTATATATCGTAAGGTACTTTTTTAGATCACCTACGTAGTAAGATATATTTTCAAATCACATACTAAAGTAGGGTACATTTTTGAATTGGATAGTATAATGTACTTTTTTAGATCACATACCAAAGTAAAGTACACTTTTGGATCACATAGTAAGATATTTTTTCAGATCACCTAATCTATATTTTTACACATCACATACATATGTATAGTAAGGTGTCTTTTCAGATTACATTATAAATTAAGACATTTTTAGATCACATACATAAGGTTTATTTTCATATCACATACGCAAGATATTTTTTCTGGTTACATAGTTTGCAGAGAATGATTTATTTATTTATTTTAATCATTACTCTTGTGTTTACCCATAGGATACATCGATTTATCTAAAAGAAGAGTTTCTCCAGAAGAGGCCATCAAGTGCGAAGACAAATTTACTAAATCTAAGACCGTGAGTTAATTTCCCTGATAAACATGATTCTGATGTCTAGTTTAGGAAAATAACAGCTGGTGTGGAGTAATTATGAAGATAACTCTGTTCTTTTGTTATGTGGATGGCCTTCTACCTGGTCTGATTGAACGTGTTGTCTTCAGGTGTACAGCATCCTGCGACACGTGGCTGAGGTGTTGGAATACAGTAAGGATGAGCAGCTTGAGAGCTTGTACCAGCGAACCGCCTGGGTCTTTGATGAGAAGTACAAGCGGCCGGGATACGGCGCTTACGATGTCTTCAAACAGGCCGTATCGTGAGTGCACACCCAGGTCTAAACATCCCATGTTTCTCAAACTATTTTTGGTATAAAACATTTTTTTTTTTACATTCTACAGAGATCCCACCATCCTGGATGGTTTGGATTTAACAGAAGAGGAAAGGGGTGTGCTAATTGACAACATCAACAGGCGACTCACTCCCCAGGCAGTCAAAATCAGAGCAGGTTTGTTATTTAATGGGTTAAAGTTTGACAAAGGTTAAAGGTGCAGCCTTGATTGTGTTTGCCTCTTTTACTTTGCTTTTTGCAGACATTGAAGTGGCGTGCTATGGGTATGAGGGCATTGATGCAGTGAAAGAAGCTCTGCGAGCTGGACTTGGTTGCTCCACAGAAGCCATGCCCATAAAGGTCATTTATCTCATTTGATGGTGCCATCTATTCATCTATTATTTATTTCCTTGTTTTCCTATAACTTAGAGTTGTGTCTCATTGTAGATCAACCTGATTGCTCCTCCTCGGTATGTGATGACAACGACCACTCTGGAAAGGACAGAGGGACTGTCTGTCCTCAACCAAGCTATGGCTGCTATCAAGGAGAAGATCGAAGAAAAGAGAGGCGTTTTTAACATTCAGATGGAGGTAAGACGATTTTAGAATGGCACATTTATCCGACACATAGGCTACGTTCACACTGCAGGCCTTGATGCTCAATTCAGATTTGAGTAAATCTGATTATTTTTTGTGTGTGGCTGTTCACACTATGACTGAAATGTGACAAACTCCCAAAGCGACCTGCATGCGCAAAAGACATGAAGTCACACTCAGCGGACCTGTGCTGTAATCCTGATCCTGTGGATAAATTCAGTAAAAACTTTCACACCTGTTAATTCTTCTGTTTAAGCAGGAAACTGTAAACTATTTTACTTCTTGTTTGTGCTGTCTCCCTGAATCATTATTCACCGAAAATGTTCCGGTGTTGATTCATTCACAGAAGAGAGGCGTCTTTAACATTCAGGTGCCGTGTGAACGTAGCCTCAGTGACGTAGAAGACATGATCGTTCAGACTGCAGTGGCTTTCAAAAACATCGGACTTAGTACTACATAATGAAAATGGGTCGTATTTGGAAAAAATCTAATTTGGTGTACTTTTGCCTGCTGTGTGAACGTAGCCAAATAGTAGATGTGGAGAAGGGAGGCTAATGTCGTCTCATCCTGATGGATTTTCTGCTGTATGCATACATTTTTTTTTTTTTCAATCGACAGCCCAAAGTGGTGACTGACACCGATGAGACTGAATTGGCCCGACAGCTGGAGAGGTTGGAACGAGAAAATGCAGAGGTGGATGGAGATGATGATGCTGAGGAGATGGAGGCCAAAGGAGAAGATTAAAGTTGGTATTCCTGCGAAGGAAGGAAAGTGTATTGGCCATTGTGAGCAGTTACTTTAACTCATGTTCCAGTTTGTCCCAGAAGTAAAACCAAGATGGACACAAGCAGCGGTATAGTTTCTATTTATCTGGGTAACTAAAAGCTGTTTAAGAGCAGTGGCCTACACTTACCTGTTTATGAGCTCCTTTCTCTGGTTACGGCGGATTAAAGGCTCATCTGCGGGTGACTGGATGTGAGCGTCATCTTCCAGTTCCTGGGTGTTCATTATTTCATGTGGAATCAATAAAGCTCTGGAGACTCAATGTGTCAGGAACTTACATTTTCTCCCTTTAAGAAACTTGTGGGGTAAAGTTTTAAAAAATGTTTTAATCAAATGTCCAACAATACAAAAAAATACAATGGAGGTTTTTAAAACTTAAAAAAAAAATGTCATCCTGTTCTTAGCTCTTCTGACAGTGGTTAGGAGGGGGGAGGGGGTCCAGTTTGTAGACAGGATTCTGGGATTGAGGAATGTTATGAAAACTCAGCCAGTCCAAAATAAATATCCCTGTAAAAAGAAACATGCATTGTTGCTGTGATGCAACAGATGCATGTTTGAAGACAGGCCAACTGATAAGAAATAAAAGTAGAGTGGCACTAACTCGGCTACGGTTGTGGATGTCTGACAAAAATCTCATTTACAGTCCAAGAACACTAAACCAACCTGGACCTGCAGAAAGAGGCCGTGTGTCTGAGAAAAAACAACTCAGACCCAGTGAGACTGAGCAGGATCTGTTGCAGTTTGATTTCACTACACTACTATACAAAATAAGGGCTTTTCTGTGGTTGTGCATGCTTATTTCACCAGTCCAATCTTCTTTGCTTCAGTTTCATAAATGAGTAACCGCCACATCTTCACTATGAAGACCTCAGCTTCTTCATCAAGAACCTGAGCAGGAGAGCAAGATAAAGGTTTAGGCAAAATGTTGGCCTTAAGTTTTTTTCCACTGGTCAGGCATCAGGAGCACTACTCACCATGGCAACATCATCCAAAATACTCTGCGGCATACTGTGGGCCATCACCTGAACAAAACAATCATATTTGGTGTGTTCATGCTGTGTCTCTTCTAACTTCATTACTTGGTTCTTTTTTCACTGACGTTTCCACTACAACTACAGTCTTGTTCGGAGCTCACCGGACTTCCTTCTCCGTGGATACACAGAAGGAAGTTGGCGGCGAGCTCTGAAGACGACTGTAGTTGTAGTGGAAACGTCAGCAAAAAGAAGCAAAACATTCTTCGCTTGACTTTCATTTCCCATACTGCCAGTACCTTTGAGCACACGAAGTCCACTAATGTTGGCTCCTCCTCACCGATGTACTCAATGATTTTCTTATTGATCCAGGGCCGAACTCTTCGCTCCATTAACGTCTACAGAACAAGAGATCCCAACAGTTTTTTTTTTTCCCCAAATTTAAATATTCAAGTGAGATCACTGTGAATAAATCGAAGACTGAGCTCACCGTGTCGACCATAGACCAGTCCAGAGGGTAGGAGAACAGCTCTGGTTTTGCTGTGGGTATCTTCTCTATCAGGCTCTTGATGTGTTTGCGTTTCTCCTCAGTGTTGGCTCCCTTTATGCTGGAGAGCCCGGCACCATCCACCCCGAGGCTTTTGTCATCGTCGTAGTCCAGGGGCACCAGCTTACGTTTGCGTGGCTGTTCATCTGCCTCTTCGTCGTCAAACTTGTTGAAGACGCTGTCCACTGGAAGCTTCTTCCTCTTGCCTGCGTTAGGCTGGCTGGGGCTTACGGTAGCAGCTGATGAGGACAGTTAAATAACACAAAACGTAAACATCTCGACTAGTCTTCAACGGAATCACCAAGTATAATGGGCAATTACAATCGTATTATGGTTTTTACATGTTTTACATTTTCACAGCATACTGTTTTTTTTTAAACATATTTACTACATACCGTATTTTCCGGACTATAAGTCGTACTTTTTTTCATAGTCTGGCTGGTCCAGCGACTTATTTACCAAATTATGGAAACCGCGCTGCTGCAGACCGGCTTCGGACCAGGAATAAGCTCCTCTGCCCCGCCATCACCTGCTGGAGCCTGTGGCGAGCTGCTGCGGGCCGGGCGGCTCTGACCCAGGAATGAGCTCCCCTGTCCTGCCTGGAGAGGTTCTAACACCGCCATCCCCTGCTGGGGACCGTGGCGCGCTGCTTCGCCCTGGTTGTTGATTCTGTTATTGTTACCGGTACTTGTCTTGCAATGTGAAACGCTTGGTCTCAGATTTTGTAAGAAAAATAAAATTTCCCCCCAAAATGCGACTTATATGTTTTTTTCTTCTTCGTTATACATTTTATGGCTGGTGCGACTTATACTCCGGAAAATACATTAAAGTACATTTTTTAAAAACAACCTAAAGTTTTGTTCAGGTTTTTCATGAAATGTACATAACATTCTCCTCTAGCTGTGTGGCCTCCAACTGTAAAAGGTTTACAAAAGTAAATCACTAAATAAAACGCATCTGTTCTATTGACTAATTCTATATAAAAAAAAATTTCCTATAGTTTTATATATTCGTTGTTTTAAGTCATACTTCTATAATTCTGGAGATGGTGGGAGGTGTGGTTTACTAGACCACCGGAGTGTTCTCGGTCATATGGAGAAATCTGGTGTTTTGAACTCACTCAGTCTGAGGCTGAGGCCGATCTTCGGCCGGTTTTCATCCTGTGGCAGAGCGTCAGGAGGTGAGTTTTCATGAGGAATGATGATGCCACACGGGGACTCGTCTCCAGGAGTGTTGGGAGACACGTTGCCACTTGCTGATGAAACCGAGGGTGCCGCTGTTATGGGCCGCATTGTGGGCTTCAACTGCGGTGGCTTCACGTCAAGGTTTTCTTCACCATTGTCATAATCTTCATCCTCACCCTCCTCTACCTCCTCTTCAGAGTGACTAGGTCGTGAGTGGGATTCGGTTTTCTCCTGCTCTTGTCTACGTTCCCGGTGTTCCCGTGAACTCCTGTGGCGCTCCCGTGGCTCCTCGGGCTCAGGTTCCTGGATGATGGGAGGCTGTCTCAGACGCTCCTCCTCCTCCTCCTCCATCTGGACCAACAAGCAGAAACCACCACACAACCACTGCCTTTTACAGAAATGAAGGTCAACAGATAATGAAAGATGAGCACCTTTTAATGCATAGAAGCTATGATAAAGTGACCTTCACAAAAACAGCAGAGAGCACTTTCTCTCCCAACAGCCAAAGACAAATTATTTTAATAAGACAGGCTTACCCTGCGTAGCTCTGCGTCTGGGTCTGGATGTCCCTCGTCTAACAGCCTCCGTCTGATCTCCTCCAGCTCCTCCTTCTCTCTCTTCCTGTCACGCTCGTCCGCCTCCATCTCCTTCTCTCTGTCTCTGAGACGTTTCTGCAGCGCACTGCCCCTAGGGGTCATACTGGAAACATCAGCCTTCAGAACAAAGAGTAGCTGCAGTGTGCTTCATGATCTCCTGGCTGAGACTTAAAATAGCTTAGGTGTTCGCATCTGACACGCAGGACAAAGTCTACATATTCATCCATGTTTGGGAAGTTTTTAACAAATTCCAACGTCGTTGCTCACCTGTAGTACTTGGGATCATCTCGGTCATCATCATAGTCCTCAAGAAACTCTTTCAACCGTTTGCCTTCTTTGACCTGAAGAACCAGTTGCAAGCTTTATTTTTTCAACTATATAAAATGTTTAAAATCTAAAATCAGAACGTGACTCAGTAATGAATTTCAAAAGGGAAGCTTGACAGTTTTATGACACAGATTTGATGTTCGGATATGATCTTGAGTTATGTTTTCTCACCATTTCTCTCCTGCGTTCATCGTCTCGCTCAGCCTCCTTGGCGTAATCTCTGGCCTTTTTCCTCTCCCTCAGCTCCCAGTTTTTTAGACGCTTAAAAAAGGTTTAAAAAAACTGTTAGAAACAAAGAAAAATCAAATACAGGCTGAGTTTAACGAATGTTACATTAAAGATAATTAAAAACACAAGGTGCGTTCATTTTTGCTAAATTTAACCCTTTGATGCATGAATTATGAAATCTTCCACCATGATTTTTTAAACAATTTTTTTCATTCATCGTTAGGTGTGAATGAAACAAATTTCATATTTACACATTTTTTGTAACATTTAATTTACACATAGTTTATTACATGTCCACCTCAGTAGACAGCGTGCATTCTGAACATGAAATATGTTGGCTTGGCTTACTGAAGCCCAAGTGGAGGGGCTCAAATGCAATAAAGTCTTCAACAGCTGTGCTTAATAGCAAATAAATAAATAACAATTTTGAGTACCTGTCAACTCTAGTGACCATTATGCATCAAAGGGTTAAGTCCTTTTAAGACTAGAACCTTTGGATTGACTTGCTGAATTTTGTTTTGAAAATGTAGGCTGGTACACTTATATTTCAAATGCACATTGTTGTTAGGAATAATATTTGGCGGTTCCTACTTCCTGGTATGCTGCTTCCTTATCCCTGAGTTTCCTCTCCAGTTTCCTGCGTTCGTAGGCTTCCTCTTCATCCTCTTGGTCCCGCTTCTTCTCTCTGTCCCGACTCAACTCCCTACCAAAACAAAGTTAAGGATGTTTTGGGTTCAAGCTCAACGAAAGCTTGTTTATTCATAAGATTAGGAACAGCATGGGGGGGTGGGGGGGTCCTATTCATGCATTTTTACCTTGATTGGCTGCGGTCGGCGCTCCTGTCACGGCCCTTGTCCAACTCTCGCCCCCGCTCCCTCTCTCTGGTCCTGCGATCACGGTCTTTGTCTCTGTCTCTTGACCGCTCTTGCTCTCTCTCCCGCTCTCGTTCCCGTTCTCGCTCTTTCTCCCGCTCGCGGTCCCGCCGTTCTCTTTCCCGCTCTCGTTCTTTTTCCCGCTCCCTCCGTTCTCGTTCAAACTCCACCCGCTCCTTCTCCCGCTTGTCTTTCTCCTCCTCTAGTTTCTGGAGAGCACAACACAAACAGGTTCAGCTGATGCCACGTGACAGCCGCGGAGCGTTTGCAGTAAGCTTACAGATGTGCACAGATCAAGTGGTTTCCAGATTTTGAGGGGTTTCACAGAAGAACATGCCCTGCTCTAATGAGTGCAAAGCTACGGCCCTAACTGGGAAGAACAGAGGCTTTTAACTAAAGCAACATGATGCAGTTTGTTGCTTCAAACTTGCAGAATAAAACTACACTTAGCATAAAAATGCAACAGGAAACCACTCAAATGGATGGGAAGATCTGTGGAACGTGTTCAAAACAACGCAGCAGAAAACAATACTTTTCTCTCCTTTCAGAACAAGGAAAACAAAAACAAACAGGCATCAGTTTTTGTTAAACTAGTTGTTTGTGACTTACAGGTGTCGAACTACGGACTCAGGCCTTCGCTGCCCCTACAAGCCTTTAAAGTTAGGCCTGGGAGGAAAGCAGGTCACACGGTATACAAGGAAAAAATGTTATGGGGTTCGGATTTCTTGCTTAAGCATCATATTCATCAACAACAGCCTTTAGTCAAATGGGTAACACTGCAATTGGTTCGGTTATTAATCAAGAAATAAACATTGGTTACATTTCTGCACAGATAAATAAAATTGTAGAAGGATTCTTACCCCTGCAGAGGTCTTCAGCTGTCCTTCTTGACCAACTTCTCTCTCACACACACACACCTTTTCACAGGCATCAAACACACTTCTTAAAAATGTATATATGACGAAGTGTGCTAAATTACAATTATGCAAAATAAAGCCATATGTTTGTGTATAAATAAATAAAGTAGAACTCCTGACGCTTTTTTTAACTTCATGTTGGAGGAGTTTTGACCAACCGGGATGCCGAGCGTATTTCTAAGCTTATAAGCTGCATTTCTGAAGCAGAGCGTGTGATTCGTGTAAAGCTACCTCCCTTTGGTGTAGATGAGTGGAAACTGGTGATGCACAAGGACACCAGACTGAAGGGCCAGTGCTCCCAATACAATAACTAAAGTTGGGTTTTTCGTCGTATTCCAACACTTTAAAGCTGTTCTCACAACAAAACATTTACTGAAAAAACCTTGATACCAGAATCCCAACAGCAAAACCCAAAGATACAAAAGTCATGAATGAAAACTAAAGACGACCTGATTTGCATAAAAGTTCTGAAATGTTTTCTCAAAAATCACTCATCGGTTAAGTGAGCCCATAATCCCATTGTTTCTTTTTAAACTACATCCATCTTTTGTGTAAGGTGCTTGCTTCTTACTTACCTCTGTAGAGATTAGAGCTCGTTACACTAACACCAGACTCACCTGAGTTAAACTTAAACTCGTCAGCCAGACACTTTAATGTCTTCTCTGGTGTTTTGTTTTGAACTTTTAGGATGAAAAATGGTCCCAAACTCTTCATTTTTACAATTTCAGCAATAAAATTACAGCCCTGTTTGAGTTTTTACTTAATCTATGCCGTAGCCATACAAACGCTTCATTTATGATATTAAGAGGAGATGGATATTGATCAATTCACTCACTCTCTCAAACAAACACACGCGCACACACACACACACACACACGGAGAGCTTACCTCGTCAGTCTTCAGACCATCATGCTGCTGTGGAGAGGGCGCCCCCACCCAGACTAGCATAATAAAGGTTACTGAGTCTTTGGGCTTCAACATGAACACCATTGAACAGACCATCATTTACAGAGAACTCACACAGGTTCACTGACTCTCCAGAAGTCCAGGGAATGCCCAACACTCTGATATGTTAAAAGTGACAAATAATTGTGTTTATAAAGTCAAATGACCGAGTGGGTTGAGGAAATTTGAAGCCCTGATCACTGAAGAGCTGTGCAGTTGCCCCGGTGCAAGTCCTCCAGAGGGGGACGCCCAGTGTATGTATAGAATAAAAGAAGGATGATACTTACATCCTATCCTGGCAACTGTTTCCAAAGCTCTGAGATTCATCTTGCTTTAGTCACCATATGATCACTATCATAATGGTGGGGTTTAATGAATAGATTAGCTTTAAGGTAACTTTACATCGTCTCCATGCATTTTTGTGTGATGAAGAAATTGATTTCTAATGGTTACACCTAAGAGTTTCACTACAGAGGTCCAATTAGACCCGAGAAATGATGCTAGTCAGTCTGTAAAGGGCCTAATGTTAGACTTTAGATAGAGCCAATCAGTGCACGCAGTGTGCAAGTTACTGAGGTCAAGTATTACATTTTAAATGTCGACTATGTGAGAAACTGCTGTCCAAAACCTGGAATGTCAATTACAAGATTTAAGTCACTTTACCTTGTGAGTGTCACGAAATTTACTAATCTCTCTGGAAATCAGGTCTCTCTTGTCCTCTTCGATGTCAATAGTGTTAATGTCATCCTGTGCAGACAAAAATATAACAATTACCTTAATAAAAAAGTCCAAAACGAGCTTTTGCTTTATTTTTAAATGCCTGGCTGTACCTCCTCTTTCTTTTCCTTTTTTCTCTTTCGCCGCTGGGACTCTTCATCCTGGGAGGGTGCGTTGAGTTCTGCAGCATATTCACGCATCAACCCGTCAATAAGCTCTTGGACGGTCTGATCCCTCTTCTTTGTCTCCTCATCAAGGACCTCTTCTTCCTCATCTTCTCCCTCTGCCTTCTTAGTCTGTCATTGGAAAAAAAAAACAAATTTAAATCATTATCAATTATTATTAAGTTGCTCTAAATCTGAGACGAGGGATCTGGAAAAGGGCTAAAGGTGCGAAGACCCAGAGAACTCAAGTAAGCAAACTAATAAAATGAGAATTTTTAAATGCAAAACCAAAACCATACCCCATTGGCTGCCTTTTTCTTGGCCTTCCACTCATCCAGCTGAGATTTAGTCTTTGCATCTACTTTCACTAGCAGGTTCTTGTCTCCAATCAGCAGGTCATGAAGCAACCGCAGGGCTCGCAGGGTGGACTCTGGCTCTTTGTATTCACAGAAACCAAAAGCTGCAACAGAGCAGTGGGAATCTATTTAAAAGGCACGTTCAAAAGCAGACATGTATGACAGCATATAGTCTACCTCAGACTGAGGTGCCAAATGTTACAGCGTTTTAAAAACATGCAACGAGGGCTGCAGCTATCGAATATTTTAGTCTTTGAGTATTCTATAGAATCTTCCATCGATTAATCGAGTATTCTATCTGACGACGTTTCAATGGTCTGCTGCTAAAAATATGAAAATAGAAAAACATAATTATAAAAGGCTCAATAATATAAATTAAATTGATCTCGTCTATTTCCCTCATTCCCAGCTGATATTTATAGTAAATAAATAATTTATGGAACAACAATTGACTTGCATTTCATTCACAATTTAGGTTTGTATTGGCCTCATCCGGGTCAAAATAACACATCTAAACATATTCACATATGATCAGTAGAATTCAATTATTATTAACATGTACAGTAGTAAGCTACTAGAAATGCTAACATGTATTTCTACTTTTAACAATCTACTTGTGGTATGTTTATTTTATTACGTATGGGTTGGCAACATAATCTATTCTAAATTGTATTGAAATATAAAATTGTTATTGAATTATATGCTACAACGGCTTGCCACAGTCCTGCGGGGATGGAGAAGACTCGCAGAACAACCAGACGGTAGCTGCTGCTGCGCTGCCCCACACCGCTGCAGAGGTCCACAAATAAAAGGGATGATGGGGATTTTTCTTCTGCTTTTAGAGTTAAGGCGTTCACAACCATCACGTTTTTTTCTGAACCACACTTGCTCGTGAGAATGCTACCCGCTAGCTTAGCATTAGAAATTCTGCTCGTAGTTTAACTCTTGATCCCAAACTTTGGACCGCCTCTGCTTTTTACAACGGTTTCTGTCTTTGCTGGTTTCTCCATTTTCCTCCACAGCACCTAGATCACCACATGGTGCTCAAGTAAAATGTGTTCAGACTGTGTTGCGCACATTTAACGAAGCTTCGAATCAGTACAAAATGAATTGAGGAATTAAATGAGTCGAACATTTCGAATCATTCGATGATTCTTTCAGCCCTACATGCAATTTCACATTTCTGGTGTACACTGTAGTTTTAAAATTTCCCTGTAAACAAATCTCTCCCGAAATATTTGAAATGTGTCTCTTTTCAAAGCAGAAAGAGAAATCAGCATAAGCAAGTAGGAATTGGTAACTTTGGTTGTTTTGCAACAGCCAAGCATCTCTGAATATTTGTATCATAACCGTTGAAAAACATAACATCTCTTTTAGCGATGCACCGATATAAAACTTTTGGGCTGATACCGATTTCCGATATTAATATCACTGTTATAGCCGATAACCGTTATTTGCCGATACAGATACAGGTGCTGGCCAGTAAATTAGAATATCATCAAAAGGTTGAAAATATTTCAGTAATTCCATTCAAAACGTGAAACTTGTACATTATATTCATGCAATGCACACAGACCAATGTATTTCCAATGTTCATTACATTTAAATTTGATATTCATAAGTGACAACTAATGAAAACTCCAAATTTGGTATCTCAAAAAATTAGAATATTCTGAAAAGGCTGAATATAGAAGACACCTGCTGCCACTCTAATCAGCTGATTTACTCAAAACACCTGCAAAGGCCTTTAAAAGGTCCCTCAGTCTTGTTTTGAAGGCACCACAATCATGGGGAAGACTTCTGACTTAACAGCTGTCCAAAAGACAATCATTGACACCTTGCACAAGGAGGGCAATACACAAAAGGTGATTGCTAAAGAAGCTGGCTGTTCGCAGAGCTCTGTGTCCAAGCACATTAACAGACAGGCGAAGGGACGGAAAAAATGTGGTAGAAAAAAGTGTACAAGCTCTAGGGATAACCGCACCCTGCAGAGAATTGTGACGACAAACCCATTCAAAAATGTGGGGGAGATCCACAAAGAGTGGACTGCAGCTGGTGTCAGCGCTTCAAGAACCACCACGAGGAGACTCATGAAAGACATGGGATTCAGGTGTCGCATTCCGTGTGTCAAGCCACTCTTGAACAAGAAACAGCGCAAGAAGCGTCTCGCCTGGGCCAAGGACAAAAAGGACTGGACTGATGCTGAGTGGTCCAAAGTTATGTTTTCTGATGAAAGCAAGTTCTGCATTTCCTTTGGAAATCAAGGACCCAGAGTCTGGAGGAAGAGCGGAGAAGCACAGAATCCACGTTGCATGAGGTCCAGTGTAAAGTTTCCACCGTCAGTGATGGTGTGGGGTGCCATGTCATCTGCCGGTGTTGGCCCACTCTGTTTCCTGAGGTCCAGGGTCAATGCAGCCGTCTACCAGGAAGTTTTAGAGCACTTCATGCTTCCTGCTGCTGACCAACTTTATGGGGATGCAGACTTCACCTTTCAACAGGACTTGGCACCTGCACACAGTGCCAAAACCACCAGCACCTGGTTCAAGGACCATGGTATCCCTGTCCTTGATTGGCCAGCAAACTCGCCTGACCTTAACTCCATAGAAAATCTATGGGGTATTGTGAAGCGGAGGATGCAATACGCTAGACCCAACAATGCAGAGGAGCTGAAGACGACTATCAGAGCAACCTGGGCTCTCATAACACCTGAGCAGTGCCACAGACTGATCGAGTCCATGCCACGCCGCATTACTGCAGTTATTGAGGCAAAAGGAGCCCCGACTAAGTATTGAGTGCTATACATGCACATTCTTTTCATGTTCATTCTTTTCAGTTGGCCAACATTAGAGAAACAAACATTTTTTCATTGGCCTTTAGAATATTCTAATTTTCTGAGATACCAGATTTGATGTTTTCATTGGTTGTCACCTATAAATATCAAAATTAAACGTAATAAACATCGGAAATACATTGGTCTGTGTGCATTGCATGAATATAATGTACAAGTTTCACGTTTTGAATGGAATTACTGAAATATTTTCAACCTTTTGATGATATTCTAATTTACTGGCCAGCACCTGTATACTGACATTTATGCTTCAAAATCAGCAGACTTGTATAGAATGAAAATTATTAATGCTGAATTTACGTTATGTACACACAACACACCATTTATGGTTCTGAGATGATTACATTCACTGTTCACATGACTAAACAATAACACATCACCCCCTCACCCTCTGAAACAGGCAAACAAATGGAGACGGGATGGAAAAAATATTGGTTGTCAATATCGGCCCGGTTTTATTTATCGAACCGATGTTAAAAAATGACTACCATCGGCCGATACCGATATTGATGCTGATATATTGTCCATCCCTAATTTCTTTGTTATTCACAAATGTGTGGTTTTTATTTGTTTAGTAAGAAGTTGCATTTCACACCTCTGGACCACATTGTTTTGTTTTCTTTAAGTGATCGCGAAAGTTAGCAATGAGAGTAAGCTACTGAAAGTTGCTGTGCAGAACTGTAAATCACCTTGAAGTTTGCCAGAGGCTCCTTGGACTCTCTTCCAGCTCAAAACAATACCACATTTCTGTAAACGTAGGACAATTACTAAAATAACATAATAAACACACACACACCATTAACAGTTAACAAAAATTATGCAAGCAGCATTTCTATATATGGATATTCAAAAGGTATGTGTAGTTTACACATATTTTCTAATTCTTACCGCCAGCAACTGTCTGATGAGCATGTCTGAAGCTTTCTCTGAAATGTTCCCCACAAACACGGTGGTGATAGGTCCACTACTCTCTTCATCTTTGGCTCGCAGAGCAGAATAGTCTTTCTTTGGCATGGGAGGCTTACTGAGGACTGGAACAGACTGGACCATGACTGCAGGGGTGGGGGCCATGATGCCCATGTGGACAGGGATCATAGGAGCTGCAGCACATGCAACAAAAAAAAGTTGTTAAGACTGTGAATATGAAATTAATTAAATTATTACAAATAATGAGCATCTAAGAGGTGTCATGTTGCGTAATTTACGGGAGCCTGGTTGGTACTTACCTGTGGGGAAGCCAGCATACTGAGGAGGAATCCCAGGTGGGGGCAACAGCGGTCGATTTAAATGAGGAGGGAAGGACATTTTGAGGGTGAATGTGGCCTAAAGAAGACACATTAAAGGCCATTAGTGTTGTTTGCATAAGGTAAAAACGTCCAAACAGCTCAAGTAAAAACACAGAGGGAGCGAACATTAGTGTATCCACAATGAGGAAACACTGAAGGTCTCGGTGGTGAACATTACAAATCGATAGTGACTTTTATTTGACTTTGCTGGAACGTTAACTAAACTTAGCCAAACTTTGTGAGGTGCCATTTGCTAATTAGAAGTAACAAAGTCCAAACTTCTTAAAAATATTAACATCTCAACAATATTAAGACTAACCACACACAACAGCTAAGTACGCTAAAGCTAGCAATGAGCACGTTACCCGATATAACACCGGCACAGCTAAAATGCTAAAGTAACCTAGCCCGAGCAGATGTTAATTTATAATAAAACACTGACTTTCCCAAGGCTAAACATGAGCTCGAAGTAAATATAAAAGCCTCTACATATACCTACCACTCAACCAGGTGGCGTATGATGAGATAAAATCCACTAAAAATGTTAATGATAGTGAATTAATAGCTAACGTTCTGGACGCCTGATTAGCACGCTAGCTGGTCGCGGGCCCTCGAAAAGTTTGACGCACGCGCTTTAGGAGCAAGAGTACTGGCGCGCTTGTTTTGTGCACCAGAGTGTATACACTGAACGGGGCTTAATGTGAATTCGCAAAATGAATCCTTTTCAGGAAACGAAACTTCTGCTAACAGGGTTCGATCAGATTACCTAACTAACCTTGGAAGACCTAATGCGCGGTAGTAACTAAATGAATAAAAAAGGTTGAATAATAATAGCATTGAAATTAAGTTACACCAAAAAAGCGGTCCGCATTTTTTTTATTAAAACGATTTGTTTCTAATCGGTTTAATTTACAAAACATCTGATCACATAAAAAAAAACAGCATTGTGATTTTCCTACTCGTTTTAATCAATTAGAGGATAAAGCCATCATATGATTATTTCAATGTTAAACTTCTTTTTAAATGTTTTTTAAAAGAGTACATAAAAATTCTGTGTACATTATTGTTAAAATGGTCATTCTTACCAATTCTGAAATTGTAACTAATAAATAACATATTCTGTATGCAAAGTATGACTGTACTTCTGTTATTTATCACTGAGGTTACTATCTAAATTTATAAATGTGTCTTCTGTAGTTAAACTACATAATAGAAAGCTGAATCATAATCATTTGTGCATCTCTTGCATTTGATGGGTCTAACTGCGTACATTTATTCCACTCTAATCCACTTGACAACAGTGACTTCTTCCCCTTACACTGTACTAAAAACTCAATTCCAAAGTCGTGATCAACATGACAAATATAGTATTACATTTATGTATAGCAGTCCATCTTCCACTGGTGTTCTATGTCCATAAGAAAATCTGTAATTCATATAATAACAACCATTAGTTCATTTGACAATATAAAGCATATATTCTCATGATTCAGTACGGAAAAGGGTTGAGTTGATGGTTGTTAAGGCGTTTTTGCTGTAGGAACATTTTGTGACAGATGATACGTCGGGAGAGGAAAGGGGGAGATCTGTGACGTCACTTTAAGGCGGGGCTTTCATGGAAAGTGCTAGAAGAAACGAAGCACACCTTCTCGTGTTTGAAATATTCATCCGTCGGAGTAAAAAGACCCACAGTCTATGTCGAATTTCAGGGAAACTAGACGCCACTTGAGATTTGAACTTGACGCGTGGTTTTAGTGTTATGCGAATCATTTCTCTATGTTGTCGCTAGATGGGATGATTGAGATCAAAAAACATCGCCTCTCAGTGCATGGTTTGCTGTAGCTCAACCTACCACAAGATGGCGACAACGTTACACTAAGGTCCGACTTCGTATACATTTTCTTTACTTAGATTGCATAATTGGCATTTAAACCCTCTTTACCCAACAAAACGTGAATAATAGATTATTCTTTTCCAGTGAGGAAGCATACAATGTGTGTTTAGTTCTGGCTGCGGTTTTACATAAAAGTGATTGCTTCAGGTTGTAGCTCGTGAACTGCGGATGGATACGACTGCACACTGCGACCCACGTGTATAAAGACTGGTCTGGTGCCGAAAAGTAGTTCCTTTCCTTTTTCTTCCGTCAGGGAGCGCAAGGGACTACACTTTTGCTGCATTTTATTCAAGAAAAAGTCAACGAAATTACCAAGGTGCGTACATTAACGGGTCCGTAGCTCGTGTCAGACATCCTTACCTTTATAATTTTGTTAAAATATCATCGGTATGTATGTGTTTAACGAACATTATTAGTTAATGAAAATCCAGAGGTTAATATGGTGGTCGAATAAGTGTTTCGTGGAAGACAGACGCCTAGTACGTCGGCTGATGTTTTCATTTTCCTCTCGAGAGACTACTATTTGCTTATGTTTCCGAGCATCGTAGTGATGCTCTTGAGCAGCGGGAATGCGGCACCGTGATGTCAGGCAGGTGTGGTGACGGTGACTCCGCTGGATCGAGTTCTCGGCCTGATTAAATCCGTTATAAACCCACGTTAAACCGGTACACTGAGTTTAATGTGTGCGTAATAAGGCCTGGTTACCAGCCACGAGGGGTAGTGTTCATTTGGTCGTTACGTAATTGAACGCGGTTTCAATTAACCTCCACGTTTTACTGAAACTATCACATGGAGGCTAAAACAAGTACGTTTGTAGTATTTATGGAAGTCGTCGTCGCATTGTTTCTCTATTAAAGTGACTTGAGTTGATCCGCCTTAATCGTTCGCCAGCACGTGTTTGCTGCGTCCATTGTCTAGTCGTAGAAGCCATGTTTGTTAACTGACACTTCCGCCCTTATGTAGCAGACTGCTGCAGCGGCCATCCAACTTAATGAAGCCACTTGACGAAATCGCGTTACTTTGAAACTATCTTAAGTTCTGTTTCACTTTCATTTACTGAAGTGACTTTGTTATATTTTCAGATGCCTGAAGAAATGCACCAAGAGGAGGAGGTTGAGACCTTTGCCTTCCAGGCAGAGATCGCTCAGCTGATGTCCCTGATCATCAACACCTTCTACTCCAACAAAGAGATCTTCCTTAGGGAGTTGATCTCAAACGCTTCTGATGTGAGTCTGCTGAAGCTTCAGTATTCTTCTGACTTTAAGGAAGAAACTAACCGCTATTCCCTGTTTTCAGGCTCTGGACAAAATCCGCTATGAAAGCTTGACTGACCCCTCAAAACTGGACAGTGGCAAAGATCTGAAAATTGACATCATTCCCAACAAAGCTGACCGGACTTTGACCCTGATTGACACCGGGATTGGCATGACCAAAGCTGACCTTATTAACAACCTGGGCACCATCGCCAAGTCGGGCACAAAGGCCTTCATGGAGGCCCTCCAGGTACTACGCATCCCATAATGGCCTGCACAGGATCTTAAGAGACTGACTGATCTTGTGAAGCTAAATTTGTTTTATTCCTCCAGGCTGGTGCTGACATCTCAATGATTGGTCAGTTCGGTGTGGGTTTTTACTCTGCTTATCTTGTTGCTGAGAAAGTGGTCGTCATCACCAAACACAATGATGATGAGCAGTACGCCTGGGAGTCATCTGCTGGAGGTTCCTTCACAGTCAAGGTTGACAGCGGTGTGTAATTCTAACCATCACCAGTGACGTCTGAGTGTGCACTACTTGCTTACTCTAGTTTATTTTAGCTTTTCTGAAAATTCCTCTAAAATGTTTTCAGGCGAGCCCATTGGCCGTGGAACTAAGATCATTCTGCACCTGAAGGAGGACCAGACAGAGTATGTGGAGGACAAGAGGGTCAAGGAGATCGTTAAGAAGCACTCTCAATTCATTGGCTACCCCATCACCTTGTTTGTAAGTGCTTAAAAGTACGTTTTAAAAATTTTAAGTCTTGGGCAGATTTCTAAAGCTTTTATGTCGCAGGTGGAGAAGGAGCGCGACAAGGAGATTAGTGACGACGAGGCAGAGGAGGAAAAGACCGAGAAAGAGGAGAAAGAAGAAGAAGCTGAAGACAAGCCCAAGATTGAAGATGTGGGTTCAGATGATGAGGAGGATTCCAAAGACAAGGACAAGAAGAAGAAGAAAAAGATCAAGGAGAAGTACATTGATCAGGAGGAGCTGAACAAGACCAAGCCCATCTGGACCAGGAACCCCGATGACATCACAAATGAAGAATATGGTGAATTCTACAAGAGTCTAACAAATGACTGGGAGGATCACCTGGCTGTCAAGGTACACGAGTTTCCGACAAAGTTTTAACCCTGCGGGCTGATTTTTTTTTCTAATGCTTTATTTTCTTTCAGCACTTCTCTGTGGAAGGCCAGCTTGAGTTCAGAGCCCTGCTCTTTATTCCTCGCCGTGCACCCTTTGACCTCTTCGAGAACAAGAAAAAGAAGAACAACATCAAGCTGTACGTCAGGCGGGTCTTCATCATGGACAACTGTGAGGAGCTCATTCCTGAGTATCTGAGTAAGTTCAGCTGCATTTTCCACTGTGGTCTGAAATGATTCCACAGACTCTTTAAATGGCTAATGCATTTAAAATTACTTTGTCCACTCAAGACTTCATCCGTGGTGTTGTGGACTCTGAGGACCTGCCCCTCAACATCTCCAGAGAAATGCTGCAGCAAAGCAAGATCCTGAAGGTTATTCGCAAAAACATAGTCAAGAAGTGCTTGGAGCTGTTTGCAGAACTGTCGGAGGACAAAGACAACTACAAGAAATTCTACGAGGCTTTCTCAAAGAACATGAAGGTATTGAAACTAAATGGTGGATTCATCTGAATTGGCTTGGTGTGTTTTATAAACTGAGGGACGCATTGCTGTATTTTGCATTTAAAGATCATGTTTGGTTGCTTTTTTCCTCAGCTGGGCATACATGAGGACTCTCAGAACCGCAAGAAGCTGTCTGAGCTTTTGCGCTACCACAGCTCCCAGTCTGGTGATGAGATGACCTCCTTGACTGAGTACCTCACCCGCATGAAGGAAAACCAGAAGTCGATCTACTACATTACTGGTACTAACACACACTATCTGGAAACCACACCTCCCCGTAGACTTGTTCATCCTTGCTGAGGATCTGGTTTCTCTGCAGGTGAGAGCAAAGATCAGGTGGCCAACTCCGCCTTCGTCGAGCGTGTCCGCAAACGTGGCTTTGAGGTGCTGTACATGACAGAGCCCATTGATGAGTACTGCGTCCAGCAGCTGAAGGAGTTCGATGGCAAGACCCTGGTCTCTGTCACCAAGGAGGGTCTAGAGCTGCCTGAAGATGAGGATGAGAAGAAAAAGATGGAGGAGGACAAAGCCAAATATGAGAACCTCTGCAAGCTCATGAAGGAGATCCTCGACAAAAAAGTGGAGAAGGTGTGTGTTTTGGGTTTCCTTTCCCTGTAGGCTTAAGTTTTCATGAAGGGGTTTCCTTGTGGTCCAACATGGTGTAAACCTTTGTGCTTAATTTCCTCCAGGTGACTGTGTCCAACAGGCTGGTGTCTTCCCCTTGCTGCATTGTGACAAGCACGTATGGCTGGACGGCAAACATGGAGAGGATCATGAAGGCCCAGGCACTCAGGGACAACTCCACCATGGGTTACATGATGGCCAAGAAGCACTTGGAAATCAACCCTGACCATCCAATCATGGAGACTCTGAGGCAGAAGGCTGAGGCTGACAAGAACGACAAAGCAGTGAAAGACCTTGTTGTCCTGCTCTTTGAGACGGCCCTGCTTTCTTCAGGCTTCTCTCTCGATGATCCACAGACTCATTCCAACCGTATCTACAGGATGATCAAACTTGGCCTTGGTAGGAACTCATCAGATTAGCTGTTGGTGGGTTTTTATTTCTCTCCTTTCTAATGTGTGCTTATGGGTTTTTTTTTTTTTTTTTAGGTATTGATGATGATGACATTCCAACAGAAGAGACCACCACCACCACATCTGTTCCAGAAGAGATGCCACCTCTTGAAGGTGATGAAGATGCTTCACGAATGGAAGAGGTTGATTAAACGGACTTTACCACACTTCAAAACACTTAAAACCCTGTTTTACCAGTAGTTTATTCCCTAAAAGTGCAGTAACTGTAAATTAAATCATTCCTGTGGTGTGGAGGACCAGAGTTGCTGTTACTGGAACCTTACACTGCTATTCCTTCGAAAAACTTTTATTTTGCTGTGAAATTACAAAAGTGATTTTTTTTTTTTTTGTTTTGTTTTTTTTTTTTTTAGTACTGTTGCTCCGACTTAAATGTTTGTGGTAAATGTTCAGATGTTGGTCTATAGTCTGACGTTCAAAGGGTTTGCTAAAATCAGTTCATGTGCAATGCTGCATGGAGGGAGAGGACTGTTTGGTTCTTTTTGCCTGAGTTCAGGCCTGCCTGTGCGACAAGTCTTGTTTTGCAGAAAATAAAAAGCTGTAATACCTTGTTTTTGTTTATCTGGATCCTTTAGTTTCCACTCTTGGGACTTTGTTTTTTCTAGACATTACCTTCTCCACCAGAGGGAGACATGAACACATTTAGATCAATCTTAAAAGTTAACTTTATAGTATACTTATCAATCACTTAAAACTGTGTAAAATAGCTGTAACTTGCACCATACTTTGTAACTTGTTGGATCAAAGCTATTTACTGAAATAGAAAAATAACATACAAATGATTAGACTACCTAACACAATATACCTCCTGGCGCAATCTACAGTCATGTGCCTCGACTACTGCAATGCCTAACTGGTCTTCCAGCTCAACTGTGAGAGCTGATTATCTGGGCTGTATGATGGCGCAGTGGTTAGCACTTTTGCCTCGCAGCACGAAGGAACAGTAGGTTCGAAACTCGGCTGCGTGCAGATGCGTATTCTCCGCGTGCGTGGGTTTCCTCCGGGTACTCCGGTTTGCTAGCCTGGCAAGCCAGACTAAATAAATGTATTATTTAAACTTTGCAAAGCAAGAATTTGGTCTAGTTCACTAAGCTACCGGTTTCCCCCACAGATCACAACATGCCCTATAGGTTATAAATTGTAAGTCGCTTTGGATAAAAGCTTCTGCTAAATAAATAAACTATAAATAGTCAAGAATGCAGCAGAGCATTGAGTTGTCCATCAGCCTTAAAAAAGCACATGTTACCCTCTTTGAGCTCCATTGGTTAATTCTTGCTGCTCACATCAAATTCAAACGGCTAACAGAAGCATACAAAGTCCTGGATGGTACAGATGAATTACCTGAACCTTCTTGCAAAGGCTTACGTCTCAGCCTGGCCACTCCATTCATCAAGGGCTTACACGACAAACTCTTGCCGTGTTTCGTTCTACAGATATAGACCTAAGCACTACTAGAACAGGGGTGTTCTTGTTTTTCAAGAAACTCCTGAAGACCCAGCTGTTCAGGGAGCATTTTTTTAAACTAGCACCCATCCCTCACTCTACTGCACAGTCCATGTTCGCTTCCCTCTTTCATTATTCATCATGCTGCCTCACTGCCACCTAGGATCGACGGAATAGTGTTTGTTAGCCTCAAGGGCTACCTGCTGGCTTGATTATCACCTGTAAGTCGCTTTGGACAAAAGCGTCTGTTAAATATATAAATGTGGGCCCAGGACCATGAACAGAGATGAAGGAATACACACTGGACCATTCATGGAACATTCACCTTTTCACCCCTGACATGTTTTCATGTCTGCTTCAGTGTTTAAAACAATTGTTTGGATAGTAATGCCTGATATATGAGCAGTTATTTGTTTGGTGAGCTATAGCTATCGCGCACAGAGGTGAAGTTAGTTGGACACTGGATTTTTGGCAATCGCTCCATGGCGAACTATGGTCAGCGATGGGTTTTCATGCCATGCGTGGTGCCACAAATGGCGGTTAGCTGTGTTCCTAGCTGAGTTGAAGCTACCGGTCACGGTGGTGAATTTACTTTGATACTGCACTCTAGTCGAGGTGGATTTTTGTGAGCTGATGTTGGTTTAATTGTTTGCTCGGTGAGCGTACCCCTGCTATGTTTATCAGGAATTTGGTAGTTTAGCTAATACCGAGGGGCCTGCTTCTGTGTTTACACCAATTGCGTAGTAATGTATGAGTTTATATCAGTTTATATATGAGCAATCGCTTGCTTAGCTAGCATCGAGGTGAGCTATAGCTACCTGGCACCTGACTTCTCATCATGTTGCCACTGTCTTGCGCCAGATGGCAGGCCCCTTTCAGAATTTCTTCAGGAATTGTCTAGTTAAGGGACCTGCTGCAGCAGCAAGCATGGCCCTTATGCACCTGCTCATGCCCATGAACAATAACATGATTTTCTTTTACCCAAATATCATTGTTTTGGGTTTTTAACCTCAACATCTGGTAGACCCAAAGCGAGAAATGCATCAGAGGACAAGTTTCTGAGAGTTAACAGCTTGCATTATAGGCGGCTTACAGGGCAACAGCTTCAAGCACAGCTTAATATTGGTCAAAGTAAGCAAGTAGCATTTTCAACTGTGAAGAGAAGACTTCGAGCTGCAGGTTTGACAGGACGACTTGCAGCAAGAAAGCCTCTGCGAAGATGTCAGAATAAGAGAAAGAGGCTTGCCTGGGCCATGAAACGCCACCATTGGACTACTGAAGACTGGAAGAAGGTATTATGGACTGATGAATCCAAATTTGAAATCTCACGCAGGATCTTTGTACGCTGTCAAGCAGGTGAAAGGATGGTTCCACGGTGTGTGGCATCAACTGTCAAACATGGAGGAGGAAGTGTAATGGACTGGGACTGTTTTGCTGGATCCAGGTTCAGTGACTTGTACAGAGTGAGAAGCACTCTGAACCAAAAGAGCTACCACAGCATTCTCCAGTGCCAAGCAGTACCCTCTGGTATATGCCTAGTTAGTCAGGGGTTCTTCCTACAGCAAGATAGCAACCCAAAACATCATTGCAAGCTACGCCAGAACTACCTCAGCAAAAAAGAACAAGATGGTAAGCTTGTAAAATTGGAGGGGGCAGCACAGTCTCCAGACTTAAACCCCATCGAGCTGGTTTGGGATGAACTGGACAGAAGAGTGAAAGCAAAGCAACCTACAAGTGCCACACATTTATGGGGCCTTCTGCAACAGATATGGGAAGAGCTTTCTGAAGAATATTTGATTTCTATTGTAGAAAGAATGCCACGAGTGTGTTCAGCTCTGCCAAAGGTGGCTACTTTGATGAGTCAAAAGTTTAGAACACATTTTCGTCTATAAATTGATTCCAAGATTTCTTTTTTTTAAAACTCCAATTGCTTATTTGTACTATGCTTTCATTTGAGAGTGCAATGTAACATAACTGCATTATTTCCAATAAAAAACTGGAAAAATTGGGGTGTTCTAAAACTTTTGACCGGTATATATATATACATAAATATATAAATATAAATATATATAAGAGAGAGAGAGGTATAGTGTAGAGTTCAGGGGAAGTTCAGCTGAGCATTACAAGATAAATGCTGAACGTGTTTGTCCCTCCTGATGTACTAAAGTTTACATGGATAAAGTTACTGCCTGCCTGCTTTTTAACTAGAAAAGATAACAGCAAAATAGTTTCTTGAAGATTTATCACGATTCATTTAATTGTAGTTTCACTTGTGTTTGGAGCATCTTAAAACGGTTTATATGGTCTTGTAGCCCAGCCTCTGTTGTCTTGGTAAAGATAAGGTTATAAAGTGTGATGCTAAACTTTTCTGGGGGACGCTCCAGCAAACAGCATTTCTGCAAGAAATGCAATTCATCTAGTAAATTATATAAATGCAATAAAACTATATAGAAAAAATGCAAAACCGTAAAAAATTTACTTCTAGTGTTCTGGTAGTACTTTTCTTGGCTACGTCTCGATTTAAACCGACTAAAAATAAATGTGTTTTGAGCTGAAGAGGGCTTTTTCAATGTGGCTCCAAAGCCCTGCACGTAGTTGCTGCGTCAAGTGGACCCCCGTTGTCAACACACACGCGCACATTTTATTATGCATTTAAAATAAATGCGACATTTAGTAAGGTATATTACTAAAATAAAAATGAATGAATTTTAAACAAGATTGATTTTTTTCATTCCTTCTATGGCAGAGCTTTTGTTCTGCCCGCTGATTTGCCTGATTAAAATGCAAAGCACATATAAAAAGTATAAATATGCCTTAATGTCCATTACATCACATTAAATATAGAGTAATAGGAGTAAGAACGTACAATCAAATTTAACATGTTTATATTTTTACTTAAGCCTTGCTGTTTTTATTTTCGTCAGGCACCATTAAGCATCCTAAAAACTGTTAAGGTCCTCAGTCTAAACAAGGAAGCATGAAACTTTCTGAGAAAGCTGTCCACAAATTCGGATTTTATTCAATTTAGCTGTTTTTCGTTGCGTATTTTCTTATTTAAATTGATTTCCTACTTAATAGCAGAATGTTTATCTCTTCACAAAACTCACCGGTCGCCTTCAAAGGTTTCACCCTCGTCATGGTGAGTATGCCTGGGCAGTCAATCCTGTCATTTCCTTAGTTTGTCACGTTTTTACTGCTAATCAGTAACCCATATAGTTATTTGGTGTCACAAATGGAATTAATGGGAGTATTTGTAAAATAATGCTAATAAAATTGTTTGCTAATGTTTTTTTTTTAGGTAGGAGTTGCATCTGATTTATTGAACTTTGCTTCTTTACAGCTTCTTCTCAGTAATTTTCTTGTAGCTGATTGCTTAAAATAAAATAAAAAAGCCTGATTTTAAAAACGGGAATTAAATAGTAACTATAGGAAATACATCTAAAGTATACAAAATATTAATTCTTTCCTTTGGTTTGTTAAAAGCCACGTCGTCACTTTAAGTACTAGAGCATGCATTTGAGTATTTATTATTAGTGTTAAAGGATTCATTTGTAGTTATTTTGTCCAGACAGATCAAAACGAATGTAGATATCAAGAGCTGTATTTGGTAAAACTGTTGGCCAAATACGCCTGTGACATTATTTTATAACGTTTTGATAAGACTTAAATGAAAACTACAAAAACATTGAGATGAGGCAAAAGTACAAGTCTAAATGTGTACTTTCAGTGTGGTACCTGGCTACCATTTCCGTTCTCAGAGAAGAAAAGCAGCTTATCTTGACTTTTGAGAAGCTGGAGGTAGAAATGCTGATTGAATTTTTTTTTTCTCTCCCTAGCCTGCAGTAGCTGTGGGGAACGTGGGTCAGCTGGCTGTCGACCTCATCATTTCCACTCTCAACTTGAGTAGAGTGGGTTACTTACACACAGACTGTCTGATTCCGATGGCCGGGAACAACCCATACAGCACCTGCAAAGAGGACGCTGAGGGGCTGCACTGTCCCGCAGAGGGTAGCGTCTCATTACTGACCTTTAATGGATCTAGAACTCTGTAGAGTGATCACTTCATTTCTTCCAGTTTAAAAATTAACATTTTTTGTTTAGTTTTCACAGCAGCAGAACGGAAGTTGGCAGTTCTTCAAATCAGAGTGCCGATTATTCAGGTACATTTTCTTTTTTTTTTTTCCCAACAAGTTTTTATAACATTGACTGAATTCATATCCTATAAACTTTGTTTTCACTGCAGAAAAAGTCTAAGAAGTTCCGTCAGATGCTCGTTTCCTGGATCACATCCAGTGGCTTCTCAAGGACTGTGGTCCTCTCCAGCAGCCACGCCTACCAGAGAGATGACCAGCAGCTGCATGGGTAAACATCAACACCATCCATCTTTTTGTCCACTTCTGCTCTTTAAAGTCGTTTCTAAGTGCCGATGAGTAAAATGTGCCTGTTTAGGACTCCCTTGAGGTATCTGGCAACCCCGTCCCTACTGAAGGTGAGTGTGGACACACTGAAGGAGCTTGGCTGGAGAGAGATGGAGCGAGTGCCGGCATTTCCTGGAGTGAAGGACGCTGATGCAGAGCCAAGACTGTGCATCCCAGGAGGAGGCATCACCAAAGGGCTTTACTCCGACAGGTAGATAGGGAAATAACTAAAGAAAACCTGAGGAGACGTTTAAAAAATTTGCTCCTCTAAAGATGAGGAAGACAGCGGGGTTTGACATTTTTTGTGATGTTGGGAGAATTTAGGCACTTAGGACACACCAAACCAAAGCTTTTTCATGGTTTTGTGTTTTCTTTTCACATTTGCACAATTCTTACTCAGAATTACAAAATGTAGCATTTTCCTTTCTTTTCTCTCCTCCTGATCACATGTCCGGTCGTGTGTTCAGCTGTTTAGCTGAGGAGCTCCCACTCGCTGTGCTGCTGCTCTTCTGTTCAGAAGGTGACAACATCCCAGACGCCTTTGCTTTGGTCAACCACCTCAACGACTGGCTCCATCTGCTGGACACTCTGGTAATCTACAGATTTCACAAAGAGCCTTTTTATGTAGACTCAATCAGATTTGAAATTCCCAACAATCATCTGATCCTCCTTCCAGGGCTCCGAGTGCAAGTGGAAGATCCCGACTTCCTGGAGTCTCCTGTTTGGATCAGGCATTCCTCCTGCTCTGTTCTGATTTACTTTTCTTTCTTTGATCCTAAATATATTGACTCAGATTTGCAAAAATATTTTGTTCTACTTGTAAGATGTTCCACGTTCCTGAATAATTCTCTTTCTTCTGCTTATTTGGATGTGCCAACATGACAGGAATAGACTCTTATACTGCACTTTGCTCTATGACTTGGCTGTCTAGAATTATTTTTTCTTTAATTGAGAGTGGTGGGAATAGGCTTACACACACACACACACACACACACACACACACACACACACACACACACACACATAATTTAAGTACTGATTAGTATATGTGGGTAATTTTAAAATTGAACCTACGTTTGCAAAAGGCTGGAGCTGGTAAACCATTTTCCTTTTGTCTACTTTCAGTTAAAGACAGATGAAATGAAATAAAGGGGTTAAATCAAAGAAAACCAGTTTTCCATCCTGTAATAAAAAAGCACATGGCCAGAGATGAAATGCCAGCCGAGCAGTGAGGGCACCGTGTTCTTGAAAGTGCGAGACATTAGCTAATCTGCTGGGGGAATCGTAACAAGTGTAGCTTTCCTGGAAGTCATGTTTTTAAGTATGAGGGGGTGGCTGCAGCAGCTCTTTTTATGCCATTGTCGGTAAAAACTGAATTATGGGTGTCTCTACCTCCTCGACACCAGAGTAGTAGTGGGGAACTTAAACTGTGTCATTTAGAAAAAAGAACTTCACTACTTTTATGCCTCCTTGTGATTGAAGAGAATTGACTGTGTGCAGATACTTACTGTGATATGCCAATTTTTTTTTTTTAAATAAAGAACAAATGCTGACATCTGAGCTTAAAGGAGTCATTTAGTGGTGATAAAAATCACCTGCCTTGAATCCCAGAGCATTAAATCATTTAGTTGTTGAGTTTTAGCCGTTTTGATCAAAGTTTGAAAAATATATAATCTCGCGCAAAAACACAAGGTCACATGCAATCTGCGAAGAAAACCATGGAAACTTTTAGCTCAATAAAAACTTTAACTTAAGTTTATGGTTGAATAGCTATGGCGGCCATATTGAAAAGACGACGTCAAACGTGATTCGCAGATGAAAATCCAAGGATCACATTTGGAAAATCTCATTTAAATGTGTCCTGTGGTTCATGAGGAATTTTGATAACACTAGTATAAACCAACACACACAAATTTTTTGGGTGGATGGAAGTTTTAGACAACATCCTCGAAAATGTTTGTCAAATGTTTCTAAAAGACGACCTTGTCGAAACCTGAGTTTAGTTTTCTGGAGGTTTTTGTTTACTGGAATCGAGTCGCGACTATTCCTGTAGCTGAAACACTTGACTGACAGCACCACAAAGTAAACACAAGTCATTACATAAATGTGTACAACATGTAAAAACAAAAGAACTAGTTATGAATGCAAATCTGAAAGGTTGCTTTAAGTCACTTATTAAAAATTTTAAACTCATTTCCAAATTTATAGTAATTTTAATGTAGGATTTTTGCCAAATAAGTGAACCTAAAATACTTTTGTATCTACAAAGATTCATCATCCAGACAAAAATGATAGAAAAACAATTTATAGGTCATAAGTCACCGTTTAGCACAGAGTAAAAGAAAAACAAACAAAAAACAATTCTGTCTGGTTGAACGGAGCTGGAAACTTCCTGGTGAGAGCCATTACAAGTCAGCAAAAGTTTCCCTCATTAAACCGAAAGGTAAACCTGTTCAGATTTTTTTAAATAAAGGACTTCCAGTGGAAACATCTAACCCCCTTGTGTAAATCTGAACCCACAAATGCAAAGCACATGGATTCAGGGGGGGTTCCTGATGTGTCAGTGGGCTGTGGTACATGACTTTAGCCACCACCGTTACAGCTGAGAAGCCATCTTTGTGACTTTTGCAGCCCTTTTCAGAGCTGAAAATACAGAATCATCCTGAAGTGTTCCAGTTGGCAGACCACGTCTTCTACTTCTGACACAAATCCAACTCTGATTTCTCTGGGCCATCTCTAAATACTCATCGCATGTGTCAGGTTGACCACAGTTACCAGACACCTTGGTGTGCCACAGCAGTGCCAGACCACCGCAGACTATTGTTCATAAAATTAAACTTGACATTATGATGTGTGTAATCTGGTTTCAATGACATTTGAAATGCGAGAAAACAAAAACGTAAGAACTACTCATGACCTGAAATAATTGTGCTACATCAGGTATGGAGAGACTTCTCATATTTGGCAGCTCTTGCTAAATACTAAACCGGAACAGTACACCTACAGCTAGCAGGGAGGAAGCAAGATGAGCAGATAAAAAGGCCCACGCAACAGAAAGCAAGTCTTCTATCATAATGTATAAAACACAATAACGTTTATGACGAGGCGTGAGATGCTGGAGTTCAGCACGTGGCCCGGCCAGCAGACATTGTTTATGCTCCACTTGTACTGTAAAATGTTGTGGTTCCAGTGCTATTTTTAAAATACCCCTGCATTCAGGATTGGTATCACTTCCACTTCGTGTGTGGTGTAAAAGATATGTGGAAGTGGGAGAACCTGTCATGAATTCAACAGTCTTTGTGAATTAAAATAAAACATTTTGAAATACAAGAAAAGAAAAACTTCAGCATCTAAGTAAGATGGGAGATAAAAGTTACAAGTCAGCAGGGGTGTAAACAGTATTCATACCCAGATAGAAGTATACATATAGGGTTTAAAATACTTCTGTAGATGCTGAAGTATTTTTGAACTCAATGGTTAGCGTTGTTAGCTTAACTTTAGCTTCTAACCTTCTTTACCTTATATTAGAGTAAAACAAAAAGGATGTGGCTTCTTAGGGGTACAAAAATAACTTTTGGCCCACTCTTGTTTACTGGTAGCCTGGCAAGCCATCCTATGTGAATATATAGTCTGGCCACGAGCCATAGACTTGGAGCTCAGTCATGGGGTGGAATCTATAGTTTACTTTCAAATGGTCTCTGCATGCTATTGGACAACAAACAACATGACATATAGGGAGCATAAGTCTCCAGACCTCCCTTTCCGGTCGGCTCATGGGTCCCCGGAAGAACGAAAAAATGAATGCAAGTCAACGGGGCTAAAAGAGCTATTTACGAATCCGCCTTGCCTTACGCCCTGGATTGCACATATATTGTACTGCAATTTAAATGAAAAGTAATGAGGTGTGTTTCATCCATGCCAGTCATGTACATTGAGATTTATCAGCTTGTAACGTTTGTAATTAGCATGGCTACATCAGCACGTCACATATGTGACGTCGCCACATAATCTCCTCTCCCCTAGCGTAGCTGCTACTTACCAAATGGCCACATTTATGGTGGTTCTGTCCTCCTGAAGGAAGGATTTGAAGTTTGCTGAACCTACAGCCCTTTTCCTTCTGTTCCCGTGTCTGGTTCAATGACATCACTTTTGTGAAGCGCATTTGTAGTCCTGGACTTCTTTTCACACAAAACCTAAAAATAGTGTTTTCCCCGTCCGAAAATAAGCGCGCTCTTGGTATCAAAATGCTTCTTTACAAGTCACGAACATCATATGCGAAATCCATGGAGCATAACAAGCGGAATTAGAAAATAGCGTTTTTAGCCCCATTGACTTGCATTCATTTTTTCGTTCTTCTGGGGTCACATGGTCCGGAAGTAGATGGGCGTGACTTAGGCTCCCTATTCACCACTACGGATGTCAGTCAACGGGGCAGTCCACCATACACTGTTGAAGTGTGCAACTACATCCCTTTTCTAAATAAAGGAGTCTAAATTGTCCAAAGTTGATGCCAAAGCCATTTCAAGCAAGACACTGCCATCTTAGTTGTTCCGCTTCGATGCATTATCTCGCCCACCAAACAGAGAGCGCTGTGATTGGCCCACCAAACTGATCGCTGTGACTGGCATAACACAATACTGATCGGGCCAATAGTAGAGCTGCTGAGGCTTCTAATGAATGTGACTAGACTGACATGCAGAGAAAAAAATCTTTTTGCTTCAGCTACTGTCTGTCTAGATTTCTAGGCTAGTTTACTGGCTTTGGTTCTTTAAAAAGCATTGCTGCTTTTTACTGGCCAGTGTCAAATTACAAATGCTGGTTTTACTCTGTCAGCCTGCAGTATAGAAACCGTCTACAGAGCAGCGTCAAGGTGTGCTCTCGGATCATCGGACTACCAGTGAGGAACTTAACATCTCAATGTGACCAGCATACAGGAAGTTTAGCACAGAAAATCATTAAAGACCCCGGCCTCACACCCTCTTCATACTGTTTTTGAGTGGCTGCCCGCCAAATGCCGACTTCGATGCCCATGCTGTAAAACACAGAGAAGTTCCTTTATTCCCAGAGCTGTGCTTCTTCTCAATTCTTAGTACAGATGGGAAGTGTGTGCATTACTTGTATGTGTGTGTGCATGTAGTTACATGTGTATTTGTTTGTGTGTGTGAGTGAGTGTGTGTATGAGCATAAAGATTTACGCATAGTTGATCATTCACATGTAAAGGTATGAGATGAATGCGTATCAAAATATAGCGTATAGGTTTTATGGGTTTTATGAATATGTATGTAAATTGATTGAGTTTGAGCCTAGAGATTTTAGTGTCCGCTGCTTCACAATGCCGTCTCAAATTGCCCTTCGGGGATTAATGAAGTTGTCTTAAATCTTGAGTCTTGAAATGCTGGTGCAGCAGGGTTTGCCGGCACAGACTTGGCCACCCAGTGGGATCAAGTATGACTGGCTCTAGAACCAGGAAGTAGGGAGGTGGGACAGATTGTAAACAAAGACTACGTCCCTCTTCTGCCTTTTTAAAAGGAGAAACACTGGCAACCACCCAGCCGGCGGACAAGTTAAAAATAAAATTACAAAAACACATCAGATCTTCACTAGGTAACGTGTTAGGAACAAAAAACTGCCGTGTCACTGGATGAAAATGATCAACCTACAGAAGCCTGAATTTGATGTCACCAAGACACTGAAACAGAAAAACTGTTAAGGCACGCCAGTCTGATATGCTGAAATGTCTCTGCAGAAACTCTAAATGGCTCCTAATGGTCCTCAGAAGTTTGTTTGATGCCCACGTTTGTATGCATACACCAGGGAAGGGTCTACACTCCTGTACAAGTCTGTGTCCCTCTATAGATACGACCCACCACCAAACCCATCATTCTGAACTACAGGCAGCATGACGTTTACCACAGCTTCTCCAGTTCAGTCAAGTCTGTTTCTAATGATTTGGTTGGAGACATACATGCTAGGCGCCTGCTGAAAATCACTTTCTAGAGCTCTGGCAGTCTTCCGGTTCCTCCTTGCACACAGCGCAGAATAAGGAGAGGGTAGTGATGAAGGTCACACCAAAGCCCGAACAGGTGAGTTTTCAGCTGCGTTTTGAAGGAGAGTCCAGAGTCTGGGGGTCACGGCTGCAATTCAAAATAAAGATGGAAGGACAGATAGCAGTTTGTCACATTCAAAACACTGCATCTTTAATCCGAAAGGTGCGCAAAACGGAACCTTTTCAAATGAAAAATAAAATTATTTAAATATTTAGGATTATTTTGGCCTTAATGAATGCGAATTTACAGAAACTTGACCAACAGAGTTTTTGCTAAATTCTGGTGAACCTATTTTTGACCTTGGATGTGACATCTATCAGGAGTGCGGCCATTTATTTCATCGTTTATCGTGTTTACTGACCTCACACTCTGTATGTTTTGCTAAATCTGCTGAAACATCCTCCCAGTCCCCTGATAGCTCGCCCCAACAGATTGCATCGTCTTTGTTTAACCCAAACAGCAAAATCAGAGAAATCTAACAGAATAACTTCTTCTGGTTTGAAGTTTGTGTGGTAATCTTTTTAAAAGACATGGTTACTAAACTCATTTTCTAGTTTGGCTGCTGTGGGAAAAAAATGAGCATGGTGTTTCAGGAAGATCCGAATGAATATTTAACATTTAAATACCCTCGCTGGTTAATAAGAGTTAACCATCTCGGTCTGTGATGTCCCTGAAGTCAAAATGAGAGCTCAGAGTGACTGCTCCATTGGGGGTGGAAAGAAGAGGGCTTCACATGTGTAGTTTTATTTGATCCCCCAATGCTTTTTTTTTAAATTCTGGATTATTGAAAATAGGACTAGACATAAAGATCGAACCGAGACCTTTTACAAGAGGAGCTGGGGGATTCCCGTCTAGCTGTGTGAGATTGTTAAACAGGAAGGGGGAAACTCAAACTCGGTCTTCAGTTTGATGGTCTGCAAATCAGAAGAGTGGAAGGGTTAATGAATCAGTGAAGAGCTCTTTGGATTTATTTCTGAAAAACTGCTTTGGTTTAACTGGCTCGACACCAGAGAAAGTGGAGCGGTCGCGTCGCTGAAAGAGAATGACTAATTTGATGTCAGGTTTTTTTTTAATGGTGATTTGTACATCCAGACCAGTGGCAGTTGGACGATGAGACTTAATTATGCTGACCCCAGTAAAAATGTCACTCTGTCCTGTTTCCAACACAGCTGATAACCGATATGAAACGTGGCCTAACTGGTTCAACCCTGTTGCACACTTTGCATAATTTTTATCCCCATCTTCTTGGGGATAAAAACCACCACCAGCACACGAATTACAGATAATATCCTCAAATTTTAAACCTGAACTGCACCCATCAGAACAGATTTGTGTTTTAAGAATTGATGCTTTCAGTTTTTCCGATTTAAAAAGAAACCTGTAAAGTTTGCTGAAAAACATTTATTCTTTTACAAAATTTAGTTCACGATTCAACGGATTTTCAAAGTAAAAGTCGTTGCAGACTTCTTAAATTGGACATTTGCAGGAAGAATTTTTGCGCCAAAATAAAATATGCAGAAATCCTTTGAAGTGAATTTTGATTCCAATTTAATACAATTTTTGTAACATCACATTGATTTTTACTAATAAAGTACCCTCCAGCGCTGAAACATAAGATATTTAGTTGAGCCAACAAGATTTAGGGTAATATTTTAGTGTTCTAAGTTTTTGTAAAATATAAAAACAAGAAAAACAAACTGCACCATATTGTGTAGTTAATTTAATGCATTTTATTATTAATCAATTTACCAGAGAAAAAAGTAAAATGGAATAAACAGTACCAGTAATGTTGCATTTTATTTTTATGCAATCAGTTCTGCCCTTCCACCCCAGGCCTCATATTTATCTAATTTGTGTGACAGCATTGATGCATTAACACAATTCATTCAGTGTTGTTCCAAACATTCACATGAAAAACACAGAGCATTCTTTTTTACAAATACAACCGGTTTGAAATATAAGATATATTTACACAAGAATATTTTTGACCCAATTACTGAAAGGAGAAAAAAAAAAAGTTAAATGACGCAAAAAGAGAAATCCCAGCAACGTCTAGTGCTGAGATGTTGGGTTAAAATGTTAAGTTTGAACAACAAAAACATTTCCAATAATGTTTTCTTTTTTAAACCACCAGGATGGTAGCTGCTGACAAAGTTGAAATTCATGTTTTGTGTTTACAGATCGATATTGCCTTAGAACAGAGTACGGGAAAAATCTGACCATCGAGACCGTAACGCAAGTTTAAATAAATAAACAAGTAAGCTGATCACTTTGTTTATAAATGTAGAATGCTTAAAATGTAACGCTTAGCCACCCAGTAACATTTAACTGGCTGCAAAAGCCACATGTGGTGGAAAACATAGAAAAAACCCAAACAACCGGTAAACTGAAAGTTAAAGAGGCAGTTTAAAGACAATCTTACAGGCACTCATAACGTTTGTGACCTTAAAGGTCACCTGAACCCCTTGGGGGCATCTTGGTATAAGACTCAAAACTGCAGGATCCCTTTTTTGTACCAATGCTAACAACGTAAAAGAACACAAAAACTCACCCAAAAAACCCAAAAGCACCACAAAAAACGTGGTTTTACTTCCCCGTTTGGTGCGGCTTTGAGCGCTACACCTTCTGCGGCAACCCGGACTGCCGGCTCGACTTCATGCGACTGCGTGCATAAACCCGCAGGAAAAGTGCTAGGAAAACAACAGCGATGCCAAAGCCGCCGATCGGACTGACGGCATGGCCATAAAGGAAACAGGACAGAAGAATGGCGATGGCTTGACGCAACGTCATGATGATGGTGAAGACGGCAGCGCCAAACTGGTTGATGGTGTAGAAGATGAAGAGCTGGCCGCATGCCGAGCAAACGGAGAGCAGCACAGCATGAAAGGCAAACTCTGAATGGCGCGTCATGAAGGCCAGCGAGTCAAAGAAGGCACCCTGCTCCAGCAGCGAGCCGACAGTGAAGAGACAGGAGAACAGGTTGACCCCAAACATCATCTGCACGGACGACATCTTGTACTTGAACAGATTGTCCTGCCAGTTGGAGGTGAAGCTGTCAAAGACGATGTAGCCGACGAGAATGACGACCCCGCTGAAGGTGGTGACGGTGGACGGGTGCTTGTTGGTTGTACTGGTGAGCAGAAACATGCTAACGCCAACAGAGATCAGCACAGCTGTGAAGTACTCCCAGTATTCATAGCTTTTACGAGACACGAGCTTTCCCATGAGCATGACGGGAATGACTTTGGAGGCCTTGGCCAGGACCTGAGTGGGGAAGCTGATGTACTTAAGGGCCTCGTACTGGCACCAGCTGCTCAGGATGTTGGAGAGAGAGGCAAAGGAGTATTTGTACATTGGCGCGCCGTGGCGAGGTTGCTTAAACAGGATGCACCAGATGCCTGACACAGTCAAGGCCAGGATGCGGTTCATGAAGACTAAAAACTGAGAATCTTTGAATCGCTCGCCCTCCTCTTCAGGAGTCACGGCTCCGTAGGAACGCGTCATCACCCTTTCCTGAAGGACCCCCCATGTTAGATAGGAAGCCTGGAACAATAAAACAACATAGTTTGAGATCGATTTGGGTCCGTGACTTGGTCATCTGTCCTGGATTCTTGCCTTAAAAGTGAGATAAGTGATGTTTTTCTGGAGCATTTTGCCAAATTGCCTCAATGCTCTTCACACACCGAAGGCAGCCACTAACTTTATGGTTTGGTCAAAAATCAACATCCCCTCCTTGTGCATTCTCAGCTTGGAGCAGCTGAACAGGAAGCAAAGCCAGAGCCGGGTTAGCTATATTAGCTAGCATAACAAATATTTATGTTTTCATAGCCTGATCGGAAGTACCGGAGAAGGTTTCCAGTAGAGGTTGACAGATATTGGTTTTCCTACCGACGAAACAAATGCTGACATGTAGGAGACAAGGTCAGCCGATATGCACTACCGATTTTTATGGCCTATATATAGATATTTTCCACCTAATTTTCATGCTAAAATGTCACTAATGACATCAGTTGATGCACAAAATTTCTGAAGTTGAATCTTTTTAACTCTGACTTTGACTAACTCTTAAATCTACACTTTGTGCACTGCTCAGTGTTTAAGTCAGACACCTAAATAAAGTTAAATTTAGAGTATTTATCATACAGATGTTATTAGTGAACGTAAAAATACATCCAAATTAAATTCTGCAACAGCACCGGGCTGTCCGAGGATGCTCCGGACTTTAAATCGGCTTTACGAAGGACAAAGTTCGGTCGATGCGATACATAAAAAGTAAATATCAGCCCGATATATCGGCCTACCCTAGTTTCCAGTGTAATGAGCCCAGTGCTTCTTGCTGGACCTCTGATCGAGGAGATCCAGAGAACCCCTTATCAGCACCAGAACTTGAGTAGTCCCATCAGAGGCCTTGAGGCTCTGATTTTGCTATGTAGGTGCGTTAAATTAGGATTTGTGGCAGAAAATGTGCCAACAACAGGTCTAAAATGTAAGATAATGTTATGCTTTTATAGTTGACAGTATCCACTGCATGCATTATTCTCCCTTTTTTCTGGAGACTTAGGGGAGGAGCCTGAAGAAAGGGGGCGGTACCCATTTCCAGGCTCAACTACCCTTCCTTTAACTCACACTTGCTCAAAGTTGAACTCTCGTCACAAATCGATGTTAGAAAGTAACAAATCATTTATTTATCCTGAAAAATGAGTAGATATTGCATCAGTGGTGATGGACATCAAAACCAAGTATTTGGTTTCAAAGCAATTCCTTTGAACACAAATAAAAAGTTTTCACCTCAGCTCAACTCATTCACTGTCTTTGATGACTAAAGACATCAAATGCGTTTAACGGGGCGGGCTCGGGTACGAGCTTGCGCACCTTGAAGGTAAACATCACGTCATGCAGACAATCCATGAATTAGATCGGTTTGGGATTTCGCTATGCCTAAAGCGAGGCGCAAACCAGAAAAGCTTCTGCAGCTCACACTTCGACAAGATTGTGAAATAACGGAAAAAGCTAGAAACACGCAGATTCTTCCTAATGTATGAAGTGAGTCTACTCTTAGTAAAAATGCTCAAAAACGCTGGCAGTCAGGGGCTTTCTGATCAAAAATGACCGGGTAAGCTAAACTGGAGGAGAATTTGATCTTTTAGCTTCTATTTAGAAGCCCAGAAGTTTTACAATAGTCAGCAAGACTTAAAACAATTAGTGATAGTAGCTGGAAAGCAAGAGAATTTCCCCACTGTGGGATCAATGGTCTATTCTGTTCTCAAATATGGAATAATACACAGCAAACACACAGTTATGACAGTGGTGAGTGCATTTGTCTGTTGGCTCTGGGAGGATCCTCTACCTGAAGTCCGGCAGCGCAAAAGATCAGCCTGAAAGCCTGTTTGACTGACGAGCCCGAGTCAGCCTCGTTCCTGCTGGTAACAGATGCATCATCCAACAGACCAGTTTTATCCTCGCTACCATACACGCAGGTCTTCACAACAGGATAGCAGAGCCCGCTGCCTGAATGAGGAAACAAAAAGACACGTGGACTAGAGAGACTGATGCAACACGGTTTTAATCTTCCAGAATGGATCGGATCTCACGACCCCGCACCTCGTTCAACATAATTGGAGCGCTTGAAGTAGCTAATGAGGATGTAGCCTGGGACAATGATGGTGGCATATCCCAGAATGTTGACGAGGAAGCGGAAGAGCCAGACATCGCTCCAGCCGTCCACGAGCGAAACCTCCTCTGCAGCCACAGTGGAGGGGAACACAAGTAACACAAGTGCAGGCCAAACCCTGGAGGATAAAACATGATGTAGAAAAGAAATAAGACAACTTACTTATTCAGGAACATATAAAAAAGCTGTTTTCTTCCACAAAAAGGTGGAGCAAATAAACAGCTCATTAGTAAAAATCCTCAGTTTTCTTCGTGCCACACATGATGGGCTTAAGGATGATTAGGGATTGGAAAAAATATAGTCTCCAAGCATCAAAACACGAGGTTTTAAACAGAAATAAAAGACCTAAAAACAATCTTTGTCTAGTAATCACAGAACATCAACCCATTAAAAAGAGCCAAATCAGTGAATTCCTTTAAGTTACTTTCACAAAAACTGATTTAGTGACGGGACCTCATCCCAAATGTACAGATTTTGGTACATTTGTACATTTTGGTCAATCCTACACCAACCCTGAAACCAAAACTATTTAGGTTAAAGATTAAAGTCCCATAGTTGTCACACACACTGGTGGGGTGTGATGAAAATTGTCCTCTGCAATTGGCCCATCCCCGTGGGGGAGCGGTGAGCTGCAGACACTGCCGTGCTCTGATACTATTTGGTGGTTTTAAAGCGGTGTCCTTTAACTCTAAGTGGAGTTTCACATTTTTTATCTTGAAAAATAAAGAAAATTTTTTAGATTTAATGTTCAAGGTCTACAAAATGGGAGACAAAATAAAAATAGATATGAGAAGCTCCATGTCTTCCTTCTCACGTTTGAATTTAACAATGACAGATCCAACACAAAAAACCTGCTATACCAGCTCAAATATGAACAAGATAAACCCGCACCCAGTTGACATAATGTACATTCAGTTTCTTTTTGTTTTTTAAACGTGGTCTTCAGTGATAGGAAACAGAATTCATGTCTTCCTTGTAAGGCAGGGCCTCCTTCTCCCAGGGGTCCAGGGAGCCTGTAGCAACACAGAGCCTCTTTGTGTTGCTGTACCCTGGTCAACCAGCAACCCACTCCTAGCAGGACTTGGGCTCTGAACAAGAATCCTATTACACGCAGCAAAGCACTGTCCTGGCACAGCAGCCAGTCCTCTGACTGCAGGGACTGAGATTCACCTGAGACACCAGGCCCTTCTGATGACGAACTAATAATAAGGGATAACAAGATGAATTAATTTCACAGTAAACATTAGTTAATAAATAATTAGGTAATATTTTCCCACAAACACTTTAATATTAATGAGTGATGCCATTATTTTTGAAAATCTTACAAATTAATATTGGTATAAGAAAACAATGAATCTGTGCACTTAGCTTTAGAAAAAAATCGAAACTAAACGTTTTATTTAGAAATATTAATCAAATGGGTAATAACGTGCTGTACACACTGAAGAAATATGTTTAGCAGCTCTAAGTTTATTTAATTAACGCTTTCTTCCGGTGTTGCTATTTAAGCTAGCAAACTCAACAGGTAACTTTTAGCAGCTCGACTCTTCCAGAGCTTAAACTCGTCCTCCTTTATCATAACACACTTTTCCGTTTAAACGTTACCTCCATGAGAAAAAAGGCATTTTCCCCACACTTAGTAGCCAACACCTGGCGCAGCTCTCCACGCCGACAGACTCAAACGTCTCCGCGGTGACACACCATGAAGCCGCCCCGGCACACACGGTTCCAGGTGTTTCAATCAGCTGGGTCCGTGAGCTTTAACGCTGCTCCGTCTTTGGTCCTGTTTTTTTCCACTTATCCTCCACGACTGATGTGTTCACTTGAACCGGAACGCTCTCCTCCTTTTTTAATGAAGTCCAGCAGGACGCCGGAGACCAGAAAACAGCGCCTTTCCTGAGACTATGCCCCCTATCGGCACGGAGGTGTAACCGCAACGGAGTTAGAGCAATGAGGACAAAATGGTTTAATTGTTAAAATATAAACGGCAAGATGCTTTCTTTGGAGTAAAAAGTACTTTGTTAAATTTACTATAACGTTTATTTCATTATTTTCTCCTGGTTTCCTCTTTAGATTCAGACATACCTTATTAATCCCAAAGGAGACAGCAATTTAAAAGTGTATAAAAGAATAAAATCAGGATATGCTACACAGTATCACATCATTACAATATAATAATAATAATAATAATAATAATAATAATAATAATAATAATAATAATGGGCCGCACAGTGGTTAGAGATGTTGCATTGCAGCAAGAAGGTCCTGGGTTCTCTTCCCGGCCTGGGATCTTTCTGCATGGAGTTTGCATGTTCTCCCTGTGCATGCCTGGGTTCTCTCCGGGTGCTCCGGCTTCCTCCCACAGTCCAAAAACATGACTGTCAGGTTGATTGGTCTGTCTTTGTCCTTAGGTGTGTGTGTGTGTGTGTGTGTGTGTGTGTGTGTGTGTGTGTGTGTGTGTGTGTGTGTGTGTGTGTGTGTGTGTGTGTGCATTATTGTTTGTTCTGTGTGTCTCTGTGTTGCCCTGCTATGGACCGGCTCTCTGTCCAGGGTGTACCCTGCCTGATTGCCCATTGACCGCTGGAGAAAGGCACCCCCGCGACCCTACGTGGACAAAGCGGGTTCAGACAATGGATGGATGATGATGATAATAATAATAATAATAATAATAATAATAATAATAATAATAATAATAATATAAAAAATTAAGAAGAGTAACTGAATTTGTAATTTTCTTATGTAAAGTTAAACTATAACAGAGTAGTTGTTTTACTTTCATTTTACATTTGGTTCCTGCTTTAATAAATGATATTAAGAAAAATAATTTAAATAATGACAAATATTACCATTTTGGTATATTTTAACATCTAACAGTTCCCTCATTTGATGTTTGGTTGTGAAAAATTATATATTTCTTTGCAAGACAAACAAACCTAGAATATTTCCAGTAAGCTCTTGTCCTTTGAGACTGAATTAAGGATGCACACAACTCACAGTCAGCACATCACATCAGAACATTTTTCATGCATTAACAGAAGAAAATATTGGGAGTAGATCTCAGAGGGTCAGTAGGTCAAGCAGCAGTTGGACAGAATTACACATCTTAGATCTAATTAATGGTGTTTTTATGTAGGTGGCACTCCCCAAATATGTCATAAAACACAAAAAGTTCATGTTTTTAATTTTCTTTAATGAATGTTCTATCACACGTTTTCACTCAGGTGAACTGGGGTATAAATAATGCCTTTGGTGGACTTTTCTTGTAATAAAGTTTTATTTTAGCATATTTGTATGTGTATGAGAGTGATGGAGAAGTTGCATCACAGCCGTTAGGTGGTTCATAGTCCGAGTAGGTACTCACAAAGTAAAGCGCATAGCAACAAAATCAATCCCTCAGTTAATTACTGACTAAGGAGACCCATCAGAGCAGCAAAACGGAGTAAATAACAATGCATGTTCAAGCTAAACAACAAGTTAACTTCTCTTTAAATGTGCTTTTTAAAAAGTCCAATCTTGGAATTTTTATTTACCGAGGATTACTGAAATACTTGTTATAATAAAACTGACCTCATTTTAAAATCGTTGTGCAACTTTCTTATAGGTTCCTGTGGCTTTTTAGTAGATTTTACAACAAGGCTAGTTTCAAAATGAATCTATAGGAGTTTTAGAGATCAACGCGTTGTTTTTACGTGAGATTTTCAATGGAAATCTATGACCTTCAGCAGGAAGTAAGGCGCTGTGGAACAACCATTATTCCAACAACACAACACGGTCTTCGCTGGAGGCACCAGCAGCCTGACCTAAACCGTGCACATAACAAACATCAGTTTCCTAGGTTACAATTGAACGGGGAAGTGGGTATGGTTTCATAACTCTTTGTTCCAGCGATTTACTGCTGAAAAAGGTCCATTTTAGGTCTTTCTGCAGCAATTCTGCACATGAAACCGGCTTTTATCAAACTTGGAACTTTGTTTCTGTGACTTTAGTCACCAGAGAGTCATGTGAACTAAAGAAAGCATACATCGGCATAACTGAACCAGTTTAACTGATGGCATGTTTATCAACGAGATCCAGATGGGTGGAATTTCCAGCCGCGCCACGTTCGTTGTGCTGCTGGAGCCATAAGGAAGAAGACACTTACAGTAAAACAGAACATCCACCTTACAAAAACACCCGTCAGGGAACAGGACTTGGTCGTTTAAATACAAATCTAGGTATTAGCAGGTGAAAAAGGTGATATTTAAAAAAAAAAAAGGCTCTCATGCTGATGTTATATTGTTTTTAAGTTTAATCTCGCACACGTGTGAAAAAAATCTCTCAGTCCTTCCATAAACCTGGACTTTCCACTGCATGACAAACCGTGTCGATCTCGGTGTGCAACAGCGACTCAGACCCCAAAAAATACGAAGTTAGATAAACTCCAACTTCCTTTTCCCAGAAAAAGAGCACAAGATGCAAATATTTGTTCTTCAGTTTTATTACAAAATAAATGAGGTGCTTATTTCAGCTAAAAAGCCCAGTGTAATTACACACAAACATCAGATGCGTCTGCAGAAGAGATAAATAAGAGATGAACTGTTCAACAAAGAGAAAACCTGCAAAATCAAGAGTCAAAGCTGCATGTTGTGGTATATATTAAGTTTCTAAACAGGCTGTGGATTCTTGAACAAAAGCAGGGAACAGATTTGTTTGCAAAATTTACATTTTTCAATTTGAACGGTAAACAATTCCCTGCATGTTGCTGCATAAAAACAGACAAGCGAGGCCAAGTCTTCAGAATAAAAAAAAATCACATTAAGGAAAGGATAGAGTTTAAGGAAATGACTGAGACAAATGCATTTCAAACTAATTAAATTCTGACAAGAGGTAGAATTTTTCAATGTGTTTTTGGTACGTTTGGCCTCAGCAGAGGGGAGAATTTTGTAATCGAGTTATTCTTTGGAAAGTCAGTGTTTAATGTAGCATAATCGCTAAGTTTGTTGGAAGGGGGGTAGGGTAATACAATTGTACAGGTGCGTATATCTCACTACATATTAGAGTCAACTATAAAGGCACTATTTAATAAAATGTTCAGATCGAAAAAAGCTCATGTGTCAATCCAGCTGCTTCCGGCTAAAAGTTCCTTCCAACCACCAAACGTCCAGAGATCTGGATGTCATCAAATGGAAATAAGGCCAGAATCTGAAAGAAAAGAAAAACGTGGCTGTTTAATTTTATGAAACGGTCCTTAACAGACACGAAATAAACACGATTAGGACGTATTTCACGGCAGAGGGCGTAAAATAACGATCCAAATCCACTAATGTGTTACAGAAACAGCAGATGGAGAAAGCGTGTGCTGAAACGCTCTCAGCCCTCCGTTGGTTTGTGTAATCTCAGGTATCCGAGCGGGGGGTGCCATCTGTTACCTGTTTAATCACTCCCCTGACCTCCACATTTAGTTGATAAACCTGAGAACCCGCATAGAGGGAATAAAATCTACAAATTTAAGACATTTTTCAGGGATTAAACCTTCTCCACACTTTATTAATCACTCATAATCCTCACATCGTCGTTGCCGTCAGCCAGGTCCAGCGCTGTCTCGTCCTCCATGTTCCGCAGCATCCTGTCGGCGCCAGACTGACACAGCAGGTGAGCGATGGCGGCGTCCTGTCTCCCCACGGCGAGGTGCAGGGGCGTGCAGCCGTTGTACATGATGGCGTCCACGTTGGCTCCCCTTTTGAGCAGCAACTTTACTGATGTGACGTCGTGCAGCTCGACGGCGAGGTGAAGGGGGGTTTTCCCGCTGGTTCCTTCCTGCAGAGGAATGAAAATGACGTGAGAAATCTGACGAATAATCTTTTTGTTTCCGTTTTTAAATGAAAACAAGCAGATAAAACCTAGACGTAGCAGCTTGCACGACACTTCTGTTAACAATAATAACTCGGAGGCGTGTTGAGCCGGTGATTTAAACTCAGAGGAATGCCTGGGGTCGTTATGAGACTGCCGGCCATGTTGCCTTCCATCAATAGAACGTTAAGAGCCACGGGCAGCCGGCCCAATCGTATCTCAAATCTAATTATGTCTCCCTGAATTCTGCAGGAAGCCCCGAGCTCGGCTCGTATCACTATCAACATCGCACAGGTGCAGCGGGGTTATAAACAGGAACAGGTTTAAAAAAGCAGCAAACAAACTTTGAAAGTGGAACAGATTTAGCACATTAAAGGATCAAACATGCAGGGAAATCCTCTCTATTCACAACTTTAAATGGATTTCAAAGACAGAATCAGGAGAGGACCTGCAGAAGGGCTCAAGCTAACCTGGATGTTCAGATCCGTCCCTTTTTTTATCAGGAGCTCCATTATTCCATGTTGCCTGTTCAGAGCTGCCAGGTGAAGACAGGCGAGACCTGCAAGAAAGCAATCCGCCATTTTTCAACAGACGTAACATTTGACTTTTGACATATGAATAATGTTAATAACCTCACCTCTCCAGTTCTGGGTTTCAGCCACCGGTGCTAGCATGCTGGGAAGAACATCTCTGGTCATTCCGGAGGCACACTCCATCTGGCCGTGCTGACAGGCCACGTGCAGCGCCGTGTTCCCGTCCTGGTCCTGCAGCTCTAAGCTGACGCCCTTCTTCATCAAACCACTCACCACATCTGTCAGGTTCAGGTAGGTAGCCAGGTGCAATGGACTCTGGGGGGTTAAAACAACATTTAAATTAAAGCCATGTCAAGCTGTACCCCGGCCGACTCTTGTCTTTTGATCGGCTCATTGACTGCTTGTACTTTTCATCGTAAACGCGTGACAAATTAAGTCGGCGCTCGCCCGGATTTCAAAGAACGCTTTAGACCGACCACAAACAAGCCTGCACCCGTTTAAGCAGGTCAAGCATCAAAGGCGCCAGCCTAGAAAAACACAAAACCCGCTGAGAAAGTGAAAGTTGCATCTTCTTTCAAAACAAACCAGCCGTCTGGTTGTGCTGCGGGCTCGGGCTCCGGGAGGTGCAGAAGGAAATGCTCCTGCCTCCGTTTTCAGCGTGGATTTAACTTTGCACGTGCAAAACTCAAATCTAACCGAGCCCCGTGCATTTTAATCTTTAAAACCCCTTGCAGAGGCAGTTATGGAAATCAAACAGTGGGTGACGTTTCTTTGTAAAACCTAAAGGAGTAAAAACAAAGTCTTACAATGACCACTCAAAGGAAATGAAGCAATCTAAAGACAGAGCTAACTGAGTCAATGCGTGAAGCGCTGACTCGTCACTTCGGCTGTTTCCTATCAACAGTGACTTCAGGTTAAAGCTCCCATCTAAATGTTTCCCTGCCCACTTCCAAACAAGGATCAGCTCCACGAGTTCTATCTCTACGTGAGGAAGAGGAGGGGAGTTTCCACCCAGAGTCCCTGGTGAGCGAAGACTCCAGCCACCCACAGTGACGTCCCTGAGAGGACGGATAGCAAATAAAGAGGAAGACTGCTTTTCTGGAAGTACAGAGATCTAAATAATAGCACCGCTTTTAGGACAGCGGTAGTGAGGAAGTGCTTTTTCACGATTAAAGAAAATTTAAAAATTCCCCAGAAAGCTGCAGTTTTCTTATAATCGTGAAACTCACCTGGTATAAATTGTTCTGAATGTCCAGGACTTCTTTTGGAAACAGTTCTATCAACTCCAGAGCCACCTGTGTGTCCTCGTGGATGATCGCAAGGTGCAGGATTCTACAGAAGAAATCAAAAACGATTACTTCGATCCTTTTTATCCTCGAGAACCCTGCAGCTCTGGGTATTCTCATGTTGAGCAAGAACTGCACCGTAACTGTAGGTGGGTAGCAAAAGTTGACGCTTCAACGAAAAAGCATCGTATCACTTTTTTCCTCAGTACTCATCTCAAAAGAGGGCCTCAGAGTGTAACTTTTAGTGGGCTGCACGGCAAAACTGAGCAGCAGGGGTGGTGTGCAACACACAAAACTAGAAAAGACCTCATATTAGTGCTAAAAATCACCTTCAACCAGACGCTGAATGAAGTGAACAACAAGGCGAAACAACAACACAAAAACCTCAAGAGGCTGCGTGGGAAGTGGTAGCAAACGAATGCAAAAGCAGGAAATGGAACCAAGCTTTGGTGCTTAATTTAAACTAGCTTAGAAGAAAGCAGCGCAGGCTTCGGCTGATTTCAACACATTCAAATCGAGCTGTGAACATCCATGTGCAACATTCAAGACGGCTACAGAGCTGCTTGTAGCAGCCGTAGTGGATGAGCTCAGAGGCTGTTTAACCGCAGCGTGCTCTCGTTTCAGAATAAATGTCACAGAACTAAAACCTGCTTCAGACAGCAGTGGGATCAAAAGGAGACGCAAAATCTCACGGTGCAGACGTTCATTTAGATTTCTACTCTCAACGTCTAAACTAAACGGAAAAAAGACATTTAAGGTGGATAAAATAAAATGCATGATAATAATGGTGGTTGGATACAATTACTCTGCAGAAACTGACAGGTTAGCACAAAGACTAATACATTTCAAAAATGAAAAATGTCAGAGAAAAGTAGCTCGGAGAAAATTTGATTTTCACAACTGCAGACAACTGAAGCACATTTCTGCAGGTTTTTTCCTGAATTTAGCTAAAACCAGTACAAATAGCATTTGCATCATCTGTCATATACCTTTGAAATGTGAGCTTTTCCTCTAAAAACATGAATCGTTTTGCAGAATGTTAACATTTAAATGTAAAAAGAAGCAGACAAATTAGCTCAAATTCATCTTTGCACAAACAAAATGAATAAAAGGAAGAATTTAAAAAAAAATGCTTGAAAGCGGATCAAGAAAATGCCATAATCAAACCTCTTGATGTTTTTGGCAGATGTGTCTGTGTGAAGTTCGTCCCAAACGTCTGCAGGCTAACATCATTCAACCCTGTAAGCATGATTTGAGTTTGAGCGGGACTTCCAGGTCTGGGTAAATCTTGAATGAATGACTTTTTAAAAAAATTCCCACAGGGGAAAGTGAGTGTTTGCATAGTTCTCTCTGTTAGCGTTTCAGGTGTTTTTCCCCCTTCCCCAGCAGGTATCTATTGTTAGGGTGTGAGAATGAAACCATATGGCTCTGACAGTCAGCGAGCGGAAATTAAAAGAGGTCAGAGACTAAAGCGACATTTCCGCAATCCTGTGACTACATCACAGTGGTTGTAGATTTCATTACTAAGCCTGCTTTATTGTTAAAACACACACGGATGGCCCCAGATGAGTGGGTCACACTAGAAGCCCTGCAAAGGCTGAAGAAGCTGCATGCAGAGGTGTGGATCGTTTGAAGAAAAAGGTGCAGTTTCACTGAGTCAAGAGGAGGAATGAGCAGCAGAAAAAAAAGAGCATTTGATGCATGAGAGTAAAAATAAAACAAATAGCTTCTGAATTGTAGGAGAGAATAATGCACGCAGATGCTGTTGTGTCCTGATCAACCAGTTTCGTTGATGTACCTCGCAGACATGTGCTTTGTGATGCAGGCAGGGGGAAGTCCAGGCCTATCTGTTTCACTTCTGGTTTCTGACTGTTCACATTCATGGCATGGACAAAGTTCAACAATAGAAAAAAACTCTGCATGTTCATGATATGAAATCCCCTTCAACACCAGCAGTAACTTTGGAAAATAAGGCCTCATTCATAGAAATTCGCACATGGGTGGAAACTTAATATTTTGGGGGAGATTTTCTAATCTGACTCTAAAAACAGCTGATTGTGTTCATTTATCACGTGATTTATACTTAAGACTCATTGTCCTGAAATGGAAACAGTTCTTGATTTAATCAGGAGATAGAGGATCTTTAGGTGCAGCTCTGACTTATTTCTACCAGATGCTGCAGATTAACTTCCAGGAAGCGAGCTGGAGGATGGTTGGATAATTAAACCACTTTGACAGAATTTGTAAACAGAGAAATTATTTAAACTAATTGCTAATTAAAAAAGAAAAACGTACGTGTCTCCATCGTCTGTAATAGTTGTGAGTAAGTCTTCTTGTTCAGACAGTTCACAGATCTGTTCCTGCTGCTCTTCGGCGGTGGACAAAGTGCAACCCTCCACCATCGGTGGCAGACTCTCCACCGTGATGGACGAAGATCCGTAGGCTGAGTCCAAGCGCTCGTCCGGGGAGAAAAGCTTGTCCCTCGGCCCGCCGAAGTCGGTACTCGGCTCCCGGGAATCCTCCGGCTTCACAATGGAGCGGTACGAGTCAATCCCCGAGTCCGTGCGGGTGTCCTCCAGAAAATCGTCCTTACTACAGTCGTGGCTCGTCATGATGGTGGTGGCCCTTTCTGGGTTTCCCCTACCCGCCCTTCCCCGATTAATAACGGCTTTCAGCGGCCGCTGTTGTGGCTGCTTCCTCGGCGGTGCGACCGGACAGCCTGTTAGCGCACGAGAAAACCACCGCTTCTTTGTGAGACCAGATAAATGAGCCGCTCCGTCTCATGCCAATAACCGACCACACGTTCCCTCGCAGTAACGAGCCGTCGGTCTTTATCGGTTCTCTGTTTTGTAGAGAAAAAACGTTTCAAACCATGTCGGTTTCTCCCAAACTCTCCAGTTAAAGCAAAACTGGTTTAAAAACAAAAGCAGACGGCTAACAGTCTGGGAGATATCCGGTGGCAGCGAGCTCCAGGCGGAGAGCATACAAGCAATGAAAGGCGATAATGGGAAGAGCTGACATCTGAAAGCCAGAGCTGTTTTTGTCACGCGGGGGAATCCCCAGTGCGCGCGAAGGAACCGAACACACACAAGCGCGCGCGAGCGCACACACGCACAGTTCAACAGAGAACGTAAAGAACGTGGTTACGGCGGAAATGCGGGATTTTCAAAATTAAAGCATAGGACAATAGTTATATGTCGATGGGCAATCGAGGTTTTGGCCAATCTTTGTCCCGAACATTCCTTAAAGTAATGACGTGCACGGTTAGAAATAACTGTCAAGTTGGATCTGTTTATTTACAATTAACTGGCTCTGAAGAGAAATTAAAAAATATATTCAAAAAACCTGTTTTGTTTGTTTCAGATACAATAATCCAAATGAAGACAAGTCTCAAAGTCTTAAAATATCAACTGTCGTTTTTAATTAAACAATATTGATTATTTTTCTTATGCATAATTATTTTTAGGGCAAACTTGTTGCAGTTGAATCTGCTGGTTTTATTTATGTTTAAGTCAACTCTTTCTGGACTTCAGTTTGATTCATGGTAATTTCCAGCAGTGCACATTCTCCAGATGTCAGTTATACTTTTAAAGTAAACTCCAGGGTAGCAGCAAAACCACATATATTATTCAAGTTTCTTATTTTCACAAGAAGCTGCCAAAGCAATGACTGTTTATATAAATTACATCATGCTGAAAGTGACTAAAATAAAGATAAATCAATCAATCAATCAATCAATCAATCAAATTTATTTATAAAGCGCTTTTCAAACAAAGTGCAATTCAAAGTGCTTTACAAAATGACCCCAGATTCCCATAACAGGTTAAAAACAATAACAGACATATGCACGCACACGCACACACACACACGCACACACACACGTAAAAATTATATTTGGCTGAGCCCAGATGAGCCAAGTATGAGCCAAGTATGGTAACGCAAGGAAACGCCATCAGAGGAGCCATCTGTCCCAGAAGCATCAGGTCTTCCACACTAAGTCAGGGCGCTTAGAAATGTCTTTTTTTTTTTTACTTCACTTTGCTCTTGGAGAAGCCTACAATGAACTCCACAGTATTCATATAGGATGTTTTTATATTTTTTAAACACATTTTATGATTTATTTGTGTGCTTTGGCCTTCAGAGGGCTCACTTACACAGTATGTGCTGCTATTGTGAGTCAGATTAAAATAAATACAATCTATAAAATGAAAGTCCCTTCCAAAGAGACATCTTTATTACTGCCATCTGTTTTAGTGTGATCTACTGTTATGTTAGCTCACTCCACATTCTGCCAACAGTCCAGTCCAATGTCTACACTGGTATGGTAAATTCAGGCTTGTGTCAAGCAGGATTGGAGAAGAAACCATTCGTTAGTAAACAAAGACAGGGATGAAAAAAAAGAACATTTCACAAATGGCAAATCTTTCTGGTGTTTGGTCGACTGGTCCGTCCCGGTGCAGACAGAGAAGTATAAATTACGCTAGTGTCTACAGGAGGGATTTGTCACTAAATCAAACAGATCAGCAGCGTTCATGCAGGAAATGTGCTGGAAGCAGACTGCAGCACCAGGTATGTCAGCCAAATTTTTCAAAGTCCAACATGTAACGCCCACCAGTCTGATGTTGCAAGTGCGGTATTCTGGCCACAGAGAGCGTTAGGGGTCGGTTTCATTAACCCTGCAGTGTAATTTTAGCGCACACCATCTCAAGAAAATGATTTAAAAAATACAAAAACGTTGCATAGTATGGCTTTAATCCCCAATTTACACCGAGTGCATAAGCAGGGCATTATGGCAGCGTAACAGTGTTTTGTCACAACCTCCATGGCACGTCAGTCCCCACTGGAGCATGTGTGACATGGAGTACCCACACTGCAAGATCACAATTGCGTCCGTTGTGATTCTCCAATGCCAGGTTAAAAGCGTCAAAGTCCATGCTGAAAAATCTACTGATGCTCTGCTCAAAAGATGCAGGGATCATGACATAATGTAGTTAAGCAATCGCAAATCTGCATTTAATTTTTTTAGAAATTTACCGACAGCTTTGGGGTGACTCTCATGCACCCGGTGTAAATTGGGGGGTTGTTCTGCTGTCATAAAGTTAATGAGATGGTTACCTTGGTGGTCATAATGAGCCACTGGCAGTAGCCTTAACATTTATTTTAATCTTGGTTCTACTTACTTACACTTTAATGGAGTATATATCAAAACGTTAACACTTTGTCAAATATGATTTTAGAACTTTGGCTACCATGGCACGTTTTAAATTTGTGGACATGTTTTCATTGGTTTCTGTTGATCAATTCACCAAACTTAATGAAAAAGTAGATTTTCAACAAAATAATAAGTGTAAAATAAAATCGTTGCAAAACATTTGCAATAGCAGCCAGTTCCTGCAGAGACTAATAGGTTTAATGTTGTGATGATAGTCTATAGGGGCCAGCCTCGTGTCTGTGCGGCTGGATCTCCTCACCAGCACGAACACATGATGATTTAATGGGATGCAGGGGGAGGTTCCCGTGCAGCAGCAGCGCCTCTCTGTGTTTTAACACGGTTCCTGTGTGTGTATTTACACCGTGCTGTGGGGCTGACTGCTCACATGTGCCGCTGTCTGGCGTCTTTGTCCTGATTCACACTTTGGCTGACTGCGCCGTCAGCAGGAGGACGAGCCGCGTTAACACTCTCTGCATCCTGCAGCATTTTATTCGGATCATTGCACAGCAGGGAGAGTCGCTGCCTTTTCTTCGGCTGCACCATGAGCCTTCAAGGCTGCCCACCTGAGAAGAAAGAGACTGGAGAGGGAGGGTGCGTTGTTTTCAGCGTTTCTCCTCGGGTTCCTGCAGGGCTGGTCCGTTTTAGATGACGTGCAGTGGGGTTCTCTGTGTTTATGTTCCACCTTGCCCCGAAGGGTTATCCATGCACCGGCTTTTGTGTTATTTTCATCATGTCCCCAGCATCAGCTGCGACGGCCAGTGAGAGCAGCACCGCCACAGTCCCAGAGGAGGAGGCGGAAAGTCCCAGGGAGGAGGTAAGGGCCAGTGTGGATCCGTTTTAATCAGATTTCAAGAGTGCATGGATTCAGGAATTGTGCGTATTCAAAAAAAAAAAAGAAAGAAAAAAAGGGCTTTAATGTAAATGAAAAGGAACCGTTACCCTGTTAAGGTGAACAATCTGGTTCAGTTTGGCATCTTTCCAGGCAGCTGGTGTCATAAACAGGGCCCAAAGACCCATTAGGGGTCTTGGAAAGGGTCCAACTGAAAATGTGAGAAGAGACAACAAAGAAACGTCCTCTCAAGAGCACAATCTGTGTACAAATTAAAAAAATTATTTATTTTTCAGCATAATTACAAAAATATTTTTCTTCATTGAGAAATTGTTTCTAGTCTTCCTAACAGCCACTGTTTCCCAAACACTCCGAGTTACACATCCGTTACACAAGAGGGCTTTTTATGTAACCTAGCTGGTCTTATTCTGTCAAGAGAAAGTGTCCATGAGTGCAAGAGGCACTTATTTAAAGGCACAACGGTGGTCTTTTCATTCCTAAAGTCTGCATGTTAAGACATCTTCCTTTTGCTGCAACAGTGCTTATAAAATAGTCTTAGTTGAACTGATTTCTAACGTAAACAGCCACAGTAAGCTCATGTTTTACGACATTGTTTTACTTCTCAAGCCTGCACACATCGTTCTTGCAAGAACAACAAATACAAAAATTCTCCAATCAAATGCCAAAAATAGCATATTAAAAGAACATCTTAAGAAGAAATGTTCGTCGCTGCTGCTTGGACAGAGCTTGTAAAATGCAACACGAACCACAAAGTGTGTCACGTTGTATTGATTGTGTTGTGGAGCCAGCACAGGATGCTGCTGGTGAGTTTTCCTCCCACAGCATCTCGGTGGGGCGGTTCAGTGTTTAATCCACTCGCCCTGTGGGATGGGACGTTAGGTTGGCATAACACTTTGGGATCATGTGACCAAGGTGGAGAGGATAATTATGGAGAAACAACATCTATTATTTAAGTTAGTCTCCTAGAGAGCATAGAGCTAACATGTTGGTTTTATTACATGGATGCTTGTTGTTAGCTATATAGACTAAAAATAGATGCTAGTTTTAATATCTGCCTGTTTTCTGTGGCTGTACTCCCATATTGGGTATGACTAGCTCTCCCCTACTGGGCTCTGCTGAGTCTTGAGGTGATCAACAAAAGCTTCAGCTTCATGATGCATATGTCTAATGAATGCTTTTGCTTTTTTAATGGGCCTCAGTATTTTCTTACAAACCGACAATCATCATTATTGTTATTATAACAAGCACAAATCAACTTGAGCGAGTTGCTTTTAGCTCATGCATGAACTGTGCAACAGCACTTACAAAGCAGAAATGTTTCTAAATATTTTATCTGCATGAGACAGTTTATTTATTTATTTATTTAACTTTACAACTATTTAGGTCATGCTAATCATATTATACTCAAAACATTTAGTTTTTTTTTGTTCTTCCTTCATACTTTTTCTTTCCTCTTTTTTTTTGCAGCAGCATCCTCAGAAACAGTCCCTGGCTAAATCCCTGTGCCAGGAAACACACTGGAAATGCCTGCTGCTGTCCATGCTGATGTACGGCTGTGTCGGGGTGATGGCCTGGTGCCAGGTGACCAAGGTCACGCGACTCTCCTTCGACAGCGCTTACAAGGGAAAGTCTATGATGTACCGTGAAAGTCCCTGCTCCAACGGCTACATCTACATCCCTCTGGCCTTCCTGGTCATGCTCTATGTGGTCTACTTGGTGGAGTGCTGGCACTGCTACGCCAGGAATGAGCTGCAGTACAAGGTGGATGTGAGCAGCGTGGCCGAGCGCATAGAGCGAATGCAGCAGGCTACGCCCTGCATCTGGTGGAAGGCCATCAGCTACCATTATGTGAGGAGGACGCGGCAGGTGACCCGTTATCGTAACGGAGATGCCTACACCACAACGCAGGTTTACCACGAGAGAGTGAACACGCATGTGGCTGAGGCGGAGTTCGATTATGGGAACTGTGGTGCTAAAGACATCTCAAAGCACTTGCAAGGCCTGGAGGGATTCCCAATCACCAGACTGAGGTTCACCAAGTGCTTTAGCTTCGCCAATGTGGAGTCAGAAAACTCCTACCTGACCCAGAGAGCCAGGTTCTTTACAGAAAACGAGGGTTTGGATGACTACATGGAGGCCCGTGAGGGGATGCATCTGAAGAATGTTGACTTTAAGGAATATATGATTGGCTTTTCTAACCCCAGTCACCCTCCCTGGTATGCCTCCAACTCCACTTTCTGGGTGGCAGCTGCTTTCACGCTATCCTGGCCTCTGAGGGTGCTGACAGAGTACCGCACCGCCTGTGTGCACTACCATGTAGAGAAGCTGTTTGGCTTTGACTTTGCGCCAGTAACACCGTCTGAGGAGCATCCATATTGCAGACACATCCCACGAGTCAACACAATTGACAGCACAGAGCTAGAGTGGCACATCCGCTCCAACCAGCAGCTGGTGCCCAGCTACTCGGAGGCCGTCCTGATGGATCTGGCCCAGCTCTCGGGAAGCTGTAACAGCTACTCCGCATGCGGAGGCTTTGGAAGCTACAGGCAGAACTGTGAACGCTGCCACCGTACCATCAGCAGTTCCTCCATCTTCTCCCGAAGTGCTTTGAGCATTTGCAACACAGCGAGCCCTCGTATCCCCTTCAGTGCCAGCCGCTTCTCGTTAGGTCGGCTGTATGGCTCCAGGCGGAGCTGCCTGTGGAGGAGCAGCGGGAGTCTGAATGAGCAGTCCTGTCCCACTGAGAACTCTCGCTGTCTGTCCGGCCAGCAGACGAGCGAGGAGAATCCTCCAGCCTATCAGGACGCTCTGTGCTTTCCTGTTCTCATTGTCCATCGCAACGAAGGGTGCCTCAACCATGATCACCGCTCTCTGCACAGGAACGGCTCCTGTGTGGAAACCTCACTATGACCTGCAGCTGTCTAATGGGCCATTCCCATCTGTACCGGGTCGGCCCCAGCCTGGCCCGGTTGATTCCACACATCCTTGCCTTAAGCCCATGTGGGCTGATTCTACCCACCAATCAGAGGCTTGCTCTAATGGAAGGTGTGAATTTGCTGTCAGCAGTGGGTGTGTTGGCCCTGGTCGGCCTGAAGCAGACCCCCTCGAGAAGAGGGCTGAGAATGAGCCTTGGTTGGCCCGGAAAAATACCAGGCCACCCAGATATGTAAACAACCTACGCTACCCAGCCCGGGCCGACCCGGTACAGATGGGAATGGCCCATAAGTCTGAAGAATCTCTAAAAAGACCCACCCGGAGCTAAAAGAGTATTTTCACCTTGGATGGCAAAACTTTTGTTACACCAGAGTCAGAAAGTCAGAGAGAACCAAGATACCAAAGTGTCGCAGCTATAAAAGAGTCAAATGACCAGGGAACTTCGCTCTAAACAATGCCATAATCGAGTGTATTTCTGCACTAAACATGGCCTTTGACTCAGTGGGAAACCAAGACGAGAACAGTACGCAATGTGATAATTAACAGGTGTCGAAGTGAGAAATAAAAACACACACACACACACACACACACACACACACACACACACACACACACACACACACACACACACACACACACACACGTGAGTTTCCGTAACTTGTGTGAATCACGAGGGAAAATACAAAGCCATCTGCTTTCTGATCAAGACAAACCTGCTTCTCTAAGAGCAAAAATGCCTCTGATGGCGTTTATGTATGTGTAAAATCCAAACGTGTGCATGCAAAAATTCTGGCTGTGTAAATTTCAAATATCACACAAATGCATTTCAAATCAGAATTCAGTGGAAAACACGTTAAACATCCATTGGAGATCCATTAAGTGGAAAACTGCTTCTCCGCAATGACATTATACGCCGTTTGCTGCCAAATATAACACAAGAGGGACGTAAATAATTTAGACCAGAGGAGCTAAAGGACACAGAATAACAACACGGTGCCACGGAGACGTGCACAGATGGTCTAAACTGTGTACTTTGTGTAACTGGCTTAAGATAGATTGACATGTCTGGTTATGATCTTAAAAACATTTAGACTTTAACATTTTTCAGTATTCTGGTTCAGCCTACCTCTTTCTTTAAGTGCCTAGCATCAGCCATTTCCTAGAAGAATCAGCTTTCATAATTTAAATCATCCCAAGTTGGCATCTTCCCAGAAAATCAAGAGAATAGTACATATTCCTACGTAAAAAATGCACTTATTCTCATAAATCTTGTCATAATTTTTCCATCTGACAGTAAACTGGTTAAAAATGAATTTTCTGATATTAGATCGGAAGCTGTGTGATGCTGATGCATATCAGGAAGACAGCCAGAGGTCTACAAAGCAAATAAATAAATTAAAGAGGCCTGAATTTGTCACTGATAGTGTTAAATTCAATAAAATCACAAGATTACATCAAAAAGTCATATAGTGGTTTGATTTTGCTGTAAAATTGTAAAACAGACCGTAATAAACCCTCTTGTGTGTGTGTGTGTGTGTGTGTGTGAAGTGGCCACTAAAACGTTAGCTAACTTAGCTTCATCCTTCCTCTGGTTGTTGATTTCAGCTGAACAAGTTCAGGTGTGGAGCTCATTGTTTTATTTACAAGTCAGGAATTTAAGGACTGTTGTGGTGAATTTACTGTTTCAGGTGAGCTGTTATCTTCAGAGCTGTCTTAGCAATATTAAAGTACGTCAAAAATAACAGCAGACATTGGATTTAGTGAGAAAAAAACCCTCAAATTTCAGCGTTTGCATCTATGCAACTCTAAACTCAGGATGGTATTTAAAGCAATGTGTCTGCTTCCAGTATATCATTTCCACTTTTGTTATAAATACAACTTAGTCCATTAAAAATAATTGCAAAGCCTAAAATTCCTCCAAAAATTCAAACACCTGAGTGATATCCTTTGCAAGAATATACCAAATTCAAAGGCTTTTTTATAAAGACACACTTTTTTAAATGTATTAAAAATGGTAAAGAACATTCATTTATATGGTTTCATGTGTTAACTCTCCCACTGTCCTAATGGGTGTGACCCCATGAGGAAAGTTGAGGTCCATGTGGCAGGGGTGAGGTGGTGCTCACTCCTCACCCCTGCCACATGGACCTCAAGGGATAAACCATCAGTCCTGCTCAATGGTCAACTTTCCTGGAGGGGTCACCCATGAAGACAGTGGGAGGGTTAAGATGAAAATGATCTGATTCTCAGTATGTTCTTAAAGTGGCAGTGTGTCGTTTCCTGGCTCTAGGGGGCAGTACAAACATTTCACGGAAGTTTTACACCATATCGCCGTAACTGTTGTTAGTTTTAAAAAAACATTACAGCATATGCTGTTACCTGTGGAGCAGAAAGCATGCGACCTCGGCGTGACTCCTCAGACTTTGATGGTCCTTCAGGTGATCCCATCGAGAGAATGCAATGTAGATGGTAGTTTTCTGGTGCTGTAGTTACTGGATCTGCTCGGGTTCCTGCGCCTGCCAACTATGTCGAACTACGGCAATACCGCTCGGTCAAAAATATCCTGCATTTCTTTTTTGATTTTGTTCTTTCACATTTGTTTTGGAAATAGTTTAGCAGTTTTGGTAATAAATTTGTGTTTCTTACTGCCTAAATGATTTTGAATATGGTAACTTAACTTCTGTAAGTCGTACGTTCAGCAAATCATCTAGACTAGTGACGTCCTCGACAGGCACAGTACCCCGAGCCGGCCAGAAGGAAACATGGTGTGTCCCTCAAAGACACTAGATCTGCATTTTATGTACATCAGACCTGGTTTTTATGGTTATATGGTACAAAGTCGCCAATATTTTTTAACAAATGCCCACCATTTTTTTCATTTTCAACAACATTTCGATGGATATTTCCTGAGATTAATGGTAAAAACTACACATTGTCTCTTTAAAGGCTTCAAATGTAACTTTAAAAGTAGAAAAACACTCAATTCCATCAAAAAGAAAGCCAACAAGCAAAAGCTTTGTGTGGAAAACACAAAACGTCCTCTATTTGTTCAAAGGAGAAGGTGTGTGTTTACGCTAGGGATGGGCTAACGGTAATTTCAAACTAGGGGTAACCCAATATATCAGCATCGGTCGATATACCTCCTTAGTAAAGCCTATTTAAAGACAGGCAAATCCTTGGGCAGCCCAGAGCTGTTGCTGAATTTATATGTATATTTACATTCCTGAATAACATCTGCAAAACAAATGCTCTAAAATGATTTTCAACTAAAATTTCCTTTTATAAACCAGTTTTGAATAATTAATACTAGGTCAGTTCACTGATTGTTTGATTAACATTACTTAGATGTCTGATTTTAACACTGAGCAGTGCTTAAATTTAAGATTTAACAGTTGGTTAAATTCAGTTTTCAAAAACTGATTCAGCTTCAGAAATTGTGTGCATTAACTGATGTTTTTAGTGACATTTTAGCATGAAAGTAAGGTGGAAACGACCAAAAAGGGCAGCACATATCAGCCATCGGCTGACCATGACCTCTACATATCGGCATTGGTATCGGGCAAAAGAAGAAACACCATCAGTTGACCTCTATTTGAAACAATTTTGAGTCTATTAAGGATTATTTTCAAGTTGAGCAATAACAGTTGTCAGTATTTCCAGGAATGGAGATCTCAGAAAGTTCACCTGAAGGTCAGACTGTTGCTGAATGTACCGGGAGATGATGTTTACCCATAAAGAACTGCTCTGAAAAGTACAAACACAAAAAACAAGGGGGAGGGGGATGTTTTTACCATGCCTGTAAAATGTTTTTGTTGTATAGTGACTGAAATAATTTGGCTTGGGAAACAAAAAAAAAAAAAAAAAAAAGAAAAAAAGATTTTTTGGAGACTTGTTTTCTGAAAGGAAATATTAAACAACATGCCAGAATGTGTTATGTCAGATATGTTTCCTACAACTTATACCTCCTGTCTACAAACTTGTTCTCCAAGCGCTAAAATAGTTTGTGAAATTATTTATAGAGACTAAAAATGAGTGTTGATGCCTGATGCAAGCTGCTCTCAATGTCCTTTTTAAAGCTGAGCTCATAAGCAACCTACTGAAAAAGCAGCGGTCTGACTAAAATATAAACAACCCACTGAGATCAATCAAATATCCCTGTGTTACAGCACAGATTAGTCAGTCAGTGGAGATTTGCATGTGTCATTAAACACAGACAACCCCATCCTAATCACACAACTGATCATTTATTTTTTTAAAGGTGTGGAACACTCGTTTAATCAGGACATTTGCAGTGATTTCTAGTAGGAATTAATGCCTTGTAAGTTGTACTTGGGGGCAAAAAACACCAGTGCACCATTTCCAGGAACTAGGAGTGAGCCACATCACAGCTGAGCTTCAGACGGCCGGTTTTGGAGTCTTATTCCCTGATATTTGGACATCTCACCTCTGACTGAATAACAGCAACGTTGATGTTTTATCATCAAGCCACCAATTCTGGCGTGAGGTGGAGTTGCTAATGCTAATGGTTACCTTCTACTAGTGGAGACGTTCTCTGCTGTTTCCTGGAAGCTAAACCAACAACAGACTTCCCCGTCGTGAGTCCATGAATGCTGAGTAACAAAGTGACGTGGATCTGTTAGGATTTTCTAATCCTAGAGTTTCATCATCTATTTTCTATCAGAAGCTAATGCAGGAGATGGGTGTAGGAGACTATTTTCATGTTCCGCCTGCATAAAAACCTCACAGTGACCTATTAGAATCAGAAATAAGATTTTCAAAATGTTTTTCTGTGTTCCACACTTTAAAAACAAACAAACATTAAATTCATCTTAACTTGTGTAGGCTGAAAAAATGCTGGATTTTTGAAAATCACTCCATTAACTAATTTATCATCATCATCATCATCATCAGCCAAAAGGCCTTAAAGGTGGCCTCACTGTGATATTTAAACATAGAGAAACTGTTTACTGGTGTAATGTTTACATCACTATTAGTGGAGGAGCAGAAATGGAACAGACACACTCATAACTCTGACTTTTCCTCTGAAGATGACTGTTAGAAGAAAAGCTTCTTTTCATGCAAAGCACTAAACCCTTTATCGTGTCTGTCAGGTGGACTATATAAAATGGCTTTGGGGCTTTTTACATTTGAATAAATCTTTGTGCAGAAATGAAGGAATTTGTACTGTAAATAAGAGATCTGAGCATGTGGGATACCTGCTGATGATAATATGTGCTTGGCTGAATGTGTCACACACACACACGCACGCACAGACTTTTGAGGCTATGGCAGCAGGGAGAGCTGATGTACATACTGTACGATAAGTAGAGTTTGCTACGTTGCAGTTAGCAGCACAGTCACTTTCATAATGTTACTCACTAACTTATTTTGATATTTTAAGCTAAATGTCCTTTTAAACACAGTGGGAACACATTTAAAGAGCAAGTCACCCCCAAATGAACTTTTTTCCCTGATAAACTGTATAAATACGCGTCTAATCGTGCTGCAGACACATGTAGCCAATAGTTTTGCACTTTAGTGCATTTTAGTTAAAATTTTAATTTTCTGCCTAAAACTGTCAGTGTTGTGTCGTCGTCAGGTAAAAACTCTGCACTGCATTTGAATTTAAATCTGCCATCGCTATTGGCTAAGAGGTACCCTAGAATGTCAAATGGTACCTTATGATGTCACAATGTCGTTGCGAGCCTGTGTGTGTGTGTGTGTGTGTGTGTGTGTGTGTGTGTGTGTGTGTGTATTTGTTAGCAGCTCTGCCCTCTTGGTCTGCTAGGCAACAGCATTTGTAGCATTTTTCAAACAGGAAGTGGGAGTTGAGTAAGAATCTGGTAGAGGGTGACTTGCTCTTTAAAGACCATCATTGGATTTCTTTGAACATCTTTTGTACGTTCGTTATTGGATTATTCCATTGAGTTAAAATACAATGCACACAAAAATACTTTTAGTGCATGCGGTTTTAGAAAACTTTTTTAATCAAAATAAAATGTGCACTGCTGAGAAAAAGTATTTTGCCCATTTTCAGACTCTGTTTTTGCTTTTGTGTCACACCTGAATGTTCCAGATCAGAAATACACTTCTTCTAATGATCATTTACTTCAAACCAACCTATTAATAACTGGGAGGAGTCAGAATAGTTTTGTCATGACTTGAGGCAAGTGCCTAACCCAAGACATGCAGAATCAGAACTCGTCGGGCAGATTCAGTAAAAGAAAAGTTCTTTATTAATAAACGGGAACAAAAATAGCACAGGGAAGTCCTGTGGGTGTGAGCGGTGCAGCTCGAGTCCAAGTAGCACTCGGGATGAATGAGGGAGGCGGGGGAGCCGAGGTGAGCGCTGGGCAGAGGGTGAACGATCCGGGATGGGTGAGGTCGCAGAGAGGGGCCAACAGGAACAACGGAGGAGGATGGGACGTGGTGTATGAATCCAGAGTACAAAAACAGCGAGAGTGAAGCAGGTTGAGTGAGGATCCTGAATGAAGAGAAACAAACACCAGGCGTAAGGGATAATCCAAAAACAGTCCGAGGTCAAAGTCCAAGTATCCAAAACGAGACAAAGCGAGCAAACAAGTATGAGAATAAAGGGCTGGGGCTACCTAAACTGGTGCAATCGTCCGGCGTAGTGAGGTGTCTCCATCCTCCTTTTAAACCCGAGTTCCTGACTGGGATCTCCTGCAGCTGCCACCCCCTCCGCTCCTCACCTGTGGGAAATCAGCTCAATCACAGTTAGAGTGGAGATGGTGTCACTCACCTCGTCTCGGGAACATGACAAGTTTAAGTTGTTTAAATTCAGGATGGTTTTTCAGCTTGCTTAAGATCAAAGCTTGGATATTAACCTTCTGGCTCTCGCAGAGTACAGACGCTTCTGCTTTTGCTCCCTTATCTTTTTTTTTTTTCCCAAGGCTCTTTGTCCTGTCTGCCCACAGAGCGCTTCTCTGCATTTCTTCTGAAAAACCCTATTTTTTAGAATGGATTTAATTAATTGGTCATTCAACGCGATTGACAAGATTTTTTCTACTATGAGAACGGAGGGGGCTCCCACTTGCCTGCAAGGGACACACGCAGCTGGATATATGCTCGATTCCTGGAGGGAGTGGAAGATCGTATGCCTCTCTCAGTTGTCCATTGAGGATGTCGAAGATGTGTGGATATTTGGTCTGATGATCACTGGATTTCTTCTGATTGGAGTGGGAGCATATCTGGTTTTCTGGAAATTTGGGAAGACGGGAGCGATTGGAGGGCGACCCGCACCCACGGAAAGCACCGTCCGTGTGGTGACCTCACAGACTGGGACGTTACTCGAGGTGAATCGTAAGCTGGTCAATGTTCTAGCTGCGATACCGGTATTAGTGCGCAAAATGGATGTCATCTCGGAGAGGGTCACTGGACGGTGTGGAGATGTCTTGTTATCCGAATCTGACGCCATGGCAGCCTTGTGAATGCAAACAACAAACCCCCACGAAGGAATGCAGACAGATGCTGTGAAAACCCGACCTACCCCCCCCCCCCCCCCGCCTTCGGATTGGTGGACTTCAGCCTGGCGAGGTCATCAACCTGCAGGTGTCAATGTGCTCTGCGCTCCTCCCAAGATCTCCCTCCCACCTGTGGCTACAGTGGCTGAGCGCCATAGGGCTGCTCTCGCTGGAGAAACAGGATCCCAGCCCCCCCCCCCCCACCCCCCCACCCCCCCTTCCTCTCGGTGTCTCATGTTGTGAATTGTTGATATTCGTGCTTATATGTTTGAGGCGTTTTTTTGCATAGTAAAGCTACGCCCTGCCGGGAGTAACTCTGGTATGCCTTTTTTTTCCCCTCCCCCAATTTATCCTCATGTAATCCCCTTTTCATCTAATTAAAATGAGCACCGTTATGGCTGCTCTCATGGTCTGCCTGTATCTGTTCTGTCTACATGTGTGTGTAACCAGGCTGTGCTGCGGAGTCAAGTTCCTATGCTCTGGTTCGCTGGAGCGCTGGCAATAAAGCTTTTTCTGATTTTCTGATTCAGGATTTTCTTCAGTTACAGCAAGGAAACATACCAGAAACTAGAAAAATACGACATGAGTACGACTAATAAAGTTTGTATATACTCCAGTACTACCACAATGCTGCCTTTATGTTAGGGAGGACTGAGTATCAAATATCTGAATGAATGAATGAACCTGGATTAAAGGGATACTAGGCAGTTTTGTTTGTTTTTAGCACCTCCTAGTGTCCATCATTAATTCACTGTGGTTAAACAGAAAATTAAACTTATGTCCTCCCTGTGCGTTTGTCTTTTTAACGCCCTCATCTAACAGCTGAAATGTCTCCTCAGCCTTCATTAGTGTCTACAGGAGCAGTTCATCACTAAATCAAACACATCAGCTGTGTTCACGATCTAAAACATTCAGGAAGCGTGCTGGAGGCAGACTCCAGCTCCACTCCATGGCTTTCTCCACCAGCAGGAAGCGGACTGGCAACTCTGAAGTTGCAAGTCTGGTGTTCTGGCCACAGAAGGGGCGGTGTGGTCTTAGTAACATTTCATTAACCCAGTAAAGGGTCATTTTTCGACATACTGGCTTAAGGAAATGATTTAAAAATATTAAAAAGTTGCATAGTATCCCTTTAAAGTAATTCTATTCAATAAAAAGAAATGATCATTCAAAGAAATGCTCCATCTTTCTAAATTTACGAATGGATTCTCTAATGAAACATCACAAATGAAATATGTATTATCCTATAAACCTATAAAGAGGAAAACTGTGTTGATTAAAAAACATTTTTTATTCAAAAGCTTGCAAAAAATGTTTTATCTTGCCAAACCTGTGGTAAAGTTTGCTGATGTAACACACATTAACGGTGAAAAACTTGGAACTTGGAAATTATTGAAAGAAGAAACATACTGTAACACACATTAACGGTGAAAAACTTGGAACTTGGAAATTATTGAAAGAAGAAACATACTGTAACACACATTAACGGTGAAAAACTTGGAACTTGGAAATTATTGAAAGAAGAAACATACTGTAACACACATTAACGGTGAAAAACTTGGAACTTTGAAATTATTGAAAGAAGAAACATACTGTAACACACATTAACGGTGAAAAACTTGGAACTTTGAAATTATTGAAAGAAGAAACATACTGTAACACACATTAACGGTGAAAAACTTGGAACTTGGAAATTATTGAAAGAAGAAACATACTGTAACACACATTAACGGTGAAAAACTTGGAACTTGGAAATTATTGAAAGAAGAAACATACTGTAACACACATTAACGGTGAAAAACTTGGAACTTGGAAATTATTGAAAGAAGAAACATACTGTAACACACATTAACGGTGAAAAACTTGGAACTTGGAAATTATTGAAAGAAGAAACATACTGTAACACACATTAACGGTGAAAAACTTGGAACTTGGAAATTATTGAAAGAAGAAACATACTGTAACACACATTAACGGTGAAAAACTTGGAACTTTGAAATTATTGAAAGAAGAAACATACTGTAACACACATTAACGGTGAAAAACTTGGAACTTTGAAATTATTGAAAGAAGAAACATACTGTAACACACATTAACGGTGAAAAACTTGGAACTTGGAAATTATTGAAAGAAGAAACATACTGTAACACACATTAACGGTGAAAAACTTGGAACTTGGAAATTATTGAAAGAAGAAACATACTGTAACACACATTAACGGTGAAAAACTTGGAACTTTGAAATTATTGAAAGAAGAAACATACTGTAACACACATTAACGGTGAAAAACTTGGAACTTGGAAATTATTGAAAGAAGAAACATACTGTAACACACATTAACGGTGAAAAACTTGGAACTTGGAAATTATTGAAAGAAGAAACATACATTTTCTCCCAACATTCTGCAAAAATCTACTCATAAAATTAAATTAATTTCAAAGTTAAGAGTTCTGAACACTTTGAATATTTCCTTGACCTTCAGGTTTGAGACGGAGTTGATGACGGTGGAGGAGGACGGCGTGTCTCTCATTCCTTTCTCTGACCCGCCAATTCTAGTTCTTTCTGTATCTTGTTTCTGAACATCGTTGTCTTCAAACCTAAAATTCCACCCTGAAAAACACAAAGGGAATAAATCTGGTATGTCCTCCAGTCGGATGATCCTGAAACTGCTCGTGGCCGTCGTCATTGGTGTTTTGCCTGAAAAGCCGTTTCTATTTTTGCGAGGACCAGACCAGGGTCAGAGATACTGATGGTGCTGCATATTATGTTTCTGCTGTGTGGCTGACTTTTGATCCTCCGTGCGTTTTCCAGTAAAAGAAGAGAGCTTGAAAAAGATTCAGACTCGGATTTGTCTCTCCAGGGAAAACACTTAACTGCTCATTTTCACACACTTTCTTCATGTCTAAAAATACCTAAAAGTGATCTCTGGATGCACTGGACATTGCTGGTGATTTTTACTCTTGTAAATAATAGAATTCCATGTAAAAAAAAATGCATGTTGAATAAAACTAATGAACTTTTGTAGATTGGAGGCGTTTTAAGACAGCAACAATGTACATTGGTAACTCCCTTCCAAATAGCTGAATTATCCCTTTTTGAACGGAATTCAAATCAAGTTTAAATAAAAACCCTGGGAGTTGTGAAACGATTCTTTAGGTGGAAATACAATGAAATATTGAACAACTTACCTCATCGAGCTTGTTGCCAGATAAATCGAGACTGCTCAGAGTTTCATTCTTCTTCAGCATGTCAGACAGAACGGGAACTGTGGCCGAGGTTAACCCATTGCTTCCCATGTGCAGGCGAAGCAGAACGTTGTTTTTCTGCAGAGCTTTGAAAATGGCCTCACCTCCTTTGTCTCCCACTTCGTTCATACGCAGGTCGAGGGACGAAAGAGGAGGGTTCTTGGACAAAGCCTCAGCTATAGCGCTGGATCCCACATCGCCGATTCTGTTGTTGTACATTTTGAGGACCTCCAGTTTACTCCTGATGAGCAGCTTGGCGATGGCACAGCCTCCGATCTTTCCAATCATGTTGTGAGATAAGTCAAGTTCCCTCAGGATGGGGAAGTCCATAAGGTGGTACATCAGCATGCAGCACTTTTCATCATTGATACAGCTTACAGGGAGCCTCAGCACCTGGAGAAGTATTAGCTTGTTGAAAAATATGTAGCTTATTCATCTAAGTATGGCATTTCCTGAGTTTTGCAACTAGAAAGTATTAATACGAGTTTTTCAGTATATAAATGCACATATAGAATAATGAATTATAAACATAAACAAGGCTTTTTGAGACCCTCATATCCCCTCAAATGTGTTTTCTTTTAAAATTCAACCAGAAAGCACAAGAAGTTGATTTTCCTGCTCCATAAATGCTGCAATCATTACTCACATACAGTTTTTAAAAAATAACAGAGAAGTGCATACCCATCCTCCTTCCCATGCAAGGATGAGGACCTAAAAAAGAATTGCATCATAGGGAGAAGGATCAATATTTACCTTCAGGGTTTTTGATGATTTGACTGCATTGGCGAGGGATATACAGTCTCCATCAGTCATCTCCTGCATCTTCCGTTCAAAGTTCAGCCCACATTGTTTGATTCTGTAAACCACGTGAAGCTCCTCCAAGTTTGTCAGCTTGTCAAGCACAAGGCCAAAGTCAAAGTGGTCCATGCAAGGCTCATCAAGCGACAGCTCTTCCACATTCACCTCCACCTGAGGCTCCTTTAAAGGTGGCAGCAGCTGTGAGACGCTCAGCTTCTTCACAAAGTTATCACAAAACGGGATTATTTCTAGAACTGTCTTCGGTTCTGTCACACCTGGGATGAAAAGTTCAATCACACTACCCAAGTGTCTCTCGATGTACATCTGTTTCCAGCTGTTGTCATAATCAGTCACGTCACAGGCGTACCACCTGTGCTTGCAGCATTTTTCCCAGTAAACACCATCAGGGACCAGTTTGGAAGTGACATGAAAAGGAAGACTCACGGACAGTCGCTCCAGGATGTAACATTTTTGGAAAGGTGTGATTTTTGTAAAAATCTGTTCGTCTGCAGCAACTGAAAGAATAATAATAATAAAAAGAAAACAAGTTTAAGCCATAAACGTCAAAGAAAATCGTCTTGTGTGTGCTAATTATTATTATTATTATTATTATTACAAACAAAATACCTTCGAAATTTTCCACTATGCATTGCAGACATTTGTGGGACAACCTGAGCGGGTCTGTGACCTGCACAAGCCAGTCTGTGTCTTCTGCAATGATCCTCCTGCTCATCTTTCTGTGGCTGCTTCAGGTTCTGGTGAAGAAAAACACAGTGAATTACCTGTAGCTCAACTAGCTAACTTAATCGTCTGTTCGGTGACAAGATTTCCTGACCTGTTCACCAAAAAGTCAGTCTGATAAGCGACACAACTGGAAGTAGAATCATTTGCTAGCTAACGTTTGCTACGAGTCAAAAACCACGGTCTAAGTATTTTTTTTACTTTTTAAAACAACTGTTAGCTTAATGGGGTCAGCTCACTACTGTCTAAAACACATTTAAAGTGGAAATAAAAATAAACAAAGCAACATTTAGGAGTTTAATACTCACATGAAAGCGTTTTGCGGTTTCAAAATGAAAAAGGAAAAAACCAACGAGGATGACGTTCACCCGTTTCTATGGCAACAAAACGCCCAAACCTTATTTTGCGGTATCGTGGGGTGTTTTTTTTTGTCGTAAGGTGGCTCAAATATGTTGCAAACTGAAGTGACATTAAGAACATTATATAATTATGTTTTTATATTTTATTTTTATTAACTTTTTATTGATTTTTATAAATATGATAAACATTTTTAAGGGAAAAAAACACAGACACCACCCCATCTAGAAGGGGTGCATAGAATTTCCGAGCTTTGCCTAAATGCAACACAGTTACATTCAAAACAATTATGTGACTATTAAAGCCACTTTTTAAAGAATAATATATTTAACATATTTAATTAATGTACTGGAATATTCTAAAATAATAAATTGATTGCATGACTTACATACGTTTTTTTCATCATAACAATAAATCAAATCTATAATCAAAGTTAATTTGTTAACAATCGGAAATGTATCTGTGTTTTTCTGCAGGGAAGATGAAAAGCAGCAACTGAAGCCTTGAGGCAGTCCATCACTGCAATTTTGTGTAATTCTGCCTCACACGCACGCGCTTTAATGCACCACCATGACGTCAGCCATCACAGAAGGTTAAACCAGAGTATCTGTGGAATAAACCATGAGCTTTTGCGCACTCTGGGTGAAGTCACTGTAGGAGTGAATCACAGCTTTGAGAGTTTCACCATATGGGAGCTGTACGGTTTCATGAACATGTGTGTGTGTGTCAGTCACCTTTAAGGCTACATGATAAAACAAGTTAGAAATAACGTAGTAAAATGTTGAATAAAGAACAGACCAACCATTCCAAAGCTGATCCAGTAGCAATATTTTGTAATTGTTCATTTTTATTTATTTATTTATTTTACATCAGTAAAACCAAGTGTTAATATATTAAGATATAATGAAATTTCCCAAAACATTAACAGCAATCAGCTGAAATATGTCCAAAGTTGTCTTCCATCCATTCATCATCGTCCGCTTATCTGGCGTCGGGTCATGGGGCAGCAGCCTAAGCAGGGGCCAGATTTCCCTCTCTCCAGCCAATTGGGCCAGCTCCTCTGGGATAATCCTTGCATAGTCCCTCCAGTGTTTCCTGGGTCTTCCTTTAGTTCTCCTCCTGGTTGGACGTACCTGGAAAACCTCACCAAGGAGCCACCTCCACTGGCTCCTCTTGATGTGGAGGAGCAGCAGATCTACTCCAGGCCCCTCCTGGATGACTGAGCATCTCACTCTATCTATAAGGAGAGCCCAGCTACCCTGCAGAGAAAACAAATTTTGGCCGCTTGTATCCGCAAACTCGTTCTTTTGGTCACTGTACAAGCTTGTGACCATAGGTGAGGTTAGGGATGTAGTCAGTCAGTACTGATTTATGCCAAAGTTAACGAAATACAAATTTTAAATTTCTGATTCTGATTCCAAATCTCGTGCTGCTCTGGGTGGCTGCATGTTGGAGTAGCTCTGTTAACTACATTTAAGTTTTCCAGAAGACACAGGTGGGGGCCTCAACTATCGCCTGGATTAAAGACTACCTGACAAACAGACCAGAGTTTGTGAGGCTGAAGAACTGCTCATCAAATCAGTCGATCAGTAACATTGGAGCACCACAGGGGACTGTACTCTCACCATTCCTTTTCACCCTGTACACCTCAGACTTCCAGTACAAATCAGAGACCTGTCATCTACAGAAATACTCAGATGACTCTGCAGTTGTCGGGTGTATCAGAGATGGACAGGAAGCTGAGTACAGAGAGCTGGTGGAGCGCTTTGTGGCATGGTGTGGAAACAATCATCTGACCTTGAACGTGAACAAAAAGGAGATGATTTTAGACCAGAAGAAACAGGGTGAAGTCAAACACTGTTTCCATCACGGGAGAAGAAGTGGAGGTGGTTGAGGAATACAAATACCTTGGAGTTCACCTGGACGACAGACTGGACTGGAGTAAGAACAGCGAAGCCGTTTACAAGAAGGGACACAGCAGACTGCACTTCTTGAGGACACTTAGGTCCTTCAACGTCTGTAGCAAGATGCTGCAGATCTTCTACAAGTCTGTTGAGAGTGTAATCTCTTCAGCCATCGTCTGTTGGGGTAGCAGCATCAGAAGCAGGGACCTGAAAAGGCTCAACAGCCTAATAAAAAAGGTTGGTTCTGTTCTGGGGACGACTGTGGAACCACTGGAGGAGATAATGCAAAGAAGGATTCTCCAGAGAATCAAGAAAATGATGGACAACCCTGAGCATTCTCTTCACAAGACTGTCCGACAATGGAAGAGTGTCTTCAGTCAGAGGCTTCTTCAATTTTGCTGCAACACTGACCGCTACTGGAGATCCTTCCTGCCAACAGCCATACTATAACTCTTTGATGACTTGATTATTATTATTATTATGAGCTACTACAGCAATCAATTTCCCTCTGGGATTAATAAAGTATTTTTGAATGGAATGTTGAAAATTACTAATGTGTAAGTAAAACCTTCCACATGAAAGATTAATACTAGCGTGACATAAATCAGAATAAATAAGTTGTCTTGTGAGAAAAAACTGGTTTCAGTCATAAATAATTAAAATAATCTGAATGTTTGAGAAAGTAGTTTATGCTTCTTAAACAGCACATATTAATTACCTCACATAAACAACAGACTTCATATTGGAGTGCTGGATACATGCAGCCATTATTCATGATGCCATCACTCACACACACACACACACACACACACACACACACACACACACACACACACACACACTGATATTTGTGGAAGGAGTAACCACACAGAATAAACACCGTCTGTCCACATCACAGCATGAGGACCCCATGTGTGCTCACACTACAGCCTGTGCCATCATACTTCCATTTGCTTTCAGAGCCTAGAAAAACTGTTGCGTTGGTTGCTAGGCAACAGAGACAGCATTTAATCATTAAAGAGCAAGTCAACCCCTACCAGAGTCTCACTCCACTCCCACTTCCTGTTTGAAAAATGCAATAAATGCTGTTGCCTGGCAGACCGAGAAGGCGGAGCCGCCAACAAATACACACACACACACAGGCTCACGACAGCACTGTGACATCATAATGTACCAGTTTACATCTTAGCATACCTCTTAGCCAATAGCGGTGGCAGATTTACATTTTAACTAAGATGCGCTGAAGTGCCAAATTATTGACTACACGTGTCTGCAGCACGATTAGACACTTGTTTATTTAGTTTATCAGCAAAAAAATTGTTTATTTGGGGTGACTTGCTCTTTAAAGGATAAAAGGGTTTACTGCAAATGGGGAGTTTCTTTATGATTGCTATTTGTGGGGAAAACATTTTAAGCGTAAATGCAGCAAATGTTAATCTGCATTTTAAATGCAACTTTTGTTTTGACACCTTAAAGCTTGAATGCCTTCATCAACACACTAAAAAAGAGAAAAATTACTTCTCATCACTTTTTTTGCATGATTACACAATTGCCATACACTTGTGTGTTTTGAAGAGGCAGGAACAGCCAGAGCTCAGGTGACCTGTGGAGTGTTTCCTTCCAGAAATCACAGCTTGAGTTTGAGACACGCCCAGGTGACTCAGCAGATGTCTAGAAAGTCAAGTTTAAGGTTGAACATTAATACTGGATAAGTCTTTATCCTCTGGAAACACAAACCTGTTTCATTTATGCTAACTTAATAGAACATAACTGTTCCCTAACTTACTTTTTAATTCAATTCAAAAATACTTTATTAATCCCAGAGGGAAATTGATTAAATATTAAAGATTAAATGAAAAATTCCAAAACAGCTGTTAGTAACAGGTTTACATATATGACTTTAAATATCAGTCAATAAGAGAATTTATTGAGTCTTAAAAATATTTGTGCAAGATTTTCTGTATTAATCCAGTAAAAAAAGCAGATCCATCTAAATTTTTTCATTTATAAAATGGACTCATCAGCGGTTAGAAGAAAAACATGCAAGAAAGAAACTTTATTCCTTTTGCTGAAAAAAAAACTCATTAACTATTTTACAAAAAAAAAAACATCAGCTCTTTATTCTAAACATTCCAGGAAAGCTCAAAAGTTCTTTCACATTTCCACCAACAAGGAGAAAGAATGAAAAAAAAAAAAACTGTTAATCGCTAAACTCCAAAGAGCTGTCATCAGATTCTGAATGGAGACTGCTGTCGGTATCCACGGAGCTGAAGCTGCTGTATATGGACACCATGCTGCCGTCGCTGCTGCTGCTGCTGCTGTCGTCGTCGTGGATCACCATCACCTCGGCGATGGCAGCTGCTGGAAAACACAAGGTGAGCGTCTCTTAGAAAATTATTTAACCTTTACAGCTTTTTTTTTGGGGGGGGGGGGGGGGGGTATTTTTCTCGCTACACCTTTGGTGTTTCTCCTTGCTCTGCTGCCATCTTGTGTTTGAAATATTTTATTCTGCTCAGCATCACAGAGGATGTTAACGTAGACTGTCATGAGTTTCATTACTCTTTAATCACCATTATTGCTTGAATGAGAGAATGAATCTCAGTGTGGAAAAACCCTAAAGTGTCTCTGCTGACCTGATCGGATGGCGTTGCGCTCACCAGTCGACTCACCTGCAACAAGAAAACAACAGCAAAAATATTATAGAGTGGGAATACAATTCAATTCAATTCAATTCAAAGATACTTTATTAATCCCAGAGGGAAATTGAGAGTTTCAGTACACACAATTCTGAGATCAGACATACATACAACGACATTGACAATGAATGACTTGTAGTTGTAGGGGGAGTGGGAGGTGACAATAAACACCGGTGCACCATTTCCAGGAACTAGAAGTGAGCCACATCACAGCAGAGCTGCGGACTGCAGGTTTTGGAGTCTTACTTTCTGACATTTTACTTAAATCTTATTTTATATATCTTTCTTTTTGCACCAAGTACCGTAGCAGTTTCCTATTGTGACTTTTTGCACATATGGCAATAAAACCCATCTGATTCTGATATTTGGGCATCTCACCTCTGATTGGATACAATCAATGTAAATCTACCACTGACTCCATTTGCTTTGCAACGTTGATACTTTATCTTCACAAATAACACGGGCCTTTAACCCAAGACCTCAAATGGGAGCCCACCATCACCTCTGTCACAACTAAAGCCCATAACAACAGAGGATGTACTTCCTGAGGCAGCTGAAGAAATTCAACCTACCAGTACAGTTGATGAGGCAGTTCTACACCGCAGTCATCGAGTCTATCCTCACCTCTTCAATCACCGTGTGGTATGCTGGAGCTACCACCAGGGACAAGAAGGAGCTGCAGCGTGTTGTGCGTTCTGCTGAGAAGGTCATTGGCTGCAAACTCTCCTCCATACAGGACCTGAACACCTCCAGGATGTTGAGGCATGCAGGTCGGTAACAGCTGACCCGACTCGCTCCCATCTGGCAGGAGGACCAGAACCTCTCGACACAAGAACAGTTTCTTCCCTTCTGCAGTTGGTCTCAAGAACGACAATCCTAGGGCTGCCCACTCCAGTCGCTTGGTTTCAGTCACATGACCCTGTGTTGTTTGTACCTGAACTGATCCGCTCTGATCAGTACCTACACTGTCTTGTATATAGTAGCCGTTTCTCTAATTATTGCCAGTTTATATTATTATTTTATCAAGATTATATTCTTACCTCCTATATTTACTTATCTCTTATTTTTATTGTTCTTTTTGCACCAAGTACCGCAGCAATTTCCTAATGTTTTGATTTCTCGCACATACGGCAATAAAACCCTTCTGATTCTGAAGCCCGAAGGAGTTCTGCCATGTGGTGATGTAGCTAATGCTAATGGTTAGCTTCTACTAGCTAACATGTTCTCTGCTGTTTCCTGGAAGCTAAACCAACAAAAGACTTGTTGCTGGCCTAGCAAGGCGCCTTGACATTGAGAAGCACCCTGCATGAAAAACTCAAGAGTGACCGATTATAATCAGAAATAAGATATATATATATATATATAAACGATGTCTGTAAGGGTTAAAGAAACGTTCCAACAGAATAAATGAGTGAAGATCAAAGATGGATGATTCATTTCTATGAGTTTGGCGTGGATGATGAGAACACACCTCTCACCTTTCCTTTCAGTGATGAGCGTCTGCCGCCGGGCCTTCATGTCCAGGCTCAGGTTCTCCACCATACGGTTGATGCAGTTGTCCAGGGCCAGACACCGGGTCTGGGACTCGATGGCCTGTCTACAGATGGGACACTCGTTTTTCTTCTTGCGCCACAACTTGATGCAGTAACAGCAGAAGCTGTGAGCACAGTTCAGGATGACCGCCTGTACAGGGACATTTTTTTTTATTTCAGCAGGTGAAGTCGGGTTTTTGTGAGTAAGATGATCCCAAACAGGTTCCTGGCTCTACCTCGATGAAGAGCTCTGAGCAGATGATGCACTGGAGCTCGTTCTCCAGAACCTCTGTGACTTGTGTTACTACCTCCTCCTTTTGGGCTTTCGCCTTTTCTTTTTCCTCCTGGAGGAAAAAAAATATGAATCAAAGTGACAACCAAGGAAAAAATATGTGTTTTAAAAAGTGTCTTTCAGGCACCTTTGTTTCTTCTAGTTCTTTGTTTTTCGCAGAGAGGATTTCTTCAAATGTTTTTCGAGAGTCGGCAAGCTCGTCGATCACTTTCTTTTGCTGTTTGTTGAAAAAACAGGCACAAAAAAACTTTTTATTACATTTAATCTAAAACTTAAAGAAATAAACTAAAAAACTGTTAGTTTAAATTAAATGTGTTAACAGCTTTTAATTAGTTTAATTGAACCTTCTTACTTCCTGAAGAGCCTCTTCAAGTTGTTTTTTCATTAGCTCCTCTTGCTGCTGTGTTTTCTGCTCCTAAACGCATAAAAGACAGACGATTCACTTAAATTGAAACTTTATTTTTATGGACATATATATTTTTCTAATTGTAAATGCAGATGAACCTTTTGATTCACATATGTCAGAACAAGAAGGGTGAGGAACGTGTTACTTTCCATATGTGGCGCTTTTGTTTGAAACCCCAAAAAAGATGCTCAATATTAATATGCTCTGGAATATTAATATCGATATGAAATTTGATGCAGAAATGTAGCTCTTTAACAGGTTTTGTTATGTTTAAGATCTTTTTTTGGCAACGTTACCAAGATTATTTAAAGTATGGCTGAATCATTTTGAAATGTGGAGAATTAAAAGTTAAACTAACACTGTAAAATAAAGCAATTGCGGGTTGGGGGAATGAAAATGTAACGATGTTTCAAAAAGAAAAAAAAACAACACTCCTGACCTCCAACTGTCTCCTTGTTTTACTGAAGGTTCTCTCTAAAGTCTTCATTTGACACATTTTGGCTCTAAGGGTTTCCAGTTGACCCTGCAGCTCACGGACCTGCTCCCGTCGGAGAGGATCTGCCCGCCTGGGTTCTCCTCCAAGAGATGATACCTGCTTCTGGGTGTCATCCACCTGCTCCCGTAACAGCAGGAGATTCTGGCTGTACCTGCAGGTTATACATTAATATTTACAACTTTTACACAACAGAACATCAGAATGGACAACTCCTAAGCAGAGTATTATTTTCATTAAAAGTAGAGAGGAGTCTGTTTGAATATGTGACAAATAATTCAGCAAATGTATTAAATAAAAGCTTGTAAAGGAGCAGTGTCTTTGGTTTGATTGAGAACCTTTTTTACGAGGAGTCACACTTTACCTCTGCAGGTTGTCCACTTCACAAGGATCACTGGATCCATCAGAGTGCTGCTCTTGTTTTTGTGTGCTGGATGCCGTCTCCTCCAGGTGTGTGTTACTGAGCCGCTGCTGGCATTTCACCGCAGACAGAGGACAGGGTTTTGCAAAAGATTTCCCTTCTGAATCGCAGCGGTACAGCTTAGGCTTTGATGTAGAAGGCTCGACTTCCTCCACAGTCAACTTCCTTTTGGATTTTTTGGAGACTTGGGGCTCTTTAGCCCAAGTTCTACATGCCTTTGCCAGGTACGGCTGAATGTTTCTGAGCAGCTGCCGGATGAGGATGTAATCAAATTCTACTTTGGTTCCTGATAAAGGAACTCCAAGTCGGATCGAGTCTCCAAGTTTGAGCAGGTAAGGTTCATCGGCAGAAATCCGATTTCCGTTCACCCAGACACCATTGAGACTCTGTGGAAGATAATTAATAATAATAATAACTTATTTACTAAGATTTAACTTGGTATTAGCTGCTGCTGTTAATAATAGCCCCATCATCTGTTAGAGATCAATTTTAGGAGAGTTAGCTCAAGAAATAAGGCTACCTTTTTGTCTACCACTGTCCAGTGACCGTCTTCTATCTGTCTGAAGGCACAGTGCAGTCTGGAGATCATGAGAGGACTACTTGAAGACAGCAGCTGGTAGGTGACATCCAAACCACGTCCAACAGTGATCTGAGCAGTCAAAAACAAACGTCAATTTACAGTTTTTCCATATAAACAGGGTCCACTACGCCGTTAGAAAAAACTTAATGAATAAAATGGCATGCCTATTGTATGTATACATAGCACAATCCTGAAAATGATTTTTTTTAGTTAAGCTAACATTAGCAAACTGTACCTCTGCCTTTTCGAACAAACGAAGCCAGTCTGATTTTTTTCCGACTCTCATCAGACACAAGACCTCCGAGTCCGAACATTCACCGTCCTCAGCCGAACATGAATCCGCCGTTGCACTATCCATGTTAAGCCATTCTGTCACAGGCCAAACACTCCGCTGTTGTTGTGTCTTATATGTATATGTCGATGTGTGTCTTCCGTCACATAACTGCTACATGCTAACGCGGTAGCGATCCGGGAGACACCGGAAAACGGTACAATTCATTTCGAAATAAAAGCGACGGGAAACTGCTAAAATAAATATCAATGTTTTATTTATTATTTCTTGTATAACGGCACGTATCACGTGTTGTAAATCTTTTGAACAAGGCAAAATAAATAAAAAAGTATGAATAGAATAGGTTTCTGGGATAGGTTACTCTTTATTTATTGACATTTTTAAACATGAAAGTAACGTTAAAAAGTAAATGCTAGCATTTTGGATGATGAATATTTTAATATATTAAATATATTTTTGCTTTATGAAGTTCAAAATTTTTTTAAAGCAATGAATTTTTTTTTTATCGAAAATTCAAATTAGAGCACTTTGTTGTTGTGATTTGTTCTCAGTCAGGCAACCCAGCACCCTAAAACGAGTGCACCTAACCCCGGGGCGGGACTTCCTGTCTGCACCGGAAGTTCCAGTGTTGAACAGGCAGAAAGGGCTTGGTCCGTGTGTCACCGGTCTTATCCGCGTATGTCTGGACGGGAGATAACCAGGCTGCCGAAGCTGCGTAAATAAATCTCCACCTCGGCTATGCTGCCCTGAGAGCGCCGCGAGTATCCGCCCCGCCAAAATGTCTGATGTCAACAAGACTATTCAGAAATGGCACGCCAGTTTCAAGAAAGGCACAGACTTTGACTCGTGGGGACAATTGGTGGAGGCTATAGACGAGTACCAAATGTGAGTTACATTCAACATGTGTGTCTTATTTTTGTACGATTGAGTGTAAACATCTGGAACAGCGAGGACGGCTTGTTTAGCTTTTTATTTTTTTGCTGTCTTAAAGCTTGTCAGCTCTTAAACCTGCAGAAGTTAGCCTCGGAGCTGTCAGTCAGCCCCCACAGCAGTAAATAAACCCTTCCCATCCATGACGTGATGTGGCATTGTTGCAGAGGCAGCGGAGTCCCATCCCATCTTCATTCACAGAGGGGAGAAGAACAAAAAGAAACACCCAAAGCTGAATGTCTTGTTTCTGAGCGTTAGGAGAAGAGAATAACCAATATTCCTTAGAGTGTTGGGAAACAGTCAGCCACACCCTCTCATTGTTATGGGTGGGTTTCGTGTGTTCAGTGAGGAAAGCTCTCTTGTTCTCTGAGGAGATCAGACTCCGCAAGTTATTTCAGGATGTGATCATGTTTATGTAATAATTCATTTTAATGACACGTTTTAGATTTCTTTAGTGCAGATAGATGACTTGACAGTGTCCCACGTTGACCAAAAGGGGGCGCAGAACAGCCCACTGATGTGACAAATCGTCTTGGAATTGATTGATTAACCCATCTAACTGTTCTCGTTAATCCAGATTAGCAAGGCAGCTGCAGAAAGAGGTCCAAAATTCAAATTCATCAGATTTCACAGAAGAGCAGAAGGTAATAATTGCATCAGTCTGCAGGCTAAACTCGCCTGCTTTGCTTCAAATCACAGCATCTTGTTTCTTTCTGGACATTCAGAAAACCTTAGGAAAGATTGCAACATGCCTGGAGATGAGAAGTGCCAGTTTGCAGGTTTGTGTTCTTACTTATTTCTCTTTTTGTATGATAGTGGACAACCAGACTTAGATGTGTTTTGTTGTTACTGTGAACTTTTGTTGTTATTGTGCACTTTTCTGGCTTTAGCGTCATTATTTTCAATATTTGTATGGCAGTTTGTCAGTTTTGCATCATGTTTTGTTCTCCTTTTGCAGCAGTTTGTGGTAATTTTATTTCCTGTCTGAGTTTTTGTGTTTGAGGTTTGTAGATTTATGGATTTTTTTTTCATCTTCATTGCTTTGTGATACAATTCTAGTTGTTTTTTCACACTTTCCCGTTTATGTTGCAGTATTTGATATATTTATTTTAATATAAAGACCCTTTCCAACTAAAAAAATTTAAAAAAAGCACAAAGGGTGATTAAAATCCTTCAAAACTTAATTTCTGAGCATGTGGCGATCATATTCATGTATTTATTACCAAAGTAAGACATGAACGTAAATCTTTCTCTTGAGTTCTGATCGTTTCCTGTCTGTGCGTCTCCTCAGTGCACACAATCACAAGAAGAGTTCAAGTTAGAAGACCTGAAGAAACTGGAAACCAGTAGGTTTACAGCTACTCATTTTGCAGGAGTTGTCGTTAACGTTCTAACCATCCTGTTTCTTCCAGTAATAAAGAACATCCTCAGCCATAACAAAGAGTTTCCCTTCGACGTCCAGCCAGTGCCATTAAGGTAACATTTATCTTAAAGCTTCAGAGTTAAAAAAAAAAAAGGGGTTAAAGATTTACAGGGGAGTGTGTTGCTATGGATACAGAGGGAAAAAAGAGCATATTTATTGATATAAAGGAAACGGAAAAAGCAGCTTTTCCAATGATTTCATTCGGGTGATGCGACAGGTCTTTTCTCTCCATCAGGAAAATCCTGGCTCCAGGTGAGGAGGAGGACCTGGATCTGGAGGAGGAGGAGGATGCACCTGCAGGAGCCGGTTCTACTGAAGTGTTCCCACCTAGAGCTCCCGGTACTCTCGCTGCTCGATCTCGTGTGTTGTGTCTCAAAACGTCCGTTTGACCGTGCATGTTTCTGTTCTCTCTGTCGGCGCTGTGCTGCATGGCTTCTTCGTTCATCTCTGCCTGCTTCCTCTGCAGCTTCTCAAGGTACAGATTTGTGTGAACACGAGTCCTGATTTTGTCAGGATCACGCTGTGGGTTGTAAAGCTTCTTTCAACAATCTCAGATACAATAAAAAAAACACTGAAAACACTAACTTATCTGTTTAGGTACTCTGTTGCCACGGTTACCTTCAGAACCTGGGATGACACTACTTACTCTAAAGATAGAGAAGATTGGGTTGAAGGATGCTGGACAGTGCATCGATCCCTACGTCACCGTCAGCGTCAAGGGTACTGCATCCTGCTGGACTTCGGTTTCGGTCCGTTTAGTAAAAACAGTAAAAAAAAAGAAATGGGATTGTTTTTGCATTCTGTCCTCCAGATGTGAACGGTGTGGACTTGAACCCGGCTCAGGACACGCCTGTGGCCACCAGAAAGGAGGACACCTACATTCACTTTAGCGTCGACGTGGAGATCCAGAGACACATAGAGAAATTACCAAAAGGTAAGCGCAGGCGCTAGTCGGGCAGAATGAAATCCGTTCAAATAAAACAGGAAATGGTTCCGCCTCTGCTCAGCAGCGGCATAGAGCCCTGAAAAATCAAAGCAAGGCAGCTGCTTCCTTCATTTATCTAGAAAATAGATGGTGATCCTTTCATTTAAGTGGCAAAAAGTTTTCACAGAGTCCCTTGAGGTGGTACTTTATCTGTGTGCACTCAGTAAAAGTTCCAGATATCCAGGTGGGACCACACACATCATATACATGGATACCCTGTGAGCTGGTGTAGCAGCCGGTCGCCATCTTGAATGGGTCTCCGTTCGCCCCCGGTGCATTTATTTTTACTGAGGAATGTGTTTACACAAAAACACATTTTATTACGCCTTTTCACAAAACCAAACACATTGTATAGTTAAAAATATCACACAAATTAGGCTAGAAAAGTTAATAGTAATCCCACCTGTTCTGTTTTCAATAGTACGCCGGTTGTTACAACCGCTGGCTGCAAAAAAAAAAAAATCGGGCATTGTTGCTAACTGCATTGACTCCAATTGGGTTTGGAGAGTGAAGAACCCACTCAATATGGCGGCCACACTGTTACACTCTCTTACTCACAATGGGGTGTTTATGTATACATGCCTATGGGTGGGACCTCTCTCCGGGGAACATTTGTGTTCTCCTTGTGCGTGTGTTGGTGTTTCCTCAGGTGCATCAGTATAAAAAACAAAAACAAATCCAGACTTCTTTACTTCCTTGTCGTGAGCGCTTCATCAATGCGAGCTAGTTCTCAGATCCCTTCTGAGGGTTTTTGACGTCTTGATCTACGTGTAGAACATTCTGGTTGCGTTCCTGAAGGTGTAGCTTCCTGTGAAACTGACCGGGGATCAGATTTAGAGCTGGATCAGATTTAGAGCTGCATGGTTAGTTTTGGCGAGTTGAAACCGAAGACAACCTCCTTAATGTTTTGACAAAGATGTTTTTTTATTTTTAAAGAAAGTAAAGAAGTCCAGTCACTCTAGGATCACCACGCGCTGGACGACTAAAACCTTCACCTGCAAGTTTGCAGGCGAACGTTTTCGATTCAAACTCAAACGCAAAGATCTTTGTGGGTTTGGTTCAAACTTTTTTCTCTGCATCAACCTGTTTCTGTAGCTTCTGCTGGTTTTCCACCAATCTATTTTTCACGGATTCTTCCAGGAGCGGCTATCTTCTTTGAGTTCAAGCACTACAAGCCCAAAAAGAGGTTCACCAGCACAAAGTGTTTCGCCTTCATGGAAATGGACGAGATCAAACCGGGACCGATCGTGATCGAGCTGTGAGCATTTCTCAAAGTGATTCGAAAAAGAAAGTAAATAAAATACGAAATAAAATTCTTATTCTTGTTTGGATTTCAGGTACAAGAAGCCGACGGATTTTAAGAGGAAGAAACTGCAGCTTCTCACGAAGAAACCACTTTATCTCCACCTTCATCAGACACTACACAAGGACAACTGACTCCTCATCAGCAATACCAAATCCAGGTGGTGGTGTTTTCCACGAGTATGTGAACAAAATAACACTAACTGATCTGGATGTTCCTCACATGCAGCTCAGTAAAACCTTATAAACGCTGTTTTATTTTATATTTTAACAACTTGTAGCACATTAAAGCCGTCAAAACCACCTCATGTTCAGTCTTCCACCTTTAGATCCGATTTTTCTTTTTTAGGGACACTGGTGAGTTTTAGTTTGACTTTGCATAACTGGACTCTGGACTTTAAACCAAAAACCAGCCAAACATTAACCCCTTAGTTGCCATTTGAGAGGGAATAACCAATATTTGCACTTTTATTACAAACGAAGGAGATTTGTTTAAAATGACCCATCTTAATTGTTTGAGGCGCTGATGCCATTCAGCTGAATTTTTTTAATTAACCTTAGGATTTGTGGAAGCTAAGGGGTTAATGTCAGAGCCAGAAGTGTCCTAAACTGTTGATTTAAACGCAAACATCAAGCATTTGTCATAACGTTCACCATATGTTCAAATTGATTGCCTCACAATGGCTTTGAATCATGAATTAACAGATTTTTAACTGGAATTCAGGTGTAACAACAGTTCATGAATGTATTTTTGTGCACATTTAACATCTTTGTATTGTTTTGCTTTAACATCTTTAGTAACATTTCTGTAGTGGCTTTAATTTATCAACAAATCTTTTTTTTATGTAAATTTGGAGGAAAAAATGAACCCATCTGCTCATTTTAACGTCATCACATCTTTTTTTTATTAAAACATTTTAGCACTAAATAATGGGATATAAACGAAGCCATCTTTTTGTTTAATTTTTTCAAACAACCATAAATACAAATGTATCACTAAACAATTCCCGCCAAACTAGTTTTTACTGGTTATAAGTTTGAATCACGTTTTTATATGTTCGTATACTGTATGTGTGTTTAATTGAGTTGTACTACATGTATTATAGTACCTTAAATCATTTTAAAGTATTTAATACTCAGCAAATGTTTCATAAATAAAATGAATGCCCTGCGAGGACTTTAATGTTCTAATTCAGTATTAAAGCTTTACGTCCTTTGAGAGAAGAAAATAAATACTGGATGGTTTCTGTTTTAATAAAATAATCAGAACAGCAGTTCATGTTGGATCTGCTGCAACTTTTCAGACGGTTTATCTCAGACCTGTGATCAGAAAGTTGCATTAATCTTTACCAGAGCAGAAATGTTCAGAACAAAGCTTTTATTGTGAAAGGTCAGGGCTGTTGATGTGACGTCAGATCGGCTTTTTAGATATAATTTTTCTAACTTAAAAAAAAACCCGTGGATGTCGGATTTTTTTTTACTGATTTAAAATTAACCCACACATTTGTTTTTAACTTCTAATAAATTAAGATAGTGAATTTTACATGTAATCCATGCAGCATTATGCACTTTTAAACTTCCCAATAATAGTCACGCCCATCTACTTCCGGACCATGGGTCCTCGGAAAAAGATAAATTGAATGAAAGGCGCTATCCTGTTTGTTATGACAGATTTAACAAACGATGTCCATGAATTTTAAAGAGATATTCTGATGTCAAGAAAGCGCCTAGCTTCGAAAGGGCGCAAACAAGAGTATTTTAAGTTTTGTGTGAAAATACGTCCAGGACTACAAGTGTGCATCACCAAATTGACGTCGTCGAACCACACACGGAGAGAAAAACGAAGAAAAATGGCTGTAAGATCTTCTCGTAAGATTTGCGAGCTTTGAATTCTTTCAGGAGGAAAAGAGAACTACCACAAACATTGCCATGTGGCAAGGTGGCAGCTACGTTAAGGCCAGAGAAAAATTGTGTGGTGACGTCACTTATGCGTCATTTTTACGTCTAATTCGTAGTCATAAATACGAATTTTTAGAAACTAAATCTCAAAGTACTGGCGACTGGCGTGGTCGAAACACACATTTACGTTTCGTTTAAATTGAAGTACAACACATGTGCGATCCCGGTGCGTAAAGCAAAGCGGATTAGCAAATAGCTCATACATTTTTCGTTCTTCTGGGGACCCACGAGCTGCCCGGAAAGGGAGGAGACATTAGTTTAAAATCAGCAAATAAAACATAACACACCTACACAGACACACACACACACACAAAAAAAAAAAAAAAAAAAAAAAGAAATTACTTCCCTATTCCTCCAATTGCTCTCAGACACGATGTTGAATTTAAATCTTTAGTTATCCGTGTAAAAATCTCACAGTATTTATGAAAATTTAATATCCAGCTGTGACTGATGAAAGCAGAAATATCAGAACATGCGAGTAAAAAAATACATCAGACTTGAAAAAAAGTGGTTTTATTTTACTTTACTGAAGCTAAAACTTCATCTTCAGTCGTTTTTGGGGTAAATTATTCATGTTTAAATTTGTAAAAATTAAACTAAATCGTATTTTTTTCCCTCTAAAGCCCATAAAACAGCTGATAACACTGACATCATTTACAGTCTTTATTATTAAAAGTTTCAACATAGTAAAATAATTTATAAATCTGCCTTTCAAATTACACATTTACTTTACAACTGGAGTTCCTGAAATGCTCAAACTTAAACCTTTGTGTTTTTTAAATTTCCACAGGAAACAACATTAAAAATGTGCCCCTTAAAATTAATTTCCATGTTTAAAAAATGATGAACTGAAGTATTATTGCACAATAAGCGGTTATTTGAGTCTCCCTCTCACTGACGATTCCTTAGATTTTATTTTTAACAACAGAAATTTGAAAACCATGATGACTTATTTTTTTGGACTAAATTCTGGGTCTTGATCGGGTTGGGGATGCTGCGGCTGGTGGTGTTTAAGGCTCGACCATAGAGTCCTGAGGAGCCTCCTGCTTCATGTGTGGGTCCTGGCTGGGGCCGTTCTGAGGGCCCGCCTGGCTGTACGTGTCACCAGGGTGAGCAGGAAAGGGCGGGACACCTCGAGGCATGTCCTTCGGTGGACTGGTGTGATCTCGTGGTCCTTGGTAACGCATGTCAGGAGGGGGGACGGGTGGACGAGGTCCCATAGGCCCTCGGACTCCTAAGGGTGATTAAAATAAAGACACTCAGCTTCTTTTATTAATATGAAACTAAGCAGGTGACAGAAAACAAAACAATCAGAGTTCATTTCTGATCAACGACGGAACGTACCGGGTGGTAGATGCATTGAGGGATGGAAATGTGGTGGTGGGGGACACCGAGGATCACCTAAAGGTCCAGGAGGACCCAACCTGGGGTGGAATACAAGTCCATTGGCAGCTCGAGGTCCAAACTCTCCCCCCATGGGTCCAGGTAGGGGCATACCTGGGTGTCCGTTAGCAGGAAGAGGTGGACCGTGATAGGGAAGAGGGACATTTGGAGGAAGAGGACCAGGTGGGAGTTGGTAAGGACCTGGTCGAGGTGGTCTGTAAGGTCCGGGTGGCGGCAGGCGGACGGTGGGTCCAGGAGGGAGTAGAGGGTCATGGGGTCCAGGTGGGGGTCCTTGGACCATGGGGCCGGGGGAGTCTCTGACTGGAGACACCAGGAAGGACCCAGGTCCCTGAAACGTCATGCGAAAAAAGGTTTTTCTTTCATTTTTGTTCGAGTTTAGACGGATTAAATTGTTAAGCCTAGTTTATGCTTCTGCGTCGGTGCAGATATGCACACTGTCATTATCGTCCTTGCGAGGGCTCTCCAGCAGGCTCGCGGGTACGAACCCGCTTTTCTAAACATCCGCCCGGCAAGACGGAAAACCCAAGCTTGTGATTGGTCAGGACGCCGCTTTTGTCAACAGCACCGCCATTATGCCCTCAAAACCATAGAGAGAGCCAAAGATATCTAGCAGTAGACACAAAGCAGCTACAAGAACAGCTTGCGGAAAGACTAAAAATATGAACGTTTTATTCGTGGACGGAGATGACGGGAAACCTGAGTTTAAAGGTGGCAAGTGCATGAAGAGGTGGAGAGAATGAGGGACAAAATTGTCCGTGTTAAAAGTTTCTGAAATACAAAAACACAATAGTAATCTTGGACAGGATACCCCAAACCAGCGCTACGCCCTCTATTGCCCTGGTGGGGAATTGCTTTGCAACACTCCCCAGGAGAAGGAGGTCCAAGGGCAAAATGTCTGAGTGCATCTCTCCCTAGTAGAGAAGCATAAACTAGGCTTTAGTCGTGCAGTTAAGAGGTCAATGAACCACCAAGTTTACTCCCAAACAAGAAGTGCTTTAAGCCAGAACTCAATCAAATGAACAGGAACCCAGATGGTTGGGTGAGAAGTCAGACCCCCTTTTTGCCACACATACTCAGTTACCCCAAAATTCCACTACCTCCGCCCCGCCCCCGCCTTCCGCAGTCGCTCGCTTCTGAACTCAATTTTTACTGGTACCCGCTCTACAACGGCTCCGCTCCGGTGCGGAGACCTGAGGTGCGCAAACAGGCATGCGCGGGATTTTCGAGATCTTGCGATACAGTCCAAGCAATAAATGCGGAAGTTAGATCCAAACACCCGATGTGTGGGAGAAGCATCGAAATGAACGGTTTAATCTGCCCATCATTTGTGTTGAGAGATCAGCAGTGTTTGGATCAACAAAGTGTGACTACTTTGATAGTAGAAACTGTATTTATGGCTTATTTTTGTGCATTTAAAGTTCAACCACCATTGATAGTTGTTAAAAGTTGTTAAACCTGTGCATATGAAACAAAAAATGCTTTTTGTTTATCAATTTATTGTGAAATTACGGAAGTTGTGCTTGCTCCTTTTCCTGTTGGGCGGCTGTGATTTCTGTCCATTGACTGCGGAGGTGCTCCGGCGTCCAGCAAAAATAGAATCGATCCTATTTTTGCCGGATGGCGGAAGGCGGCCGCAGTAGTGGAACAGCTCTGATTGACTACAACGGGACCGTTTTTGCTGCGGAGTTCGTGCCGGAGCGGAGGTAGTGGAATTTTGGGGTTACACATAAACCCACACACGTGCTGCTGCATCCGTCAGCGTCGTACGTGAAACCACAAACTCAGCCAGAAAACACTGTTACATCATTCCCAAAAACGCCTTCAGGACATCCAGGTGGAGTCGGAGCGCCTTCATACTCACAGGCTCTGGACTCTCTGTGGAAGCCACAGCCTGAGTTTCTGCTTTGATCTGTGGATCTACGTCTGTCGTCTGTTTCTGAGCAAAGACACGTGCAACTGGAATTTAAGTCAAAGCTCCGGGTCTATGGGTGGGAGGCGGGTTACTATGAATGAAGTGGTCATTTCTGATAAATGAGCGACTTACAGTTACATCCAGGTTGGCTGGAGACGAGCTCCGGGGACCCATCATGTCTGAAAGGGAAAAAATAAAAACAAAATATACCATTAAGATCAAAACAACAGGGAAGTACGGGGAAACGACTTCAAAAGGACACCTACCCATCCCAGAGATGTGTTTGTTGTCAGGGTAACAACCATGTGGATCAGATGGAGGGCGAGGACCTGAAAAAGGGACATTTATTAGGAGTCTCCATGGAAACAACCATGAAAAGAAATCAGGTCAAATAATTATGTGTACAAATTCAAACCATCTTCTCCCACTTGACTCTGCTGTAAGATGGCACAAAAAAAAAGATGGTTCGACTGAGAAAAGGAAATCAGGGAGGAGGCGGGTGCAAGACACGATGCTGACAAGGAGGAAGTAAAGGAAAAGGTCAAAGGGAAAGAGCTGAAAAGAAATGAAAACAAGCGAAGAAGAGAAAAAAGGTTTAAAGACGTGGAAGTAAAGAGGGGATGATGTCCAAACTGGAGGTGAAGGGATCCGATCGGACTCACCAAACGGGTCGCTTCTTCGCCCGACCGGGGCAGAAGGAGGGCGTCTGGGACCCTCGATCATTATAGGAGGGGATGGAGCACCCCCACTCACAGGAGAGGGCCCGTATGAATCACCTGTTATGACCAAACCGTCAGTTTACTCCTGACAAGTACAATTACCATCAAGAGTTTCAGAGAGTTTTGTCTTTTTCTGCAGGTCTAGAAGCAGACTCGTTCATTGTTTATTTTTGTGGAACCCCCCCCCCCCCCTCCTCTCTCTCCACCTTTTCTCTTCCTTTCTCTTTCACCTCTGTCTCCGTGTCTGGTCGGAATTACAAAGCATTCAAAAACAATAACAATAAAGTTTTAAGTATCAGGCGTGACATTAAAAGCAAATGCTTTGATGCTCCACCTGAGAATAAATCTGTAAGGCTTGTCACCAGCATTCAGACATCAATTCTGCTTGCTTCACAGCCAGACAGGACACGGTAAAAAAAAAAAAAAAAAAAAAAAAAGTTTCAGAGAGCTCTCCGATCAGGGTTCTGCCCAGTAAACGTGGAAGGAATATAAAACAAAACCCAAAAGCTCTTCTGTCCTGTTGAAAGGAAATAAAGCACACAGCAGCGTGTTTGTGTGCTCACCTTGGCGAGGACCCGCGGGCTGACCGGGATTGGGCCTGAAGAGAGGAGCGCGGCGCTCATTAAGCTGAGAGGTGAGAACAGCCAACCTGAAGTCGCACAAACGGGTCAGAACCACTCGTTACATCCCGAGTTTGATTCCATTTGAACAGTTAGAAATAATATTAAGTTGTTCAAAAGAAAATAGAATCAAACGGACTTTTCTCGCAACTTTGATGACTCGAGCTTCTCCTGGCTTAGAGCTCGCTCTGCATTTCGAGCGTTCACCTGGAAAAAAAAAAGTGAGAAATTAGTCTGAAAAATCTGACAGAACTGGATTTAACGAGAAAAAAATCTACGCAGCTTACCCAGTTGGAGTGGGTTTTATTTTCCTGCTCTTTTACCTGAAAGAAAAGTAAAGTTCAGCCTGGGTTGACTTTTCTGTATCGGCTCTGGTTTATTTTAGGTGTTTATCAGACTCGACCTGCTCTTTATAGACTTCTTCCGTCTTCTTCATCTGCTCCTCCATCTCGTTGATGCGCTGCCGTAAGAGTTTTACCTGCTCCTCTGCTTCCAGAGCTTTACCTCCCACTTCAGACAGCAGGTTCTCTTTGCTGCGTCGCTCCAGCTCCTCCTTGGTAAGTCTCCTGTGAAGCAACAGAGAAAATCACCAACTTCCTAACACAGGAAACTCTAGTAAAGGCACCAAAACCGCGGTTGGCCTCACGTACTGCTGCAGGGCGTTTTCTTTCTGTTGGTACATCTCAACCATGATTTCATTTTTCTGCTGGAGGATCTTAAACTGGCTTTCGACCTGGCTCTTCTCGCTTTTTAACGATCCGATTGTGTGTTCCAGCTCCTGGTGCTTTTCTGACGGTTGAATGGGAAGTGTTTGTTAGCTCGTGTAGATTATCCATCCTCTAAAATGTTCTTTCAGAGACAAACTTACCTTCTAATTCCTTTCTAGACTTTTCTTCATTAAGTAACTTGGCCATAAAGCGGTCCCGCTCTTCTTCGACAACAGTGAGGGTGGTCTGAATCTGCCGAATATTGAAATAAAACTCAGTCATCCAACACTAAAGGGGAACATTTATCATCTTAATTGTGATGAAGAGCGTGTCTTACCCTGGAAACATCCATCATCTGCTTGATTCTGTTTTTTATGACCGTATTTTTATCTGTAAACGACACAGGTCAGACACTTCTAGGGAAAAATAAAGCTTCTTTTGTTTCATCTAGCCACAAACTCACCAGATGCAACTTCGCCGTTCGCTAAAACTTTGGCTTCCCCTTTCTGAAGACCGCAAGCGTCCAGGTCTACCAGAAGGTCCGACAGCACCTAAAGATGAAGTTTTAACCTTCTGTCATGATCCTGTTGCACCAGTCCAGAAACATCTCAACAGTATAAAAAAAAACCTGACCTCCAGGTTGTGATCTTTCAGCATCACAGAGTCCTCCAGCTCTTTCTGGGACTTTTGGTAAACTTTAATCTTCTCATTCAGCTCTTTGTGCTTTTCCTCCCAGCTTTTAATGGTTGCTTTGAGCTGTAGAGATGATCAGGGTCAGAGGTGAAACCTCAAAAAAGGTGTTCAGTACTAAGAGAAGCGCGTCATCGTACCGTTTTGTTCTCTTCTTTCAGGGCAGTAAAATCTTTCTGTAGACTTTTCTGTTGAGCGTTTCGTGCATCTTCACGGATCTTAGCCTCGTCCAACAGAACGGTCGTCTACAACAAAAATAGGTTTTTGTATCACAAAGACAGATTATAATAATAATAAAACTAGAGTATTTAAGTTCAAATCAAAGTCTGAACCTTAGTGAGTGCCTCTTGGATCTTTTTCCTGCTCAGCTGCAACTTCTCTTTTGATTTCTCCAACTTTTCAATCTGGAAAATTTAAAACAATCATAAATCAGCCTCCTTTTTCTGTAAAAGCCAAAATAATGAGAAAAGAAATTCAACACTTACCCTACTTTCGGTTTCTAAAGAGAGAGTGCGCTCTTCTTCGAGCAGTTTTGCATATTTATTCTTTTCTTCAATCATCTGATCGTTAATCTTTTCTGATTCTGAAACTTTACTCTGCAGAAAAAGGCAACAAATATGTTAAAAAAACATATTAATTTGTGGGTAAAACTGACTCGTTACATACAAAAGCCACTGAGTTTAAGCTTTTATTCTATAAATAAAATGCTTGACCACAATGTAACTAAAATACACATTTTCGTCCATAATGCTCACCTCCAAGTCTTGAATTCTTTTCATTTTGGAACTAATATTTTCTTTTGATTGTTTCTGACTTTCTTTCAGCTGTTCAGTCTTAGAAAAAGAAAGAAGCACAAGTTTTATTAATTCATTTTTCATTGACACATACTCCCACGTACCCTGTAGCTCACCTGCTTCTGAAGTGCAGATATTTTGGCGAGAGCACTCGTTTTCTCTTTAATAAGAGCCTGGATTTGCTCTTTGAGTTTTTTGTCATCCACTTTTTTTGTTGCCCCCCAACAACAAAAACATGATAAATGAGACTTCACACAAGTTTATTTTGTGATTAAATGTAAAAATGAAACAACAACTCACCAAGGTATTCTCTCTTCTTTACCTAAAATAAAATTCAAAAAGGTCAACAATGATTTGGCACAATTACCTAATTTAATGTTGTTTTGGGCAAATTAAGCATCAAAGACTAGCATATCAATATGGTTTTGACATAAAAACATAAATATACCAACACCTACTGCCAGTATAGTCCTCCAGAAGAAGAGGATGAAGGTGAACACTCCAACAAAAGCAGTGATTACAACAGCCTGCCAGGGAACACCGAACAACGTCTCCCCTGGCTTCCACTCCTCGGGTAGCAAAGAAATCATCTGAAGAACAACACCAACTTTTACACTAAATAAAGCATGCTTACAAAAACGGTTCAGCGTTTAAAAAAAACATTAACATCTTTGTCATTTTTCTTTTCATGCACCAAATCTGAAGGACATTGTCAAACAAACAAGGGCAAATGTTAAAAGACAAAGAAATCCACTTAAGGCCAACCTAAAAGAGAACTCTCAATATTTGAAAAAACCCTTAGACTGGGATAAAGTGTATTTATGAACCAAAATGCAAACAGTAAGAGGTCAAGTAGACCTTTACCTTAATTGTACCATGATCACATCAAGCTAGCACCCTAACTGAAGCATTAGCATACAAATTACTCACAAAACTTCTAGAAAATATTTTTTAAATCCTTGTCTGTATGTCTACAGCTTCACTTAAATAACAATTCTAGTTTTTTATTATCCTAAAAGTGTCAACACCTCCTGGCCTGTGCATTTTGGTTCAGCTACACTTTTGAACCTCTTTAGACATGAGAACACTCCAGTAAAGTCCACATATTACAGTTCAGCTAACATAACACATGCAATATCCAACATCCTCTTTTCAGCATGCTCACCAAACACGCTTGAGCAAGTCCCCTTGTCCAAAACGTAACTATTAAAATGATCATCAAACTCGGAAAACATCATTGAAACAAGAAATTGAAAATATCAAATATATTCACAATGTAAATCCAGCAGCAACAAGTCTGTTTTCATCAGCCACATGCTTAACTACACGTCAGCAGGCCAGACCAGCATTAATAATATTGAACACGAGTGCTCAGATGAATAAAATAATAACTTACATGCTGCAGCTCCCTTAGAAGGAACACATATATGTGATCTGGCTCCATTAAAGGTGGTTTGGGGAGTTTTTCACTCTCCACGCTCATGTTAAAAACTAGAGAGCAAGCCTAGAGCTTCTCTGGCAGATATTAGCTCTCTTGCTAGCCGGTTAGCTATATTCGAAGTAATCTCTATAGCTAAATTAACGCTAGGGTGTGCGTGGCAGTTAAGTACTACTTGCCCGAAAAACAAAATAATGTTCATACGAGCACTGCAAATGTTAAAGCAGCCGATAACAGATGCTAATCAACAGCAGCTCCGTAATCAGCAGTCATTCACCATTGCTAGCAAAACAAAACAAACATTAGCTTAGCTAGGAGTTCAACTATCTACGAATGTTATGGCGAATAAAGGCAGGAAATAAATAAACTATCCAACAGGCAAAATTATGTAACACGGCGGTATATTCGTAGTACTGCCTTCCAAAATAAGGCCCTCCGTAGTTCCACTAAAGCCAGCTCAGCACCAGCTGTGTTGAACTTCAGCCTACACGACGATGGTCAACTGGCAGGGGGAGGACGGGAGGCGTTCAGGGGAAATCGGAAGTTCCAAAAACAAACAAAAGCATCTAGAAAAACAGGCAATTCGATGATGCGTTCAAAGCAGATTTGTAATAATAGCTCATTAACCCTAAAGGGATTATATTTCACTTCCTGTGATATCATTTGCCAAGATGAACCTTCATTAACCTAATGTGTTTCCTTGACCAAAATCTTCTTAAACTCTAACCACAAATCTAATAATAATTCAGATAAACAAGCAACGCAGTGACTCTCACCCAAAGTCAAATCACAACCATTCTGACACTTCCTGTATAAGGGCATGTTACTGTTGCATGACAAAAGTGCAAGTATTTCTCAAACTTACCACATCGGTCCACTTTGCAGTTTTATTCTTAACTACAGAGAAGAGGCAGCCCACGTAAACAATTCCAGTTGTGAACAACCCACTTTCCTCCTCGTGTGTATCACTCTCTGTCCTCATCGAATCCACGGATCCTTCTGAGAGAAAAGTTGCAGTTAATTTATGTTAGTCGTTGTATTTACTCTCAGCTAAACATTTCATTTAAAATGTTAAGAATAATCTCATTATGGCTATATCAGTGGGGGATTCAGAATGTCACATACAAGCAGAGAGCTTGGCAAAAAAACAAAAAAAAAAAAACTGAACTACTAAACAAGGAAGCAGCTTTGCTTTCCTGTAAAACCAACTGACTTCATAAAAAATAAATAAATAAATAAACTAACTACGGTCAGATAACCAACCCAATGGGAAGTGTTCAGTTTCACTTGGAGCCTTGAGGGTTGCATCTAGTGGTGTCTCCACGGTGGCAGATGGGGCCTCTTGCTCCTCGTCAGGGACGGTGAACGTCGGCTGATCGTTTTTGTTTTCATTAAGGTGTTTGTGATCCTCCTCTACGCTGACATCTGGTCTTAGAGTCACTTCCTCCTGAACTTTTTCCTCCTCTGCAAGCTTGGCTGGCTTTTCCTCATACGTTGCAGTGAGATTGTCATCAGGAAAGATTTCAGGGGGGTTGTTGACGTTTTCTTCGATGAGGTGGGGTGAGTCTTCTTCAACATTCAACTGAAGTTTATCTGAAATTTAAACAACATAAAAAAGAAAAACTAATTACAGGATTAATCACAAATTATTTTTCAAATCTTAAAAGTCTGCCTCCACTTAAATCTACTTTCTGACTAAATCACAGATGGACCAACCTCACAACAGCCCTAATTTACACGGAATCAAAAAGAATCTACAAAGCAGACCAACCGTGCACGTTGTCCAAAGAGATTTCTGTTGCTAAAGGTGCGCTGTCGGTTAACGTGGAGTATTTTCGTCGCAGGCTGAAAGCAAGCTCTTGAAAGTCATCAAGTAATTCCATTTCCTCATCCAAGTTACTCGTGTCCATGCTGTGCTCATCCATCTGTTTTGCATCCCGGTGATCCAGCATCTTCTCAATCTCGTCCAGTATGGTGTTTTCAGAGGCTTCCAGGATGCTGTCAAGTACGATTTCGATGTCCTGCATTGTGCTTGTTTGAGCCAAACGAGTAGCCTGCAACTCTGTGTCCAGATCAGAGAACATGGCCTCGATTCTGTACAGATTCTTTAGACCCAGAAGCTTCTGAACCAGCTCCATCCTCTCTTCTGAAAAGTGGTCTCTAATCAGAGTTAGTCTCATTATGCTGTCACTGTACTCTGGCTCTGACTCAGCTGGCTGCTTTGGTTCAGATGGGGGTTCATCGGCATGTGGGTCATCAGACTGTGACTTAAAAAGTTCATTTTCATCTTCAAGTAACTCCTCCTTTTCTTCATTATCATCCTGCTCCATCTCTGTTGCTCTGACATCTTCTTCCTCTTCTGTTTGGGATTGTTCTTGGATCTCTGCCTCCTCTACAGATGATCCTATTTGACTTTTGTTACCTTCCACAGAAATCTGATCAGGGAGCTTGTCATCTACTGCATGCTGGTCAGTTTTGACTTCCGAATCAGCAGAAGGCTCCTGATCGATTTCACTTCTGGTAACGACCGATTCTTGACCAATTACAGTGTTTTCATCCAACGAGTTATTTAAGTCCTGCTTTGCCGTAACGCTACTGCCCTTTATATCATCGTTCTCATTTACTTCTGTATCTTTTGACTCCAGTTCTTCTTCGATGTCTTTTTTGTCCTCAATGTTTTCATGAGCCGTTTTAATATCAGATTGTTCACCATCAGGTAGGCTAACAATGTCCTCTTCTGATGCCATATCCATGGACACGCTACTATCTTCGGTTTGGTGGTGCTCCGGCTCCTCGTCTGTTGGTTTTAATGTTTCGTTTAAGGCTTCTTCACTTTTGATGACTTCATTGACACTTTCATCATCTCCTCTGAGCAGGTTTCGGTCAGAGTTGTTTGTATTTTCTGGAACTTCCTGCCCCATGTTGTAAAAATGAGAAGGATCTTGGGGAACTGTTGTTGTGTTGGCGTCTTGGGATTCAGATAAAAGTGGTTCAGCTTCTGTTTTCTCTAAATTCTCTTGGATTTCCGATTTAGTGTCCTTCAGATCCTCCTCCTCGTCGTCATCTTCTTCATCAGAACTCTCATCTCCTGCTGTGACCTCTCCTCCGGTTACAACTGAGAACATAGTATCTCCGATTGAAGTCCACAGGTTCTTCTTCTCTTCTCCAAGTGGTTCATCATCCTGTTTCTTCAAAGGATCTATTGCTGGGTCCTCCGCGGAAAAAGCCAGGAGTGGAATTTCCTCTTCATCATCCGTGACAGCATCCTGGTGATCTGCCGTGTCTTCCTTGTCCTCTTCTTGCGGAGTGACTTTTGTGGTTGATTCCTCATGAGTGACGACTGCATCAAAAGTTGATCCAAGGGAAGTTTTCAATTCGGGGATCTGCATTCCTTTAGAAACGGATACTTGTTCGTTAAAGTCGCCTCGGAGCACAGATTCCACTTCGGGTGTAGAGGGTTCTTTTTTGGTTTCGCTTCTTTCAGACACATTTTCCAGAGAAGACTCTACTCCAAAATGTTGCTGACCTTTTTCCTCTTCCACAACATCAGGCACAAGCTCTGCACCAGACTCTACGTCTCTTATTAAAGGTGATGATGTGTTGAGTTCAGCTTGAGGTACAGAGGCACTTTGATCATCAGGAACTTTCCCAACATCCTCAGAGTTATCATGATGCTCTATTGGTTTTACAATCTCAGTCTCTCGTTCTTCTGATGGCTGCATTTCTGTATCTGTGCTCTCTGACTCTTGGTTTTTGACAGATGTTTCATTATTTTCCCCGTCGCTCTTCTCCATCGACGGGGCTAAGAGCGCATCTATGTCGTAAATGTCAAATTTATCATAACCAGTCTCAAAACAGACAAAATCTGTTTCCTATGAACAAAAAGAAAAATACACGATTGTTGAATGTTTTCAGGTCAAAATTTAAAAGCATGTTTCATTGAATCAAACTAAAAATCTGCAGGTTTTCTATTTTCTCACACCTCTGCTGGAACTTCAAGTTCTTTGTCAGTATAAAGGTGGTTTACTGCAAGGAGGTCCTTTGGAAAATAGCCAAAACTGTTTCCGACCTTTAAAACAAGAGACAGTGTTGATTATTAGAACTATATGTTAATCTAAATGAAAAACACAAAGCAGTAAATATTACTGTACACTTACACTTCCAGCCCACATGTCAGCCCTTCTTCCAGAAAGTTTGTAGTAAACATATATAGTTTCAGATTTCTTGAACGAAAGGAACCGACAATCAGGTCCTGAGAAATCTTTCACAGCTCTCCCTCGACATAGAAGCACTGGAAAAGCAAAACACTGTTATTAGTAACATTAATGAAAAGGGGTGCACCGAATGCAGTTTTTGGCTGATGACGAGCAAAACCTGACTTGCCGATACAGATTTTGTCTCAACTAAAAGCAGATTATGTCAATGTTTCAATTTCCTTTAATTGAGAAAACCAATATGAATACTCATGAAACAATACCAGTTTCAACTGGACATGAGGTAATGTTCTCAAATATAAATGAACATATTTAGCATTGCTGTTTGAACGACAAAATCATATTTGTTCCTTTAGACTTTAATTTTTCTAATTTTGAAAACCAAACTTTTGTACCTGTTTTGACACACTTGCTCAAAATAGATATTATATAGCAATGATTTGCTTTAACATAAACTAGCAGTGCACAGATTGCAGTTTTTGTCCGATCACTGATCTTGAAATTAAAAAAAAAAAAAAAAAAAAAAACAGCGATCGCTGCACTCCTATTAATGATTCACATATATTTTGAAAATGGAAGACCACGAAAATTAGCAAATTGTCTGTCTCTATACTGTGATGTTGAAGGGATTCTCTTTGTGTGGTTAATTAGAAAATTAAGTTTCCTTTTAGATCATCAGCTCTTGACAACATTTTTAAGGATTTAATCAGTTAGCATGATTCCCTATAGCTAGACATTCAAACAGATTCAGCACAAAATCAGTCACTTCCAGTTAAAATTTTAACTCACAAAACCAGAAAGGTGTTGGGCAAGTAAATCGCAAAAAATAAATAGCAAAAATAAACATGTAACATAAAATAGACTACTAAAAATTTGATTTAGAAATCAACAATCAACTAATTTGCTTTAAAAAGTCAGCTTTTTAATTCATTTTCTAGTCGACTTCTGATTTTGTTTCCAAAGTGGTGAAATAAATTTAAAACACACACATACAACCAGACTAAACGAACCAAAGGTGATAAATAAAGGCTGGACAGCGATTTCTGACTGAATATTAGCTAACAAAGCAGGATGAAAGTGCGTGTCACAGCAGGGGTACAGTTTTCGCTACAACACCTGCCGGTGCGGTGGCTAATTTGTTGCTAACGTTAGCTTTCGCTTCCACCACCCAGCGAGGCAGGCCGGAGCTTGCGGCTAAACATTGTAGGCACTAGGCAAACAAACGACTTTATAAAGCTAAAGTTACCCGACATTCACCATTTATTACACAACTAAACGGCCTCGGAACAACCACAGGAGGCGGTCAAGGTCGCACTTATCGACTGGCAACACGTCAAGAGATAAGGCGCAGTTTATGACTAGCCGTAGTGTCGGGATGAGAGAAAAAGATGCATCCTTGAAAATTCCCTCAATGGCTACGTAGAAGCAAAACTTACTGCTGCACTCCATGTCGGCGCATCTTTTAAAGTCGGAGAACTTTCTCTCTAAGCCCGTGGCTGATATAAAGTAACATAAAATTAACAAGCAGCCCTGTAGGTAAAAATGTTTTGCTGCCATGTTGGCAGTTTTGGTAGCCTGGCTTCTTGACTCCGCCGCTGGAGCGCGAGGCGAGCTCAGCTCTGCTCTGCTCTGCTGCAGGAGCCAGGAGGAGCGGACACGTCAGCAGATCGGATCCGGCTGGGTGTAGACCTCAGATCGCTTTTCACACGATCCAATGAGGGGGTTTGATTTGGGTTCTTGTCAACAATCTCAAGTGCATGTGGAGATATGATTAAATAACAGCTTGTTGGTACATCTTACTACTTATAATAAATGCAGAATTTTCCGTCTATGGCCCATATGGAATTTGATGCATTTTATTTAGAAGTGTTTTCTCTGCAACGATTTAGAAGAAAAATGTCAAATGTAAAGTATGCATTAGTACAATGTAAACTTGACTTTACTTTTATTTACAAACGGAGCGTTAAGATAAAATAACTTTCATTTTTATGAGAAAGTTTCTACATTTCCATATTTTACAGGATACAGTTTACATGCACATGTACCATGTTTCATTCCAAGTGATACTTTGTGTCATATTTTACACTTTAACAAAACGTTGTTTGATATTTAATACAGAAATACTCATCCAAGGTGCAGCTAAGTATTGGTCTTTGGGTGCTGCCATAATTTTTTGTGCTTTTATTTATGTGACAGTGTTTTATTGAGGCTTTGTTTGATTTGCATTTGTTCTCATGAACTGTATCCGTATCTGTTTTTCTAAGGTGGTTCTCCCCACACACCAGGATTTGTTGGCTTTTATCCACACTTTGGTTATTTCCCTGAGTGCCAATGTGATTTTTTATTTACAGATTATTACAGATTAGTTTTCTCCCTCCAAAGGCAGGAGTTGGAGTCTTTCCAGTTTTTGGTCACACTTAATGATGCCCACATTAGCAAAAAATGACAACATTTAGACATAAATCATGAACTAATGGCCCCTTCCAAACTGGTTGATAAGCATAAAAATGTTTCTTGAAACTAAGGAGGCAAATAATGGACGGAACTCTTCTGTTTCAAGTAATCATATTTTTATGTTTGACATGGAAGTAATATGCATTATTATAAAAGTAAAAAATAGTTGTTAATCGTGGTACAACTTCTTTTTATTTATTTATTTATATATTTATACATTTATTTATTATTATTATTTTTACCTTTGTCAGTGGATAAAGTTAAAAGCACCACCAAAATAAAAAGCCAAAATGTCAACTTTTTTACTGTTGTATCTTTTTGTCATTTTCACAGGATTGAGAATCGATTGTTTAACAAGTAATTAAAGCACATCCTACTACATAAAAGCTTGTTACTCTGCATATTTTTGTTTGAACTTTCTATGATAGACCAATTGCTTGATTTAACCCTTTGATGCATAATGGTCACTACAGTGGACAGGTACTTAAAATTGTTATTTATTTATTTTTGCTATTAAGCACAGCTGTTGAAGACTTTATTGCATTTGAACCCCTCCATCTGTACTTCAGTAAGTCAAGCCAACACTTTTCATGTTCAGATTGCACACTGTCCACTGAGGTGGACATGTAATAAATTATTTGTAAATTAAATTTTACAAAAAATATGTAAATATGAAATTTGTTTCATTCACACCTAAAGATGAATGAAAAAAATTGTTTAAAAAATCATGGTTAACGATTTCATAATTCATGCATCAAAGGGTTAAATAGTTTTGTAAGATCATCTTTGTAGATTATTTCTCATGTTTATTAGGCCATTTTGGAACCACTATTTTTCCATTTTGGGGCGTTTTAGTCCTCCTTATGGCAACTATTTCTAGTGATTTCTTTTAAAAAGCTCGGAACATGTTTAGTCTGGCTTACCTCCCTCTTCCTCACCAACTTCTTTTTATGCTAGTGTTTATGTATTTTTCGGCCTCCAGTGTTGTTCAGTTTTATTCCTATGTTTAATCTTGAATTTTTATTATTATCTTTTTAATCAAATGTTTAGCGCTTGCAAAGCGTGTTGTGACTTTTATTTAGAAAAGCCCCAATGTAATATCAGCTCCGCCTTTTCCGGTGTAGTTAACCAATAGCATTGCAGCTTTCTCCCCAGCTTCCTTTAGCCGTACTTAAAACGTGGGTTTTACAAATAAGTCATATGAATATGTATCTCGGTTGTATACACTGATATTATAACACACTTTAAGATATTTTCCGGCATCTGTAGCTCACTTGAATTAGCTTATATAATTTGTAGATTATTCAGCAATCCTTAGAAACACCTAACTTTACTCCTGAGAGGAGGTAAGCTAACAAAGGTTTGTTTACATGTGATCCTGCTAGAGGATGGTTGATTTTTTAAAATCCTGATTGGCTCTTTTTGGATAACAAATAATTTCAATAATAACAGAAAGTTTTACTTTAGTAAAAGAGGGGTAGATTCCCAGTCTTTCATTGACAGCTATGCTAAGAACGCTAACTAGCTTGTGTGTTAGCAGCACTCTTGAGCAGGTGTCACCAACACAGAGGGCTACCATCCTGCACATGTTAGCTGTTTCTTTGCTCCTACACACCTGATTGAAATGAACGAGTAAATAAAAGGTCTATGCAGAGTTAAGGAGATGATTAAATTACTTCATTCAGGTGTGGTAGAGCAGGAAACAGCTATTTTTGAGAAAGTTGATGATAGGTTTGGAAAATCTCTATTTGCAGATGACGGTGCCATCTGGAGAAGTGGGAGGAATTTTAAGCATCTGTTTTCTCAGACACCGAAAGCTTTAGATCAAATTGTGCAGTGGGCAAATAACGGAGGATTCAAGTTATCTATAGTAAAAAGTAAATTTATGATCTTTGGCTTAAAAAGGAAAATCCCATCTATGAATATTCATATTTATGGCTCTGTGATTGAAAAGGTTTAAGTTTTTGGGTTTGTGGTTTGATGAGAAATTAATCTGGAAAACACATAGAAAGATTAGTAAGCAAATGTGAAAAGGTAATTAATGTCATGAGGAGTTAATCAGGTAGCAGCTGGGGAGCGGAGAGAAGTACTTTACAGTTAATCTATAGGGCTATGATTAGGCCTGTTTTGGATTATGGATGTGTGGTTTTTGGGAAAGCTTCTAAATCTGTGTTGTGTAAATTGGATTATGTGCAGTTTATGGCCCTAAGAATCTGTTGCAGAGCATTTAGATCTACTTCAGTTCCAGCATTGCTGGTTGAAACGGGGGAGTACCCTTTGACAATGAGGAGGGGAAAACTAGGAGTTCATTATTGGCCGGGTTTAGTGGCAGCTTGGCGTATAAATGTCTCATAGATGATTGTCGGGAGTCCAGTGAAGATCAGGATAAGGACAGTTTCCTAAATCATATTGTAAAACTAGTAAATCTCCTAGGACTACAAAAGGAAATGGTGGTGGGGTTAGTGTGGTCTCCAATACCGTTTTGGAAATTACCTGAGCCAGAAGTTGTTTTGGATTTACTAGGATTAGAAAAAGCGGTTGCCATTAAACTGTTAGAAATGTATTTAAGTGTTCAAAGATGCTATCCAAATTTATACTGATGGATCTAAAGAAACTACATTTCATAGAGCTGGTTTTGGGGTTTATATTGTCGAGCTATAAGTTAGATCAAGTGTTTGTGTGACAGATAAATTATCTGTTTTTTCTGTTGAGCTTTTGGCTATTTTGTAGGCAATGAAGTGGATAGTGGAGCATAAACCATCTCACACTATTGTCTGCTCTGATTCTGCTGCTGCACTGTTGACTCTAAGTAACGGGACATCTGAGGCATGGAATGACTTAGTTTTGGAGATTTTGTGTTGTCTAATGGGCCATTCCCATCTGTACCGGGTCGGCCCGGGCTGGGTTGCGTAGGTTGTTTACATATCTGGGTGGCCTGGTATTTTTCCGGGCTAACCAAGGCTCATTCTCAGCCCTCTTCTCGAGGGGGTCTGCTTCAGGCCGACCAGGGCCAACACACCCACTGCTGACAGCAAATTCACACCTTCCATTAGAGCAAGCCTCTGATTGGTGGGTAGAATCAGCCCACATGGGCTTAAGGCAAGGATGTGTGGAATCAACCGGGCCAGGCTGGGGCCGACCCGGTACAGATGGGAATGGCCCATTAAAGACGCTGAGAATGCGGGTTCTAGGGTGGTATTTGTCTGGGTCCCTGGACATACTGGAATTTTGGGAAATGAAATGGCAGATGCATTGGCCAAAGACTCCATCCTTAGAAATAGCATTGATCATCATCTTCCTCTGGGAAAAAGAGAATGTTAATAGTATGTGCATGCAGTAACTATTTAAAAAATTTGTGGCAGAAAGAATGGGAAGGGGAACGTAGAGGAAGACTTTATTTTTCTTGTCAGCCGTCAGCTCATACTAGTTGGCAACCCTTAACCTGTTGTCGTAGAGATGAAGAGGTGATTGCCAGAATGAGATTGGGGCACTGTGGTCTGGCGGCATGCTTATTTAGGATTGGTAAACATGTAGATGGGTTGTGTGAGTGTGGTAGTTCCAAAACTGTTGTTCATGTATTGTTGTCATAGCCTGGCAAGCCAGACTAAATAAATGTATTATTTAAGATAAGGATTAGCAAACTTTGCAACACAAGGATTTGGTCTAGTTCACTAGGCTATTGTTGTCATGCAGGAAATACAATAGTGAGAAGCGGCAACTTTTTTATGGGGCTGGTGGATTTGGGGATGGAATCTTTTTCCTTTTTTTTTTCGATTAGTGCAAATTCCCAATGTGTATATAGCTTGATTGTTCAATTCCTTCATCACACTGGCATTTATTCGAGGATATAATGTAGCAGTAATATAACTGTGGTGGGCAGCATTGCACATTCCAGCGTATAGCCTGCTGGAAATTTATTATTATTATTATTATTATTAGAAGAAGAAGAGGAAGAAGAAGAAGAGGAAGAAGAAGAAGAGGAGGAAGAAGAAGAAGGAAGAAGGAAGAGGAAGAAGGAAGAAGAAGGAAGAAGGAAGAAGAAGAAGGAGGAAGAAGAAGAGGGAGGAAGAAGAAGAGGGAGGAAGAAGAAGAGGAAGGAAGAAGAAGAGGAAGGAAGAAGAAGAGGAAGGAAGAAGAAGAGGAAAGAAGAAAGAAGGAAGAAGAAAGAAGGAAGAAGAAGAAGAGGAGGAAGAAAGAAGAAAAAGAAAGAAGAAGAAAAAGAAAGAAGAAGAAAAAGAAAGAAGAAGAAAAAGAAGGAAGAAGGAAGAAGAAAGAAGGAAGAAGGAAGAAGAAAGAAGGAAGAAGGAAGAAGAAGGAAGAAGAAGGAAGAAGAAGGAAGAAGAAGAAGAAGAAGGAAGAAGAAAGAAGGAAGAAGGAAGAAGAAGGAAGAAGAAGAAGACGAGGAGGAAGAAGAAGAGGAAGGAAGAAGGAAGAAAGAAGAAAAAGAAGGAAGAAGAAGAAAGAAGAAAGAAGGAAGAAAAAGGAAGAAGGAAGAAAGAAGAAAGAAGGAAGAAAAAGGAAGAAGGAAGAAAGAAGAAAGAAGGAAGAAAAAGGAAGAAAGAAGAAAGAAGGAAGAAGGAAGAAGAAGAAGGAAGAAGAAGAAGAAGGAAGAAGAAGAAGAGGAAGGAAGAAGAAGAGGAAGGAAGAAGGAAGAAAGAAGAAAAAGAAAGAAGAAGAAAAAGAAAGAAGAAGAAGGAAGAAAAAGGAAGAAAGAAGAAGAAGAAGAAGGAAGAAGAAAGAAGAGCAGGAAACAGAAAACTAGCAGGATGGTAGCCCTCGAGGACTGGAGTTGGTGTTCACCTGCTCTAGTTTAGATGTTTGTGTTCTACATTTAGAATTAGATACTAATAGAAAGCAGTGCCATGTCTCTCTAAAAAATATAGAGTTAAACAAATTCTAGTAAATGGCTCTAGTGTTTAAATGTATGGAAATATTCATGTTTTAGATGCCTTTGATTATGTGTACGTTTCACACAATCAGCTTAACTGGAAAATGGCTTTTTCAATGTGTTAATTTCTTTGTGCAGGTGCCAGAATTTCATACTGAGTATGGCGGATCTGGATGACCAGGTTAGAGACTTCTCAGCTGTCAAAAACCTGGATGATGGCAGTGATTCTTCAGACAGAAGCTGTAGAAAAGGGCATAAATCAACGCTTCCTCTGGTTAAACCTCTGTCTGTAGGTGAGAGGCACAGCACACTTACATTCTTTTCTTTTACATCTTAGTAATACTAATAAAGAGACTGTGCAGACGTGGAATGTATAAACCTTTTCCAGATCCGCCGATAGGACCTGTGTCATGTACTACGAAGAAGGATTAGTGGCTTATCGAGGTGACTTTAGGTTGTAGTTTGGTTAATTTCTAACTGATGCTGGTACAGGTTAGGTTACCAGATAAGAAACCACATATTGGTGTACCGCCTCAACCAATCCATTCTCAAAAAACAAACAAACAAACAAAAAAAAAAGCAATCGGTTTGTAAAAAGGTGCTGCAATGGCAGCTTTAAACACACCTGGAGAACTAAGGGGTTGCTCTTCAGAATAAGATCATCAACTGACATTATATTCGTATACACTTGAACAAAGTTTTATGTTCTTTTATTTGTATATTTTAAGGAATAACTTCAGACGCATGTATTTCATCACCAGTAAACCATCCGTCCATTTTCAGCCACTTATCCAGAGGCCCAGACTTCCCTCTCCCCAGCCACTTGGGCCAGCTACTCCGGGGGACTCCTAAGGTGTTCCTTGGACAGCTGTGAGACAGTCTCTCAAGCGTGTCCTGGGTCTTTCTTTAGGTCTTCTCCCAGTTGGACGTGCCTGGAAAACCTCACCAGGAAAGCATCCAGGAGGCATCCTAACTAGATGTCTGAGCCACCTCAACTGGCTCCTCTTGATGTGGAGGAGCAGCGGGCTCACTCCAAGCCCCTCCCGGATGGTCGAGCTTCTCACCCTTTCTATAAGGGAGAGTCCAGACACCCTGCAGAGAAAACTCATTTCGGCCGCTTGTATCCACAATCTCATTCTTTCAGTCACTACCCAAAGCTCGTGACCATAGGTGAGGGTAGATTGACCGGTGAATCATTGGCTCAGCTCTCTCTTCACCACGACAGATCGGTATAAAGCCCACATCACTGCAGATGCAAACCAATCCGCCTGTCGATCCCGTGTTCCATCTTTCCCTCACTTGTGAAGGAGACCCCGAGATACTTGAACTCCTCCACTTGGATCAGGACCTCATCCCTGACTCAAAGTAAACTTTGTCCTAAAGTCAAAAATTTGTATAACTTAAATTTTCCGATTAGTGATGTCTAAAAATGTCAAAATTACTATATTTTAATGAGTACAGTCACCAGTTTATGTTAGCAAGTTGCAGAGTTGCACTGTTGGGAATTACTCTTAAATTTATTACACTAGAATGAAAATGGACTTACATTAAAATGCAAAACCAGGCTTATTTATGATGAGAATGAAATTTTTTTTGTAACCTTCAAACATCAGTTAAATAAACTCCCAAAGCAAACAGATGAGCTTGCTTTAAAAGTGGAGAAGAGCTGCAGTAAGTGTGAGTATTTTTATATTTAAAGAGCATAAATGCCTGGAAAGGGTTTTAGTGGTCAAATAATATGAATGTTTTCAGAGATGGACAAAGAAACTGGGTTCAGACGAAGTGTTCAGATGTGTTTGGAGCACATCAGAGAAGCCATGCTGCGTCATAGATGGCAAGAGGCAGCGGACTACATGGCGTCCTACCCTCAAATCCTAGAGGACCGGAACGGAGCCACAGCTGTGCCGTATAAAGAGGTGACTTAACTTTGTTTTATTATATTTGTTTTGAACCAACATTCACTCTGAAGTTTTTATATACAAAATCCTCATAAAATATTTGACCACATTTAGCTTTTTAATTCTTTATTTTGTTGATCTTTACTCCAGGTTGTTTGGAGAATCTGCACCGAGATCCTTCACCATCATCCCAGAGCAACGATGGAAAGTTGCAACATCACCTATGAACGGATGAAACACTCTGGGGTTAAACTTTACCTGACGGTATGCTGGCCGACATACTTGATGCAATGCACTTAATTTAGCTTTTTTATGAAAACACCGTTTTGTCTGTGCGTTTAGATTTGCCTGGAGCATTGCTTCCACCTGCTGCTGAATGGTCAGATGGAAGAGGCAAAGCAGCAGCTATCAGTCGCCGAAAGCTGGCGATATGGGAAGGAGTCGGCCACTCAGCATCACAAGGTTCAACTGATCCAGGCCTACAGGAGCTTGTTGGATTATATAATCTGGTGTGACAAAAGGCGCACACGCTCTAAAAATAGTAAGAAGCGGCATCCTTTATGCTTGTTTGACTTGTTTGATTTGTGGTCCTATACTGCCCTCTAACGGTTAAATAAAGTAACTGCATGTGCAGCAGACAAGCTGCAGAGCTGGCTGTAAAAAAATTATTTGTCTTTTTTTTTTTTTTCAGATCCATTTGACTCTGATCACCAAGACTTGCATAACTATTTCAGACAAGCTTCTGTGCATCTACAAGAGATTTTGAAAAGTCCAGGAGTCTGGGATCCGTTCATTCTGAGTTATGTCGAGGTAAACGCTCATCTGTCGCAGGCGTTGTAAAACAGCACGATTGGATTGATTAAAATGCAACTGCAGTGTGTTTTAAAGTTTCATTTAGAAGGCGGCCAGAGCTAAATGATGCTAGCTGACACAAAAATAGTGACGTGCATTTTACAGATGTTAAGCTAAAATTTGTTGGTAGTCGAGTCATTCACATCAGAGCCCTAACAGATCGCATGAGTTTGAGTTTGATCTTGTTGAACCTCCTTAAGTGTTGGAGATGCTAATAAGGAGCTTTTGGCCCAGTGTTCTAACGGAGCAGCGTCCAACTATGTCATGTTATGTTCGAGGAGCTGTGAGTCAAGCATACAAACGACAAAGTACAAGGAAAATGTTTATCGACTGTGTTCATAATTTTTTACCACAAAAATGAACTGATGATTGTGTATCACACTTTTATTTTACTACCTTCTAATTCTAAACATTTAGAAAATAAAGCTTTAAAATGTATCAAATGGACAAGTCAAGGGATCGTACGGTTGTTTTAAACAAGTGTATGATGATCTGATGGACAAAGTGGCCTATCACGTTGTCATATAGCTTAAATGTATGATCTGACAGACATGTGCTGTCAGGCGTATGCTGTAACACGCGTATGCTAATCTTGACAACGTATGGTGATTGGACAGAACACCATTTCACGCCAGTTTCTTTCCCAATTCTCCTCCTGACCATCTCAAGGATCTGCCTGATTATTGTAACAGATTTAAAGATAGTTTTATCAGATATTCCTGCCGTGTGTGGTGTGTTAATAGCTCTCTGGTCTGCTCGGAAGGACTGCAGGACTGCTCCCGATCACAAATCGGGATATTAAACGTGATGGAATGTCTTGGTCAGACATTCTGCCGGTTGGATGCGACGTGTAGCCAGTCTGAAATTGTGATCTCGATTGGTCTGGGCTAATCTTGAAATATTTGACGATTTTCTCATCTGTAGTGTAGATTTTGCCGTGTAGCCAAGCGCCAAACACTAAAACTGGTAAATGTGATTTATTTATTTTTTTTAATGCCACACGTGGGTAGGGCTGCTCGATTATGGCAAAAATAATAATCACGATTATGGTGACTGAAATTGAGATCACGATTATTTAGGACGATTTTTCAATTTATGTTGATTTTATTTGTTTTTATTCAGTCATAAAACTGCTCAGGGCACAATCAGGACAAAAATAAGAAACAAGATGATCACTAAAAGAACTCCTGATTCCCAGGATAAAAGGACCAATATACTTATAGCTCATAGTCTATGACCCAAGGGCTATAGACCTTGGTTTAACTCATGTAAGTCTAACCAGTACAGACCCAAATACCAATATCTTGCAAATACTGACAGCAAGAATTATAGAGTGGCATTTATAACAAATAAATGCAAATAAACTGATGTTCACAAAATGTTACATAACATTTATTGAGTCGTGTCAAGGTGCTGTAGCACTGTGTCCTCAGAGAGATTAGTTATCAGCGTGAGGAACTTATTTCTACCTTATTTATAAACTATTTATTTACAGGCCCATCAGTTAATGTAATAATTGTCCCGACCACAGCTGCACCCCCCACCCCGGTCTCACACAATCGGGCAAGCTGCACGTGTGTTTAGCACGCCGCACGCGCACATTTAGCTGTTTTTAGCTGCTCAGGAGACCGCAGGTGCGGTGTGTGTGTCACTCACTCTGGTTAATCCAACAAGGAGCCGGCTCCGAGAGCTGTCTTTAGCGACCGACACATCACTGCATCATTCCCTTTCCTAATGTTGTGAAGAACGGTCCGGAGCACAGGCGGAGTGTTTAGCTAACCTGCAGTAAATGTCGACGACAGTTATCCAGAAAGTAGCTAAGGGTTACCAGAGATGTTTCTGAGATGTTCGCCAGGTACTTTTAGGATTAAAAAGTCAAGAAGGGGGTCTGAAAAGCTGCTAGAAATAGCGTCAAAGTCGCTAAATTGGCAACACTGTGAGGAGCGCTTCATTTGCAACTTAGGGCAGCGCAAGCGGGAGGAGCAAATAATCGGCTTGTTATGTTTTTTATAATCGTTCAAAACTCAGATCGTAATCGTGATTAAAATTCGATTAATTGAGCAGCCCTACACGTGGGAGTCTCTTATTTTGAAAATCATCCAACTGTGGCAGTGTGAGTGTCCTGTCACAATGTCCCGCTTGATGATGCGCCCTGGCTACTTGGCCAAGGGGATGTCCCTTTGGCTGACTGGTTAGGGCGTATGACTCTCACCTGGGAGTCTGGGGATCGAATCCCGCCCGGGCCCTCGTTTCTCCACCTTGCCACACAACCAGGACCATATCGAAGCACTTACCAACTTCTGCAGTCTTTAAGTTGTTGTAATGGTACTTTGTTTTTTCAGACGCATCTTTTCTGTTATGCTGACCGTTAATCCCATCGTTCGACCGTCCCTGCCTCTTGTCTCACTGTATTTTGGCAGATGTTGGAGTTTTACGGGGATCACGTGGAGGCTCTTAACGTCTTGAACAACTACGCGTTAAACAAACGTTTTCCACCCAATCCAAACGCACACGTGTTTCTGTATCAGTTCCTGAAGAGGCACAACACTCCTGAGAAGAAGCTGATCAAAGTGTTAAAGGTAAAACAGCCCATAACACTTATATTTTACAGATGATTATATCTCATATATTCCTAAGTATTAGCACTGATATTTAAGGACACATCTGCTTGCAAAACTTCCAAAATAACCTGTTTCCTGTTGTAGAATCTCCATGTTTTAGTCCCGAGCCACGAGTTGATGCTGGAGTACAGCTACTTCCTGCTTCATTCGGGTAAAGTTCGCCTAAGAACACACTTAAATGAATAAAATAATAAAAACACATTAAATGAGTGTATCTTTTCAGCTTTTTAACTCATGATTTTGTATCCATATAACAAATGTTTGACCATAATTAATTTTATGTTTTGTTTTTGTTTTAAGAGAAAATAGGTGACTCTCAAAAAGCTTTAGGAGTCCTCCTTGAGATGCTGGACTTTGCCTGCTGGAGGAGCAACCTGGACGTGTGGAGGTGCTTGCAGGCCGTCGTTCAGGACCTGAGGTTACGGTACGCACAGATTTATGAAACTTTTTACATTCTCATTAGTTTTCCTGTCATAAATAGGAGCTAAAGCCTGATTAATTTCCCTCTGGGATTAATAAAGTATCTTTGATTTGATTGATTATCTGAGTTTTTGCTTGGATTTTAAACCAGAGACGACTGGGAGAGAATTGTCCAGGAACAGATGGCTTCAAGACAAGATTGGTGGCCTGTTCTGCATTTCACAAGCTTCCACGCTGCTAAAGACTCAAAGGAAAACCCCCAGCTTTGGAAAGTGAAGTCATCGCTACTTAAAATCCTTTGTCCAGGTGAGTAAATGCACGTGAGCAGAGGGCCAAATGCAAAAGTCATCTTAGAAAATTCTTTAATTTTTTCATATGAGCGAAACGTCTGTTTCAAAACATCGTAAATCTTTGTCTCAGCTTTTTATTTTTATTTTTTTATTCATCTTAAAATAAAACTAACTTTTAAAAGCTGATTGCAGCATCTGATTATCTGTAACTTCATTATCAATAATCTTTCAAATAACCGTAATTTCCTTTAAAATTTCAAGACGGATACATTTTCTAACAGTTTGTGAAATTATTTAAAGTTTTTGTCTCATAAAACGTTTGTACATAAATGCACGATGTTTCCTGCCATCATGCTAGGCAGGCCCAAACGTATCGTGAGGGTCTGCTGGGAACGTCTGGCAGAGTCTCCTGTCAGAAGGAGCTTCAATTCTCACCTCCGAACGAACTTCAAAAATGTTCCGGGGGAGGCGGGGGACATTGAGTCTGAATGGACCCTGTTCCGTGCCTCCATTGTTGAGGCGGCCGACCGGAGCTGTGGTCGCAGGATCGTCGGTGCCTGTCGTGGTGGCAACCCCCGAACGTTAGGGATGCTGTCAAGCTGAAGAAAGAGTCCTATCAGGTCTTTTTGGCCTGTGGGACTCCAGAAGCAGCTGACGGGTACCGGCAGTCCAAGCAGAACACGGCTCGGGTGGTCGCCAAGGCAAAAACCCAGGCATGGGAGGAGTTTGGTGAGACCATGGAGCAAGATTTCCGTATGGCTTCGAGGAGATTCTGGTCCACCATGCGGCGCTTCGGGGGGGAAGGCAGTGCACTACCAACAGGGAGGGAAAGCAGTGCACTACCAACACTATCTATAGTGGGGACGGTGTGCTGCTGACCTCTACTCAGGACGTTGTGGATCGGTAGGCAGAATACTTCGAAGACCTCCTCAATCCCATTGACACGTCTTCCAGTGAGGAAGCAGAGTCTGGGGACTTTGGGTTGGCCTCTCAAATCTCTGGTGCTGAGGTCACTGAGGTGGTTAAAAAGCTCCTCTGTGGTAAGGCCCCGGGGGTGGATGAGATCCGCCCAGAGTTTCTTAAGGCTCTGGATGTTGTGGGGCTGTGTTGGCTGACACGGCGCTGCAATATCGCGTGGACATCGAGGGCAGTCCCACTGGACTGGCAGACCGGGGTGGTGGTCCTCTTATTTAAAAAGGGGGACCGCAGGGTGTGTTCCAACTACAGGAGGATCACACTCCTGAGCCTTCCTGGTAAGGACTATTCAGGGGTTCTGGAGAGGAGGGTCCGTCGGATTGTTGAACCTCAGATTCAGGAGGAGCAATGTGGTTTTCGTCCTAGCTGTGGAACACTGGACCAGCTCTATACCCTTAGGGGGATCCTGGAGGGTGCGTGGGAATTTGCCCAACCAGTCTACATGCGTTTTGTGGATTTGGAGAAGGCGTTTGACCGCGTCCCTTGGGGGCCCTGTGGGGGGTACTCCGGGAGTATGGGGTACCAGGCCGTCTGATACGGGCTGTTAGGTCCCTGTATGACCGGTGTCAGAGCTTGGTCCGCATTGCCGTCAGTAAGTCGGGCTCGCTCCCAGTGAGAGTTGGACTCTGCCAAGGCTGCCCTTTGTCACCAATTCTGTTCATAACCTTTATGGACAGGCTTTCTAGGCACAGCCAAAGTGTGGAGGGCATCCGTTTTGGTGGCCTGGGGATCAGGTCTCTGCTTTTTGCAGATGATGTGGTCCTGCTTGCTACATCAGAACGTGATCTTCAGCTTTCGCTGGAGCGGTTCGCAGCTGAGTGTGAAGCAGCTGAGATGAGAATCAGCTCCTCTAAATCTGAGACCATGGTCTTGATTCGGAAAAGGGTAGAATGCCTTCTCCGGGTCAGGGATGAGGTCCTGCCCCAAGTGGAGGAGTTTAAGTATCTCAGGGTCTTGTTCACGAGTGAGGGAAAACTGGAGCGTGAGATTGATAGGCGAATTGGTGCTGCATCTACAGTGATGCGGGCGTTGTACCGGTCTGTCGTGGTGAAGAGAGAGCTGAGTCAGAAAGCGAAGCTCTTGATTTACCGGTCGATCTACGTTCCTACCCTCACCTGTGGTCATGAGCTTTGGGTAGTGCCCGAAAGAACGAGATCACGGATACAAGCAGCCGAAATGAGTTTTCTCCAAAGAGTGGCTGGGATCTCCCTTAGAGATAGGGTTAGAAGCTCGGTCATTCGGGAGGGGTTCGGAGTAGACCCGCTGCTCCTCCACATCGAGTGGAGCCAGTTGAGGTGGCTCGGGCATCTGGTCAGGATGCCTCCTGGACGCCTCCCTGGTGAGGTTTTCCGGGCACGTCCAACCAGGAGGAGACCTATAGGTAGACCCAGGACACAGTGGAGGGACTATGTCTCTCATCTGGCCAGGGAACGCCTTGGGATTCCCCCGGAAGAGCTGGCCCAAGTGGCTGGGGAGAGGGAAGTCTGGGCCTCTCGCCTTAGGCTACTGCCCCATGACCCGACTCCGGATAAGTGGATGAGAATGGATGGATGGATGGATGGATGGATGGATGTTTCCTTCTAACTTTGTTTTATTTATTATTTGCTTCCCGACAGGTCGGACTCTGGGATATAGTGGAAAAAAGAGATGATCAAAAGACTTTCAACACATTTTTATTCAGGAAAAGGGTTCAAAGCCACAAAAACTTTTGTATTTCTGGAAAAATCTCTAAGCTTATTTCTTTAATTTTAAATTTTATTTTCTACACATTAAGGTTAAAGACTGTATACCCAAACCTTCATGCAATAATCTGTTATTTTTGCCTTTAGTCTGTATTGTTGTATCACCACCAGGTGGAGCTCTTGTTCTCTTATTAAATTACTTTCTGTTAACATTTTAATAAATATGATCTGCAGCTGCTGATTGGAAGAGTTTAATCTTTTTTCATGGCTGCTGCTAAATAGTTTTGGTTCAATTTAATTTCAGTCAGTGGAAAATATTAAGTACAGCCTCTAAAAGAGCTCTGTGCCATTTTTAATTTTTGTGCCTTTTTAAAAGAATTGTGAACATCTTCAGTAGCATGACTTGACTCTGGCCTTCAGACACACACCCTTCCCCTTAAACCAGACACGAGCCCCACATTCGGCTCGCCGCGGCGATGGCCGAGCTGCAGCTCACTCAGCCATACTGTATGTGTTGCTTTGCAGTCGTTGCATAAACAGAAGCCCGAAGCGTTCTCCCGACAACAGGAGCAGCTGGGGAAGACATCTGGGAACAAACAACACATGTTTTATGAAAATTTCCAAACTCGGGGAGCAACAAGGACAATGGGAGTCTGGATCTGGGCCCTGCTTGTGACATTTGTCACGTGTTGTGTTAAAGAGGACTTCTGAGCTCGATTAATTATCTACACAGATGTTCTCAGTCAAGTCGGTCATTGAGTCACTCCTTTGGGATTTCGGCTCAATTATGGTTTGTCACTCTTCGACACGTCCTGTTGGATGTTAATTTTTTTCTTTTGATTAAACTTTGTTTCCTGAAGTTTGTTTGTGGTGGTTTTTGTTCTCCCTGACCTCAGAGGTCTGACTTTAGATGTTGATGCAATCGCTCGTTGGAGAGCACTGAAAGTTATGAACAATAGAAAGCGTCCTCGATGACCTTTGTTGCTTCCTGAAGTAGCTGTTTGGGTCCCAGGCAGGTTGTTGGAGCTCAACAGTGTTAATAAATTATCCTAAATCAAATAAAGGGTTATTAATGAAGGCTGATCCAAAAACAAATATTTCATCAAATGGAAACCCCGCCTCCTGCACTGCAGCTAGCAAAACAACTATATTAAGATTTAAACATAAGTAAACAAAGTGATTCATGAGAAAATTAAGTGTTTATTTCAGGACAGCAGAGAACCTTCTCATTTTCTGTCATAAGTCTTTTTGCTCATCTCCTTTCCCCAAATGTATACAGGAAAACAGCTAGCATGAATCAGCTAGCCACATAAACAAATATGCTTTATTAAACCTGTTTTTTAAGTCATTTAAGTTTGTTTACACATAGTTTTTTACATCATATATATTAGAGGGATGTTATGTAGAATTTGAAGCCAAAAGGAACAAAACTACCCCAGTGCCTGGCTGCAGTGTGAGAGTTTAGCCCCGCCTCCTCCATTTAATTGATTAGGAGATGGTCCCAGCTAAAAAATAATAAAAATTAACTTCAGATCATTTTTTCCTGATTTGAATTCAGAGAGTTCTTACCTTGCTGCTACATGTTCAACCGATCATTTTTATTTACTAGCTAAAATAGTTTCTATCATAAAAAGGTGAACATGATGCCGACTGGTGACTAGTTAGGACTCCCAACCTCTGGTGTTGAAATATGACACTGATATTTGGACTTCTCTCCTCTAAATGGCTAACAGCAATGCGACTATACCACCGACTGCTTACTTTGCTACATTGATGTTTTATCTCCACAATTAACACAAGCCATGTGGTGGAGTTGCTAATGCTAAGAGTTAGCTTCTACTAGCTAAGATTCTCTCCTGTTTCCTGGACGATAAACCAACAACAGCCTTCCCTTTGATGAGCCAAGATGGATGAGTCCATGAATCTTAAATGACAGTGTGAGGTAGATCTGTCAGGCTTTTCAAATCCTAGAGTTTCACCATCTATTTTCTATCAGAAGCTAATGCAGGAGATAGGTGTTGGAGACTATAGGTGTTTCTCAATGTCAAGGAACCTCGCCTTGATGCATTGGTCCCGCCTAGGAGATATGTTATCAGGAACCGCCAAGGCGTTTTCCAATATTCATGTGCTACCGAGACCTCTGTTCTCCGTTTGTTAGCTGTTTAGCTAGCAGACCAAGGACAGACGGGAGGTGTCTTGTAGCCTGGTCTTAGTCAAAAATGTCCCACAATATTTTCAAGTTCAACCTCCAAAAATGACTAGCACATCAGACTCCCTTTCATCACTGGCAACGAGCGAAGAGGTAAATGGTGAAAGTTTTTTAACAGCAGGTCGGTGTGTTTTGTCCTCATGTAGAAGGAAACATCGTTTCTTAGACCTGCTCCAGGCCTGATTTCATATGCTATGAAGCTGCTGGGCATCATTTAATTCCTTTTCAACAACATTTCGATGGATATTTCCAGAGATTAATGGTAAAAACTACACATACTCTCTTAAAAAAACCATTGCATGCAGGTGAGTGGGCCGGACTATGCCTAAATTCACAGACTCCTGTTCTAGAAACAACATGGCAACCCCCTCAGCAGATGTCATGCAACATGCAGTGCTCAGAGTAAATTAGTAAATTAAGAAGCCTAATTATGTAATTAATAATCAGTGCAGGTTGCAGATGGATTAATTTGCTGACAAACACAAATTTAGGGGGAGAACTGTTTAATTTTTATATGAACGCTTCAGATGTTTCTTTGCTGATGTTAATGGAGTTTACCCTTCTCTCAGGCTTACTTGCTGCTGTCTTCATGCACACCTAGCAGCTGGTAACTCAAAGTCTCGCTTGGTTGCTCTGCAGGGGTCTGCTGATTTCAAACCTAAAATTCAGAATGTCTGCAGCGACATTGTGTGATATCTCAGCAACTCTACAATACATTTCAAATGTGGTGGGATTTGGGATGGGGTGTGTGTGTGTGTGTGGGTTAGAATAAGAAATAAGTCTGATAATTCAGCCATGCAATTTGGACTTAACATACCGATGTGTTCCACAGTGCTGCAAGGACGGGAGGAGATAAGACAGAAAAGAAAAAAAAACCCAGACTGAAGTCAAAGCTGCAGCTGAAAATGTGACTGAACATCAAACTAATAAATTAAAGGGAATTTTATAAAGGCCATAAATGAAAATCCCACATTCAGCCGCTTTAAGTTTCATGACGTTGGTGCAGAGCGGCCAGCGTGTAATGGGGTGTATTCCAAACCTGTTTGAACAACATTACAAACAAAGGCTTTTACAACACTGACAGCTGCTGGAGGGGAGTCAATTCTTGTAGAACATCAGGGAGACATAAAATAAATAAGTAATCCCAAAATATCTTCTCCGTTGTGTCTGTGAAGCTGCAAGTGACAAGTGATACCTTTATTCTCAGAGTGCAGCTGCAAAAATAGCTTTCAATAATGTAGTAGGAGAAAAGAAAGTGTGTGAGCATGATTTCTGCTCAGCTCTATGTGTGTGTGTGTGTGTGTGTGTGCCAACACCTGGAGCTTTCTCTGCTGTGCAACAACCATGAGAACAGATCCAGCTTGTGAAGACTTCTTGTGCTGGTCTGTTTTTATCCAGCATGAGGTGAATTAACATCCCCAGAATATACAGCTTATTCCTCCACAAACATTTTAACATAATCTCAGAATGTCCGGGGAGAATTACTTTACCAGGATGATTGGTCTGGGCTAATTTCTGGACACAAACCGCTGCTGTTGTAATGATGCTGATACGCAAAAGCGCCCTGACCAATGGAGCGTCCACCTGAGGCTGTGGCGGTTTAATTTCTTGAGTGCCTTGGTGTGATAAATTGCAAACCAAATGTTGTGAATTTCCTTCAAGCTCCGTGGAAGCCAGCCAAGTGGAGCACAAGCGAAGAAGTTAAACCCTTTAGTGATCAGAAACATTAAAAAAAGGAAAGCAGAACAGAATTCTGGGCAGTCATTAATTATTAAGGCGTGGATGACAGCCGCTTCTGTGTATCTATACGGCATCTAGAGGAGAGAGATTCCACAAAGGAAGGTGAAGCACCACTGTGAAGATGTGATGAATTCAAACCCAAGTTGCTCCTGTTGTGCTGGCATTGACTGCTGCGCAAACGTTTTTTTATATCTTAAGCTTCCTTTACATTTGTGCACCCATATGGGACTTCAGCCAGCAACATTTGCACAAAAGGAAGCACAGATTGCAAAATTGAGAATAGTAACTTGACACGTAAGACATAAAAAACAAAATCAAATGGATTGGCTTCTTAGAGTGAAGGCAAATGGAAGTCTCTTTTGCATTGAAAACCATTACTGAGTTAATGAGTAAATGAAGAGATATCAAACATTTTGTCTTAAACGAGCACTTCCAAGCTCTTTAAATGGTTCCCTTTAGAGAATTAGTGCTAAAGACTACTCCCATTGGGCCAAGACCCCAATTGATTTCCCACTCCAGTCTCAAAATGTTCATAGCTGTTCAGGCAAACACTGTAAACATCACATCACACTGATATTAATCTATATGTTTTCAGTTAATATTAACAGTGTCCAATCTATACTACTTCCTGTTTAGTGTTGCACACTTCCTTTTTTATGTTGCTGCCTTGTGAAATGGCAAAGTTTAGTGATCTGGAAGGCTTTGTTAGCTGCTTTCAAGGACAAATAAATTTTTTAGCTGACTCACTCTTGGCATCTTTGAAAATGTGGCGAAAACTCCCCCAAAACCCCAGTGGTAATAAAACTTAACATTCTTGCTGCAAGGTAGCAGGTATCAACTGTGCTACCGTGCAGCCCTAGGAAAGAAAAGGGGCGTGTAACTGGACATGGACTCAAACATTTTTTAAGTCAAAGGATAAAGAAGTTAAAATAGATTTATGTGTTCTTTCTTTTTACTTTCTCATCTACTTAGAATAGGTTGTCATCCATTCCCATAGGGGGCACACTTGCTTTTATATTGGAATTCGCCTCACCTATCTACTTGCGGACCACGGGTCCCATACCGCCACAAAAATGAATGAGAGTCTACGGGTCTACGGGTCGAATAGCTGATCCCGTTTATTATGTGCCATGAATTTTACGTAAGATAGACAGTAATTAGCCTGTTTTTGATAAAATGCCAAGATTCCTGGAACCCCCCCAAGGTGCTTTACAACACAATCAGTCATTCACCCATTCACACCCTGGTGGTGCTGATCTACTTTGTAGCCACAGCTGACCTGGGGCACACTGACATAGGAGAGTCTGCCGTACAGGCACCTCCGAACACCATCAGCAGGGCAAGGTGGGTTAAGTGTCTTGCCCAAGGACAAAACTTCACAGACAGGCTGAGCGGGGCTTGAACCTGCAACCTTCCAAATACAGGGCGAGCACTTAACTCCTGCGCCACCATCGCTCTGAACTACACCACAGAATGTATCGTCACGTTTGCTATTCCAGTATTTTAACTGGATGATCTGAGCTTGGGGCTGTGTGCTTTGTGCCTCATCGACGTTTCACTATTAATCAAACACTCACGGCCCCAATCTACAATTTAACCTCCTGAGCTTGTCAGTTTTCTGACAAAGACTTAAACACAAATGTTCATAACAGACTCTTGTAAAGTATTATTCTAAAGCAAAGTTCTTTTGCACTGATCATTTTAAGTGAGCATAGAGCTCCATAGCGACATCAGTGTGACTCAGCTCCAAACGCAGACGCCACAGGTTACCAGGCAAGATGAATGATTTTGCAGAAGCCTCCAGGTTAGCTGAACAAACCACAATGACTCATGTAAGCGTACATGAACCCACTGACTCACGTCGTCCCCGTTCATCTGTAGTTCTCTGTGATAAACAAAAAAACAAAACA